ATGATGTGATTGTGTGTTGTGATTATTTTCCTAAAAAGCATGCTAAGGGCTATTGAGCTGTAAAATAAGTCCATACACTTTTGTACTGGATTGCCATGTGAACAGATTATTTGTATTATTATTGTATTATTACAGGTTGTTAAACTGTTAAGCTCAAATTTACATGCATTTCTACCAGACGTGAGTTTGATCGTAAAGATATGCCAAATGAAATGGACGAATGGCGAAACTGTCGGTGAAATTTGCATGCATTTATTTTACAACCATTTATGACCATTTGAAACTTTGATGAATGAGGGCCATTGAAATTATCATCTCTGATAATCGACCATACAACAAACATCAACATCAGATTTGGTTTAAAAATCCTGGACAACTGCTTTAAGCTTCGGTGTAAGCATAGTAATGTTGAACTAATGCAGAAATCAGTGAAAACACCCCACAGGATTACAACTGGTGAAACCGTGGAGTTCTTGATTAGCATGGCACTAGGTAGATATCAGGGTACAGCTCTCAACAGTGGCAGCGAATCCCAAACAGAGACAGAGATAACTACTCTCTCGCTTTTCCTCTATCCATCCTGCAGAGGCCTCCTGTCACACACCCACTCACACACACACACACACACACACACACACACACTGCACACTGAGAAGCGATAAAAGTAATTGCACTGCATGCCATTAAGAAAGAAAGGCAGGGGAGGAGAGGAGGGGTGACCAGTCCGTCCCGCTGCGCTGAATTTTAATTGTGTCTGTTGGCTGTTGATAAATACATAATCAACCTCTACACACTCGCGACACACTCTCGCACACGCACACACACACACACACATGCACACACACTAGCTGTACATGCTTTCTGTGCGCTCCCACATCAGTCCAATGTGGACAGGGCTGCACACACACACACACGTTATTTATGGAGCTGCTGCATTATGCATGGGGCCGGAAAGCGAGGGTAAACTGTAGGGCGTGCAGATGTCTGTGGAAAGACTTGAAAGCCTCTTCTCTGTGGTGACTGGGCTGGCACAGGCTGCCATTTGCGTCTTTGGCACTTCAGTGGCTGTGGCTGGGTGGCAGTGTGTGTGTATATATGTGTGTGTGTGTGTGTGTGTGTGTGTGTGTGTGTGTGTGTGTGTGTGTGTGTGTGTGTAAGACTGGCTGGAGTAGCTATAGAGCAAGGGTGTATCTGATACACGTTTTGAGAGAAAAGTACTGAAGGAAGCCACCACTGCGGAAGGGAAGGACAGATTATGACGTTCTTCTATAGAGCCCTTAACATCATTTGAAAAGTATTCAGAAGTGTAATAGTTTGATGAAAAATTTACATTCCAAGCATTTGGAATAATTTGCATTATTAATATTTGTGGCCATTATATACATATTATATAGGCTTATATAATCTAGAATTAAATATTATTAACAAGACAACAGAAGAGAAATTTAGACAATAGACAACACAATATTTAATGTAATTTCAGACCAATGAGAATGTACTAAAAATGTGTTACTGTAATTCTCTGTTTACAGTGATTTTTATCAGGTGTTCTGTCTCAAGATTTGGTTTTGCCTCTGAAATACAGGACATTCCACATATTCTTTTTAGTCTAACTTCATTCTTGATGATGTACAAGTTTAAATCATTTCAGAATTATCTGTAACTCTGTTCATGTTCATTGACTTATTCATTAATAGGGTAAACAATTCCAAATTTAACAAATTATGATATAGTCTACACCTTCCAAAATTGTACACATACTGTGAACCCTCATTGCGACATGGTTAACCACTGGCCTGCATAGTTTGGACAAAAAATGTACCAATGTGAATGCCTTGATTCATGCATAACAACAGCAGAAACCCATCTGGAGCACCTGAGCTTGGTCAGCACCCAATACAGCATTTTACTGGTTCAGATCATGCCTTCATCATATAGTCATAGTATGAGAAGAGACTGTAGGAGGGGAGAGAACTCTGAGAACTTGGGCTGGAGTTCTGCTTGAGCTAGAAGGCCAGATCTCGCTTGATGAATGAGGAACAAAAGGTAGGGATGGGAAATTTAAAGGCCGTTAAACTGGAAAGAGAGGGAGCTTCAGAAATGGTCCTCCTCCCAAACTTCATTTGTTTCATAAGTGATTGGTTAGAGGGATCTGTGGAGGCATTATATTTTGCAGCCCTAATTTTTTGTTTTATTGCTTGTGTAGTATGTGAGATTCACTGTTGTCATAGGAGATTTAAGTTTTTTGTTTTTTTTTTAATTTCAAAGAATGCAGTACAGTTAGAATAGAAAGTCATACATTATGATATAGAGTAGAGATATTTTGGGAGCATCAGTACGGTCCTGAGTGTGGATGTGACTGCATACAGTAAATGCAGGATATCAGTTACACAGTGGCTACGGCTCAGTAATACTGTAGCCGCAGGGTCCTGGCCAAGGCTGGATTAATGGAGAGAGCAGTACTGTTCAGTCCTCTACCTTGACCTCCACGGAGACTGAGACATCCTGACTGATATAATACGTGTTGCATGGAGAGTGCAGGGCTGTGGCATGTTAGCCTCTGGGGAAGAGTGCATGCAGCAGCATGCAAGCAGCGGATGGTGTGATGACAGATGCGGCACAGGGAATCGGATTGCACTCTAAGCAAGGCCGGAAAAGGAGGACGCAGCGGATCTGCAAGTCAGCTGAGAGCTAACATTCGCTAATGAACGTTATGGCACTGGACTTCTGGGGCAGCTTCACAGGAAGCTGGCTTATCACTACTTGTCTGAGCAAATTTCCAAGTTAATAATTAAAGGTACAAACATAGAGATCTGTTAATGAAGCGAATGTTATACACCCCAAATGATGCATCCAGTAAACCAGTAAAGACAGAATTATACTAATGTGTCTGCATATCTGCAGACATGTGCGGCTGCAGTGCGCAGATGCCCACAGAGGTGTCGGCCAGCATACTTGGATGTAATGTGAACATGTGCAATAGATAAATCAGAATGTACAGCAAACAGTGAAGAAGGAGAACAATGCCAAGTACTGAATAAAATAAACAAGACTTCTGTTTTCACTATAATTGAGAATCATTTGAACTACTTGATCTTCAAACTGCTTCACTGATAGAAAATGAGTGATGGCCCAGTTCTGGCCCACACTACTTTCATCCAGCACATGAACGAAGACGAAATCTTTGTCCATGTAGTGGCGTCGGAATGTTAACTTACTATTCAGTGTTGAATGAACACAATATTTAAGTCAGCCAGAATCCAAATTTTAACTGAATTGTAAACTAGGAAATTTAGTTCTTCCTGATATTGAGGCAGATTGCATTGGACCACCTTTTTTTTTCAATTAACAGGCCTGCATACTGCCATATCTCTGCCAGAAGTGGCCAAGATCTGTTTTAGGACATGTGGGCCAAATAAGCATGCTTTAATGGGGGCCACTTGGCTTACACGCACTTTGCCAGTGTTGGCAGCAGGCCAGCAGTGCCATATGTTTACCAGAAGTGGTCCACATCTGCGTGCTTTCCAAAGGTTTTTTGCACGCAGTGGTGTTTCTCAAGTTTCTCAAGCTACACTTACTCACAATACTCTTCTCTTAACACAGATATATGTATATATCAGTATATATCAGCCTTAAATGTAGTGTTGGGTTTCTTAATCTTGTTCCTGGTAACCCACAGCACTGCAATGTTTAACCATTGCCTGACCCAACCCTGAAATCTTTTACTCTAAAACAAGCACATGTAGGTCTTCACACACATACACACACACACACACACACACACACATTTTCTAAGCCGCTTATCTTTCTGGTTCGCAGTAGGAGCTGGAGCCTATCCCAGCGTTCATTTTTTTTTACATTTTTTGCAGTTGCAGTTAAACAACTCTACAATCTAATCAACTGATTATGGAGCCCTTAATGAGCTGGATCAGGGGCAGGGATGTAGGAAGTGAGGGTGTGACAGCACCTGCAGATTTCAGGATTGTGTAAATGCATGTGTTACTATTGATGTATATGTGTAGCGTATGCTTCTCTTTCATAATGGCACACAAAGTAATATACAGCTGGGTATTGTAAATCTACACTTATGCAAAGACTCTTGCAGAATTACTAGGTACTTCATATATTTTGTCATTTTCAATGAGAATGTCCACAAAATGAATAAAAATAAATGTAAACACTCTTCACTCACTGGCCACTTCCTCTACCTCATTCATCATTAGTCAGTTTCTGACCACAGAACTACTGTTGATCAGATGTTGGATCATTATCAGGTAACACTGACATGGTAACGGGATGGTAACAGAATGGTAGTGTGCGTGGCTCTGGTGTGAACCACACACTGCTAATAAGTTGAGAATGGTCTACCACTCAAAGATGACTGCTGATGAAAAGCTAAAGAATGTCTAACACAGTGTTAGAATGTTTCTAATAAAGTGGCCAGTGAGTGATGGATTGTACTGTATATTCCTATGACTTTGGTACTCAGTATGTTTATCTATTAAAATAAGTCTAATGGAAGGGTCCATATATATTGGAGAATGCTATGTAATAGGAAGAAAGGGAACTGTGGTGAGAAATTACAAAAAATGAAATGCAATACTTAATTAAAATGCTTTGTCAGCAATAGGCCATCCTAAGTAGGTGCCACATGATAAACACAGATTTTGGTTGTTTTATTGGGTGCAATATTGTGACATTACTGTTTTATAAACCATGTCTACCAAAATCTGGTTGCTGCCATCTACTATTGCTTATATAAGAGCCAGTAAACAGTCAGTTCAGTCCTAATCCTCTCATTTCCCTTAAAGCCTATTTATTTAATGTGTTTACTCAGCCTTGCGTTGAAGATTTATGACCACTGAAGGCATTCATTTGACTCTATCTTGCGCACTCCAAATTAATCAGTCTAAATGAAAGGGATTATATAACATAATGGGTATTACTTATCTGTTTGTCTAGTCTGTTTTAACAAGTGAATTCACGTGTGTTTTCTGCAGTGTGCGGCTGCGACCTGGCCCGCTCCGGCTTCTTCCAGAAGGGTGGAGAGTACATCTGCACGGAGGACTACCAGCGCCTGTATGGCACCAAGTGCGACAGCTGTGGAGAGTTTATTACCGGGGAGGTGGTCTCGGCGCTGGGCCGCACCTACCACCCCAAGTGCTTCGTCTGCAGTATCTGCAGGTACAGTAACGATCCAGAGCATATTTGTGTTGTAAAGAAGCATTTTTGTCCCTGACTGTTAGAGCCTGGGCTCCAGAGCTATTGAAATTCTATACTTTTATTGTACAGACTTAAGTAATACAATACTACCAAGTATTGAGAAGCTCTGTTTCATTCAGTGCCAAATTTCAACATGTAAGTAGTCAGCTACACCCACTTTTGATTTGTAATTAAAAGGCATTGGAAAAAAGTACTGTTCAAGAATTGGTGTCAGAATTAAGCTATTGGTTTATTTAAAAAATTAAAAATATATACATACACCAAGCCTTACTGACGTTAAGATTGAAATACTGTGGCATTGTGACAAATGAGTGGGAGACTTACTTTCCAAAACATAGTTATATAGCTCTTTTAAAGCAGCTCTACGCCAGGCACAGATTTCTCAAACCCAGTTTAAAACTGGTCTCAAAAAACCGTAACTTCACACCCACATCTTCTCACTAATGGTAGGTTCAGTCTATTTTCCCCTGTGACTCCCTGGAATGTATTCACATGAGAGTGCTCCTGAATGGATACCAAACTATTCACACTGCCTTGAAGCCACAGTGTAAATAACAAAAGAAAGAAAGCACAAAACGCGTTCACTGAGATACTTTTTAACTTCTGATAGATGCAGTAACATCTTTCAAGGACAATAATCTTTATTTATTTAAGCTTGAGTTGTGTCTGTCTTCAGTTCAGAGTAACCCTGGTAGTTAGAGCTAACGTTATTGAGAAACTGTCAGACCTGTGGATACACAATGTAGCTAATTCTTTACTCTTCCAGGTGAGGATAAAGCACATTAAGTGCCAATGAATGTAAATTAGAATAGTATGTTGGTACATCAGTTGCCGTTTTAGAATGTTCACCTAAGGTTTCCAAGGTAATGTTAGCTAGTATCTAACTAATTAGCATATATGTTAGGAGGTTGCAGAATAAGTGTTTTTACTTAAATTTCCATTTTAATAAACCCTCATCACACATTACATTCCCTCACCCTTCAATAATCCATTCCCCGATTCTTATTATGACTGGCCTTCATAACCTTCTTGACCTCTGTCCAGAGTTCTACTCAAGCTGTATCCACCAACCACAGTTCATTTTAGACAAAAGAATTCCCCTCCTTAAATCATTTACTCATGTTCACTTCCTCTAAGATATTCTTCTGCAAACGAAAGGGTGAACATGCCTTTATTTCCCAAGCTGCAGAAGAGCTAGATCATAATATGAAGGTGTTGAGCACAGGTAGTCTCACCTTTACAAGCGGAGCTGTGCAGGAAAGGGTGTCATGTTTTAACCTGGCATCTAAACAAACTGGGGCATTACTCAGCCGCAGGGCTGGATCCCAACGTCAGAAACATTCACTTCAGCCTGTGACACAATCCGATAACACAGCATGAGCGTAGCGAAAGTCTGTGTTGCTCCAGACTCACATTGGAGGGTAAGGATTGTGTATGACAGGTGTAGATGCTGAATGGGCTGAGTGGTTTGTTTGAACTATTCTACTAATAGTCCTGTGATGTAGAACAAACCACATGCACACACAGTTGAGAACTGGACGCTGCTACAAGGGAAGTGGCTGGTGTACAGCAGCGGTGAGGCTATTTAAAGCATGCCAAGGGACCCGACACTACGTTTGGCTTTAGATGAGCAGAACTTGAATAGAAGGAGCTGGTGGAAAGCCAGGGCACACACACATACGCACACGCACACACACACACATACGCACACGCACACACACACAAAACCAAACAAACAACCTTTGCTCCTCACTCTGTTTTTAGCCGTTCTGCTACTGAGTGATATATAAAAAGATTTAGGAACCTTCTCAAAGGCCTTTAACAGCAGAAGAAGGAGAATAGACTATTTCTAAAGGGACAGTAGGAGTGCTGATTCAATGTATTTTCTCTACATAGCATTGTACAAAGATAAAATCTGTACAGACTTTTAAGCCGATTGAACGAAGCTGCATAAGTAAAATGTATAGGTGTGTCAAATCAACGCTTTCTGTGTGCTACTGTGTTTCATATCACAGTGTAAAAGATACACACAGCTTCCTTTGTTGTTGGCTAGAAACTCATTCACAATGCAATTCATGTTGGTGAGCACTTACTATTATTGCGTTTATTTTGATTAATGATAAAACACATCTGAGGTGTTCCTGTATATGAATTTTACGGCAAAGATTAAGCAGCAGAAATGGTCTCAGCTTTAAATGTTTAATGCTTATAAAATGCTTGAATATTTAAATAATGTGTGTTAGACTTGTGATTATACCAGAATTTTGACCTAGATAGCAATGCTATGTAGGGCTGCACAATTAATTGTATTTTTATAGTTATGACTGTCTAATGAACACAATGTTAAGGGCTGTGATGACAGAATGAATGAAATTACATTGCATGCACACAGTCATAATTAGATTGTACTCAATAAAGAATGTAGCGATCGGAGTTCTGTTGTAATATTAGAGCAGTGAATTGCTCCCTTTAGAGGGTTTGAATCCCAGTGTATCATGTATAAAGTGACTTCACCGCTCTGCTATGGAGCCATTTACAAAGTACTCAAACATACATAGCTCAAAATAAGTGTCATTCATTATGTAACTGTTTAAGTAGTTTAATATTGGTGATAATATTCAATATTACATTTGAATATTAAAGCAAAACAACAACAATTAAATTTGTAAGAGTTAGACATGGAGTCAGTGCAACATCAGATGGGATTTATTGTGTATATGTAATTCGAATGTGTTTGTGTGGAACTGTCTAGACCAGCTGGGGTTCCTTTGGCATGCTGTGAATGAACAGGTAGCTGACTAAGGCCAGTTGGTTCAGCTGGCCAGCAGCCACTAAGAGGTCAGTCAGCCCTGACCTTTACAACACACACAGGGCCTGGACTATACTGCAGCCACACTGCTAGTTACTAAGACAGGGTCCAACGCCCAAACCAATAATAGAAGCCTGAGCATCCAGTCTGCAAATTTAATTCAGTCTTCAACATGTTTGCTGCTGCTTTAACAGAAGCCGAATCTTTTGTAATTGAGGATTTTCAAGGTCTCAAAAGTTTACTTAAGTGCAAGTACAGTTGCTATGGAGTTTTTAATTAGTATTGCTTCCAAAGTTGCACAAAGAGTTTTTGCATGCTTATTGTTTTTTTCCGCATTAAACAAACAAAAGAAACTGACAAAATTCTTCATAGGTCTGCACAAATTTTCAACATATGCTTTACATGTTGCATTGGTTGTGGTCCTATAGGCTATTTCTGTAGATAGTGAGTAGCAGCAGAACATGGTTCTGCAGTGTGAGCAAAATGCTCACATCTTTTTTCTGTTTTTAAAAATTGCAACCAGAATTTTGATTCAGGAGCGCCCATGCAAGAAAAGATTTTGGTTCAACAGCCAACCACTTCATTATACATGAACACAAATGTGCAGATTTTTCAGCGATGTGTGCAACTGGTCTTAAATGCTGGTATATTTACAGGGTATTACATTATATTACTGGCTTCTCATGGCTAATACATGGTTTAGTTAAGACATGCTGGTTTACTATAAAACTCAGACTTTACTATAAGACTATGTTGCCTTTGCTGTGGTCTGATGGCAGTGATTGTTAATGTTATGGGTTAAAAGTGGGTTTGTTTTACTGTGCGCTGTGCAGTGGCATCACATAAGCCGCCAATAATGAGCTCAACTGCATATTGGCAATGCACTGCTCGTGGTATTAGCCAATACAACATCATCAAATTAAAGCCAAGTATGTTGATTTTGTGCTGGCATTCACACAGGCTACCAAAACAGATGCTAAGCAAAATAACTAGCAGCGAAATGGCCCTCTTATAGAACAGAAAAATCTGCCAAATGGAGTGTTTTGTAGAGTTTATAAGCATGCTGTAAAGATCGCAGTGCACAACTAGTGACTAGCCAGAACTAGGGATTCATTTTCAGTGAGATCAGTTGGCTCAGTTTACCAAAATGAACCAATGCTTTTGCCTCAAAAGCAATTCTTGCATTGAGTTTTTTTAAATCCCAAAACTAGTCATGTTTGCAACATTATCCATCATTTAATTTTCAACAAATCTAATGCAATGTGTTATAAAACACTAATTCAATAAATGTGAACTATCAAGATGTTAGAATCAGAAGTGCCTGTCCAGCAAATGGGCTTGCTGACCAAACTTATAAGAACTGCTGGCACAAAGATATACATACTTTGTGTAAATTAAGACAGAAACATAGATAAATTAAAAAACTGCATGAGAAAACAAATACTGAATGACTCAAAGTGATTCCTAATGTTGTTCAGCTAATCCTAAAGGGCTTGGACAATGTCAGAAATATCTGATTGCTGAATGAAACATTCTCTCTGACTGATAAGAAAAATAGAGGAAATTAAAAAAAGTTAATATTAAGTTTCATATATTTTTCCTAGATTTTTCTGTGTACTTCAGCTTATTTCAGATCAGGTGTACCAGAGCTTCTTGGCAAAAAGCTTACTGTACAAACTTTAGTAGTAGTAGAACATGGAAGAGTAAACAAAGTTAAATACTTTGAAAAAGCAACGTCAGAGTCTTCAGTCATTCTCCATAGTAATCTACACCTATTGCTATTGAAAGGTAGGCTTGTGGTTAATTAGCCTTTACCCATTCTGGTATGCTGTCAGTTGTTATATTAGCCTAACTAAGCAACTTGGTTGTTTAATATTGAAAAATCTTGTGGTTGCCATAGTGATGTCTCATGAACACAAGGCTTGCTAACTGCCCCGACAACCTTTAAGCACGCCCCTGTGAAATGAAATTCTGGCTATGCTACTGGTGCACACAACTTAAATAGCAATAAAACAACAAATAGCAATAAAACAACAACTTTTCATCTTTTGAAGTTCAGATCTCCTCTCCTACAATCACAAATGTGGCACTGATTGAAGTTTGTAATCTATACTTGATTGCAAAATGAAAAATAATTCATTTAAAATTACTGTGCTTTATTGTTACCGGTGGTAACAAAATGCTTTATTTGATCATTTGATTTTATGGTATTGGTCTTGTCTGAATAGTGCATCTGGGATTTGGGCCACTCTGTTGCATAAATGTTGACTGCAACAAAAGCACCCAGTCAGACTCTATGACACCGTTATGGCACCCAACATTTCTGCCACTTTATTTACGTATGGAAAACTCTGGCGGCATATGTTTATCACAGATTTATGATTAACACATGTATGACAATCAGAAAAGATGTGCAAAACGAGCCCGTTAAATTTGTGATTTGATGAATATGCGAGCCACCTTCCTTTCATGTGTTGGCGTGTAAGAAGAATGACCCTCGTCATTACTTTTAATAGGCTTGTAAAACCGCCTTTGATGGTTGACTTCTAGATGAGAAACTAATTAATTGCTTTCTCTGACCAAATTTAGCCTTTTTTCTCACAAATCATTATTAGCTGAATTTCATAAGCATAATCAGATCCAAATTCATGCAGGAATAATCTCTGCAATTTCCCCAATGGTACTGCCAAGTAATTAGTCTTGGAGCCCAGCTGCAATGACCACTTTAGTTACAGATGTTACAGACAAGTGCCGGAGGAGAGTAATTTTGCAGATTTTTGGAATCCACTTTCCAAAACTGTTCCAAAACTGGTGACCAGTTTACTCAAGAACAATGAATCTACATAGGAAACATGAATCTGCTTGAGAAACGCAGATGTTCAGGATATTCAAGTCTATTGAAGAAGAGCAAATCTACATTAGAAGTATGAATCCACTGAAGAAGCAGAAATCTTCAAGAAGTGAATATCTACTCAAGAAGCATGAATCTCCTCAACAAGCATGAATTACTCAAGAAACATGAATCTACTCATGAAGTATGAATCTACTCAAGAAGCATGGTTCCATTCAGACACCAGTTTACTCAAGAAGCACAAATCTATGTATCAAACACTATATTTATAACCATATACACCATCATTCAATAGTTTGGAATATCATAATAAATTGTTATTATTTTATAACATTATTTTTTGAGTTTTGATTAATATATATTAACCATAATATAAACTGGACGCAATAATCTATATTTACATGTCTTAGGCAACATTTCAGTAAGTTCACACTGCACTTATCTATTTATAGTAATACTTTTGGTTTGGGATTTGATAACTTCACAAAATTAACCATTCAAGATAATTTTATCATAATTCACTTCCAATGTTAGACCATTTCCTCAGTTATTATGACTAAATTTATTATGTTTAAATTGTCCTAATATTATACAGATCTTCATAGGCAACACATTTTTTGTACACTATTGAAAACTTTTAAACAATAGCATAAACTCATAATTTTTTTTTCCACAGAAACACTCAACTCAGAACCTTATAAGCTCTTTTGAAAACAGCAGACATGTCTAAGAAAATACTGTATCAGTGAAGAATGCAGCGATATTATCCATGCTTTTGTTTTAGTATTTAATCCATTTGAACACAAAAAAAGTAGTCCCAGAGAAGATGAGGAGAAAATACAGTATGAAGGAGATTAGTGTATGCTGCTGCTTTCCTGACGTCTTTGCCCTTGCTTTGCTCTGTCATGGTCTTTTAGTAACCAGATTATACTGAGACTTCCTAACAAATCTCACCCTTACGCTTACTGCAGTGTCTCAGGACCTGCTTTGAGAAAAGAAAAGCATGTGCGTGTGTACAATTTTATGCTTATCCAGACAAATATTTGCTGCCTGTTAAGCCATTTGATCAGCTGCTTCTGGGTGAAAAGGTGTCATAATGTATCATGAACTGATTGTTATTACTGTAACAGAATAAGTGTTGCAGTAACTGGCTATAATAGTGGAACTGCTATGGAAAGTGCAGTACAGTAAGCATCATTAACAAGGACAGGTTTGTGTGTGTGTGTGTGTTGTCTGACATGCTCTGTCTCACTATGTCACAGGAAGCCGTTCCCCATTGGAGACAGGGTGACCTTCTGCGGGAAGAAGTGTGTGTGTCAGCAGTGCTCACATACACTCGTCAGCAGCAACGAGCCCGTCAAGATCCACGGCCCCAGCCGTAAGTCTCCTCCCTATCACACCAGTAGACAACTCTCTCTGTACTCTCTCTCCTGTGATGTCAACTAGTTGCAGGCGATGTACCAGTTACAATTCTTCCTGAGGTGTGAGTTTTGCCATGTCCGTTATGCCATTAGGCCACAAATAAGCGCAAACAACACAACATACATACAGTGCAAAATGTGCCAGTTCCCTCACCTCATGTGTAATGAAGCTCTGCAGTTTCTCAACTACTACTGATAGCACTGATGGCAATAAACTTTGTGCTGTACATGCGCTTGCCTTTATCTCGTTACAGTTAGAAAGCAATATTGACATCTGTCTACATATATTGTTCATTCCTGTTTTATTATTTTACCCAAAATTCAGTTGTTTGAAAATAGTTCTTATTAAAAGTGAAGGGACATTGAAGGAAAGGGAATAGGTTTACTTAAGCATCCAAAATGGTTTTATTTAGACAAAAAATAAAAACTTAAATACACCATTTATCTGGCAATCATACTAAGTGATTTGGAGGCCTCTCTGGTGGAAATTTGTAATTGTATGCAATGTATGGAAGAACATTCCTGAGCAACAAGTCTGATGATTGAGAGCGCATTGACAGTGTTCAAAGTCTGAGCATGTAAGTGAATTATCTACTATCTTCATCAGTATAGTGTTGATTTTGCATATGAGACCTAAACATCGAGGTGCATCTTCTTTTTGGGCCCGTGCATGTGACATTAATACATAAAGTTGGATGACGTGGTCTGTGAAATCTGACCCGACACCTCTGACTTTTAAATTAATATTTCAGGCTATACAGGGTGACTCACAGCAGCGCACGCTCACCATATTTAGGGCGTTTTTTTCAGTAATGATACTTTTTTCAGTTTAAACCAAATTACACAGCCTTTCACACACAATCAAATAATAAAGATGCATTGATCATAAATTTGTATGGCCTGAAATAATAATTTAACAGTCAGTGGAGTTGGGTCAGATTTTGCGTTTGAGTTTTATGGACCACATCATACGTCTTTGCATATTAACATCACATGCACAGCCTCAAAAAGAAGGTCCGGTTTGATGTTTAGGTCTCACATGCAAAATCAACATTATACTGATAAAGATATGATGACAATAGTAGATAATTCAGTTCCTCAGAAGATGCGTCCTTCACCAAGTTTTGACTGCGTTCTCTTTGAACGCTCTTTCAATGCACTGAGACTGAGATTCGTCTGCTCAGGGAAGGTGTGCGAATCACAGCCAACGTTCGAAATGTTCTTCTGCACAATTGTGTGCAATTACACATTTCCACCTAGATCCCCAATAAATAACATGAATCATGAAAGTGTGGCTGTTTAGCACATGTTGCTTAATTACACTACACTTCAGCATTCTAATTCAGTGGAAGTGCACATTATAACACAAAAGATATATGAGCCAAAACCAAAATAATAAATTGGGCAATTGCCGATTTTGTGATTGGAGCAGATATCTGCCGAGTTCAGTCTTTGAGGACTGTGCATCCCTATTAAATACACATACAAACACAATCAAAGAGTGAGAGACTGAGAGCAGAGTCAGGCTGTGTTCTTGATGATCCGACAGAACAAACGGTCTCTGTCGAAGGTGCATCATCTGCAAGGTGAGACTGAGGAGCAGATCTCTCTAATGCATTTTTGTGCCTTGATCATTTTGGTGCATGAAACTGTTTTGTCCATGTACAGCGTGCACGTGACAAAAGAATGTCACATAAATCAGTATGTACATGCTCTCACCCCACTACCTGCAGTCTGACCAGATTCTGTTCTAGCTTCACTGAAGAAGCCAGCCCTTTTCTTTCAGTTCTTTTACCTCTTTTGCTTCTTATGGTCTTGACTACAACACAGGCATCAAGATCTTCAGTCACAAACAGTCCTTCACACGAAAGCGTTGAAAAATGCTAGAAACAGCTGTGCACAGTGAGATGCTGTCATGCCAGACTTTGTAATGAAATGTAAAATGGTATTAATTTTTAAACGCTTTAACTTGCTTACGTCAGTAAGCCATGACATGGCGGTACAGCCTACTCAAATGATGTTGAATGTGCATGAGTGAACACCGACAAGCGGCTTTTGTATACCAGTGTTAAGACCTCTCTTACCTCCACTGCTGTGTTCACTTAGAGACACACCTATAGACTCAGTGTTTTTGACACTGTATGGCATACATACATACATACATACACACATACATATTGATGGCTGAATTGTGTCCTTATTTTGTTATGGTTTAGACATGAGATTTGCACAGTGCTGCTTGGTGAAATAGAAGATTCCATTACTTAGTAACTGCATTAGCCTCATAGTTGCAAAACTAAAGAAACAAACTTCAGACAATAGACATGTCTTGGCTAATCAGCTGTACTTGGGGTATGAGGAAAACTGTAAATGAGATTGTTTGCTGATCTGTTCTTTTAATGGGGATGTGACAGTTTGACAACTGACCAGAAACACTAAATGTTTAAAATGTACCCCGTCAGTGATCATTATTCAATCATAGTTTTTAATCCGCGTGAATCTTGTTAGTAGCTGTTGAACCAAAGGAATGTTTTAATTTAGAAAAGTTAGTTAGGAACTAATTTTAGAACCCAAAGGAGCTTTTTGGTGTCCTTAATTAGGTTGGAAGGCCTGAATACACTGCCTCTGTTCTAGGCGCACTGAAGAAATCAGACGTTTTCTTTTAGTTTTTATAGTCACTGTCTCTATAGTCCAGTCTCTGCTGCATTGTTTCTCGCTGAGACTTGGGTCAGCACACAGTGAGTGCTCTGCATGCTCTGCCTTTTGATTATCCTAGTGAAGCAGATGCTGTGTGGTGCAGCCAGATGGGCCGAAGCTGGAGCAGAGTGGAGCGCAGCAGTGTGTCGGACAGATGACAAACAGAGTGCTGGAGCTGCATTTACCTAAGAGTGGCAAAAGAACAGTCCAGATGATGTCATTGCAGAGTAGTGACACCCGAATTTCATAGGAGAGCTAAACTTGTGTGCCATCACAAGCAGGCTTGTGCACAGACATTTGGGGGGACAGGGGCTCAACAAGAAAAAAAAGGGCAAAACTCAGTCAAAGCCATAACGTTGCTCACTACATTATTTAATCACCACAGAGTTGTTAGTTATAAATCTATTTAAGATCTCCACAGTCCCTTTTTTCTATAATAGTAGTTAATATGTTAACTGCCTGAATGGCTGTCATTGGTTGTTGTTCAAAATAACTATGTCCTAAATAAATTATCAGTGTTTTATTGGTGGGATTTCCAGCACTATGGTGATGCATGATAAGTCAGAATCACTGAGGAGAACCACAGGCAGTCTGTTCTGCACCAGAGGGGGTGCTCAAGAGGATTAAACTCGCAGAACCCAAGCTGACCCACAACCTCTATTCCCAGGGCGAGGCTCACCACACCTCACCTCACTGAAAGGGATCTTAAAGAATGACAGAGGCAATATGAAACAGTTATTATACACACCAACCAACAAGACGGTCTGAGGGCAAAAGGGGCAGGAGCTCAGGCCCCCTCGGGTCTATCTGTGCACGTGCCTGCAGTCTCCTAAATGAGAACAAATGAGCGAGTGACCTTTTCTGAGGAGAAGCCTCGCTACAGTCATGCATCTTCTTCTGCCATAACTCCCTCTGCTGTCTCGCTTAGAAACACACACGCACACATGCTGTTCCCTACTTGTGTTGCTGTTCATGTCTCTAGTCATTAGTCTGTGGCCCGTGAACACTCAGGTCACTCTGACCATTTTTCACTCTTTCGCTGTAAATATGACTCACTGTGCAGAACCTGCAGGTACCTCCAGTTAAACATGTGGCAAACAGAGTACACTGAAAAAAAGTGATGCACTGAATTTTACTTGTTTCAGATGAATCACTTCCACATGAATACAATGTAAAGCATCAACACAGTTGTTCCCAAAGTAAGTACATTAAAAGACACAGTTGTGGGGATGTAATTTGTACATAATGTACACATTTGAATTAAGTAAGTTAGGTCATCACTTTTTTAGTTAGGGTCTGTGACTGCACTACACAGAGGGTACATTGAGAATGACTCTCGTTTAGAATGTAGCCAAGTATTAGGGATTGAAAAGCATAAATGCAAAACCGTGATAATAAAAGTGTAGCAGTAAAATAAAAGATATTTAAATATTAAAACAGCAAAAGAAGATAAAATGAAGTTTAAAGCTGCACTATGTAAGATCTGGGTATTTGGAGACCTCTCTGATGGAAATGTTTAATTGCACACAGTGTGTGGAGGAACGTTTTGTAGCATTGCCTGTGTTTCTAACCCCTTCCCCGAATGGATAAATCTGATGATTGCGAACACGTTAACAAGAGAACTCAGTGAAGGTTGTGTCTTCAGAGGATGTAAGCGAATTATCTACTATTGTTGTCATATCTTCATAAGTATAATGTTGATTTTATTTACATTTGATACTTAAACATCAGGCTGGATCTTCTTTCTGAGCCTGTGCATGTGACGTTAATATGAAAAGATGTATGATGTGGTCTGACTTATAAATGATTATTTCAGGCTTTACACGGAGACTGACAGCAACACATGCAGACTACATTTAGAGTGTTTTTCCTCTGACTCAGTAATGCTTCTGTCAGTATTAAAAGAGCAATGAGCTCTTTTAATATTTTCTCTTTTTTGCCTCACAAAGCAACTAATATGGCAATGTTCTTGAAACTGTATACAGCATGCGTGATACGAAGCAGCTATATTGCACCCCAGTGTTGTAGAGAGGCAATAGCCCTCTCTTCGTTTGATGGTGGAAGAACAGTCCACAGCTGTGTTATTAGTGTCGCTCAAAAGAGGTTGAAGTTAGAGGTTAGTTACTGGTAACTGTAAGAAATGCTTATTTTTCGATTCTGTGTAGTCAGTAACTGATACCGCTGTTGTCGTATGCATCTTTGATTTCACTTGCAGTTGAAGCTGAAGTGTTAGCTTAGCGAATTTTTACACCTCCTGATGAGAACCAAGCCCTGTTACATTAATACTAAGTGTTGGAGAATGGAAACTACAGTCACATGGACAACTTCTGTTTTTAGACTGATCAAAGTGTTTTCACTGAATATAGTGGGAATGCTATTAGCATTGTTGTAGCATTTGTTGTACTTTTACTTTTTTTTTAATTTTTTTTTACATTCACTATTCAACAACACACTGCTCACCTGTCAGGTACTGCACTGAATAACATGTGGAAAAGTGACTAGTATAGCCTTAGTGGCTTTCTTCTATGGTAAGTTGGACCCCTGTTGTCACATAATCTAAACATGGCACTGCCCATTGGTTTATACAAGCCTAAGAAGTAATTTGAGTCCTAGATGAGCTGACATTATGAAAGAAACTTAGAGGGAAATCCTTTTTATATGTAACATTTTGTTTCGTTTTTGATCGTAAACATTGCTTACTGCATTTTTAAACACAGTGCAGCTTTAAGCAATTAAAACAAGTAAGACTGTTCAAACAAAGTCATTAAACAAATAATAGGAGTCAAATAAAATAAGCAGTGTCAGCAGACTTGTGCTACATGATTCACATCACAAAATCTATTTATTTATTTATTTATTTTTGTATTTTCTTAGGTTTGAAACACATTACAGTGAATAGGACTAATTATGCTCTCATTGTAATGAGACATGCAGGTGGGCAATGTTTGAGTTGCTATGAAGATCTTCAAATAATTCAGGTGTTCCAAGAAATATTTCTAAGATGGAGATTTCGCTCATCCACATGGTTGTCAATCAGTGATGACGTGCACAACTGCATTGTGAATAATTATACTTCTGATTGGTATAGATCCTGACTGGCCTAGAGGTCTTGTTTCCTGGCTGCTACTCACATCAACAGTTTCCACTGTCTTAAAAAGAGAACAGTGACTAAATAACGATACAAATCTGTGCGGCAAAATGCATTTTGGCTAGTCTCTACACCAAATAATTTTAAAAGTTATTAAATTATATGAGAGGTATGCTGGCAACATGATCAAGTCTAGGAAAACTTACAGAGTCAGAATTGTTCATAGTGGTGGTCATATCAACCAGACGTCTGAAGAATTTAATGCTCCAAAAACACCTGACAGAAAGTTATTATAAGAAATGGTTATGAATAAACTACCTGAGGCATGACATGTTGTTTGAAGGTAGGTTTGCAGTAAAGTTTAATGTTTTGTCATGTTATGTCATATTTTCAGAGCAGAGGGGTACATGCAGGACAGTGAAAGGCAAAATAGTATCCAAAGAAAATGTATTTGTTTCAGATTTACTAATTACTATAATAACTACTAGTTTTACTAATATCATTATTACATATAAAAACTGTTTCTGAAAAACTGGTGGAATTCCCCTAAGTATGTACAATATCTGTGATCTGCTCAGAAAATCATATTCTGACAAATATCATTGCATTGCCTATCCCTAGTATAGTATAACAAGTATATATAGTATAAAATAGTATAACCAAAATGTACTTTTTGGAAACAGCTCCTTTTAAAAGTCGTGAAATCCAACTCTTGCCCACTGTCTGATACAGTCTCTCCTGCTTCATCCTACTCATTTGTCCACCCTCATTCTTCTCTCTCTCTCTCTGCTCTCTCTCTCTCTGTTTGACAGATTGTGCGGGGTGTAAGGAGGAGATAACTCACGGCCAGTCTCTGCTAGCTCTGGAGAAGCAGTGGCACGTCAGCTGCTTCAAGTGTCAAACCTGTGGCACAGTTCTGACAGGAGAGTACATCAGCAAGTAGGTCCTCACTTTGTGATCTCTGCTTACCATCACTGTCACATCAAAACCTCAAAACTATATAAAAATCTTTTTACACCATTTAGCAGCACTTTTCATGATTCATTTCATAATTAATTGACCAATTGAAATGGTCTAAACTTCCTTGGAATTAATTTAATTATTGTTATAGATAATAAATAATTTCATCATTGCTATTTCTCTACAGAAAGGCTATGTTAGACTGCAGAGATCTTTATGATCTCCAGTCTGCTCTCACTTAGTCCCACCAATTCAAAGGCATTTTTCTATATATACACACACACACACACACACACACACACACACATATATATATATATATATATATATATCTCACACACACACAGGAGATTTCAGCTGGGATATTTCAAGGAAATGACATGGACAAAATGGTCATTGTGTTCTTTGTTATGTGTGCATGTCGTGCAGAGATGGGATTCCATACTGTGAGTCAGATTACCACAGTCAGTTCGGCATCAGGTGTGAGACGTGCAACAAATACATCAGCGGAAGAGTGCTGGAGGTGAGCTCAAACACCACAGTTTTCTGTATCTCATCTGTAAACTAGATCACAGTTAAGATCTTGCCTGTGTCAAATTAACTAAAATAATCCTTCCTTGTTCATTGGTTGTTATTTGCTGGCTTAAAGCCTTAAGGGGATGCTTTTCCCATCGATAAACCTGCCTACATGCAGTAGCTAACCCTCAGGGCTTAATATAAGGCCTGATGATTTCTGAGAACTAAAAAATACATGTCCATAATTTTTTGTTTATTTTCATTTAATAGAACCACCATGTTTGCTGTATATAAACTCTGCAGATATTGTTGAAAAGCTCCATTGTTAAATTTTTTGGGAAATAAAAGGGTTAATCTTGAAATGAAAAACTATCCAATCAGTTTTCCCATAGTATCTAGGTAGATGCAACCAAGTTAGCTTTTCCTATGGTTAGGTCTTTGCAAGCTAGATAGAAGCTCTACACATTACATTAAATTTAGTTAATTCTTCACTCTTCAAAGTGATAATTCCTTTTTACTTTCAATCTCTATATCAAAAACAAGCACTACTGCACCACTCCTATTTCTCTCTGTTACAAAAACAGTGCATTACATTGTGTATCAGCTATTTTGTATTGTTTGAATTCTCTAAGATAAATCTTTCAGGTATTCTATGGTCATTCTCTAGTTAGTTTACTGAACTGCAAACGACTTAGTGAGTAGTGAAGGAGATTACGAGTGAACTGTTCTGGACATAGGACAGTACATTGATGTATTGCTAATTTTAGAATTATACTTTTATTAAGACTTTGCTAAGATAATGTTTGCTAGCTAGGTAGCTAACTCTACCATTGTTAGGATGTTTGCTGGTAAAAAGAGTGCTCATATTTTCACACTCTCAATAGAAACTTGTAAGCTCACCTTTACTCTACATGTAGTCTTGCATATTTGTAGACATTTTTGTGACTGCATGTCGCTACGGCCCAGTATTAGCTAACAAGTAAAGATGACTAAGAAGACAGCTTATCAGCCAATTAGTCACTTCAGGTTTGTTCTTTAATTGGGACATAAAATAAGTAACAATACAGTTAAATCAATTAAATGACAAATTAATTACATACATCATCTAAACCGCTTATCCTTCTGGGTCGCGGTGGGGTGCTGGAGCCTATCCCAGCTGTCATTGGGCGGAAGGCAGGATACACCCTGGACAGGTCGCCAGTCCATCGCAGGGCAGACAGACAGACATACACAGTCACACACTCACTCACACCTAGGGGCAATTTAGCATGTCCAATCAGCCTAACTGCATGTTTTTGGACTGTGGGAGGAAACCAGAGTACCCGGAGAAAACCCACGTTAGACACGGGGAGAACAGGCAAACTCCACACAGAAACGACCCTGGCCGCCTGGCCGGGAATCGAACCCAGGCCGTTCTTGCTGTGAGGCGACAGCGCTACCCACTGCGCCACCGTGCCGCCACTTATCATCACATAAGATTTAATTATTGTGATGGGCCTTTTCTTGACACAATAGTGTCTAGAGTGAAATTTCATGGTTTGATACTAGGAAATTCTCCTTTTTTCTATTTGGAAGATGATTGTAAATGTGCTACTTTATGGTAGGCTGTTCTTTTTTCTGGTAGCTGGCTCACTAGATAATGCAATTGGACAAATGTAGAAGAAAGCCAAAAAGCTACTGCCAGGAAGCTGAGTATCACCTTAACAGTAAAGATGAGGAGAATGAAAAGCTAAAAGATATCTAGCTTGGTAGGTAGCTGTGTTGTTTCCAAACTTCAACTAAAACAAATGAATGTCTTTTCAAGCTTCAGATGTCTGTGTTTAATCTAGAACAGCCAAAAAGTTCACATGCACCACTGTTAGCTTAGTACGGAGCCCCTAAGGTAACAGGCTGATTATTTTTAAAAAGGGTGTGGCCGAATTAATATATTGAGGCCACAAGTTAAGTTTCCCATGGCTATGTATTAATGTATCAAGGCCACAGATTAATACATTTGGGCCACATTTTTTAATAAAGCATGAAGTTTCTCATGGCCACAAATGAATATCTTGGATGAGAAACCATGAGAAACTTCATGGTTTTGTAAATAATAATCACTAGGGGCTCCCTAGCTTAGCACTAACATGCTGCTAGAAATCCCACAAGGATGCTAGCAGAAGTTATCATTATTGAATTATCTTTTTGACATTTGTAGCCTGAACTCCGTAGCCACTGTCTACTCGCCTCTTGACTCAGCCTTTTACTATTATTCTAAAATAAAGCTTCATGGCACATTTATGCTGAAAGAAAAACTGAATGTGAATTGAGTGCATTTTCATGCATTTCAAATTCGATTAAGGCAAATAAACATAGATAAGCCAACGATGCAGAAAACATTTTGAAACAGATCAGGAGTCTTACAAAAAACTTAAGTTGTAACTTCTAACTTGGTACTGTAACACATTTAGAGGGCAGTGCAGCTACTTTTTACCTTCTTGCCTTTTAGCTTGTCATCCTCCTCATCTGATGAATCATTTCTGGTCCAGATTTCCATTTCACTCTCTTCAGTCTCACAACTCCATACTTAAAGTAGGTTTGTAGAAGTTAGTGAAAAAATTGGATTAATACTAATCTTGTTTAAAGTGTTATTTACTGCTTGCTAACGAATAGGGTTTTTTTCTGGCTACAAATTAATCCTAGTTCTTGACATTTTCAGTGTGGGGATAACCTATTGACAGTAATTTAGTCCAGTATTAAGCTTGATCTGTGCCTAGAATCTGCTGTTAGCTTTCAACTAAAGTTTTAAATGTATTTAAACACTAGTTTTGCTTCTCGTTTCTACATCATATCCTCTGAGCAAGAGGCATTTTATTATCTTTTGGAGTTGACATGTAGGCTGCTTATGCAATCTGTATTTTTAGATGTTTAGTCGTCTCTGCACCATCTCCAGCCACACAACTCCTGACCCTTTCCACAGTATTCCTCACCTCCTCCTCCTTCTCTTCTCACTCTCTCTTTTATTCTTTGAGTTTTTGGTGGCTCCGTACTCTCTCCTCCTTTTATATTGATGTGGAAACTCAAAGCCGTAAAATGAGGACATGCGGAGCAGTAATTAACATAAAGTAGTAGAACAGTGTTGATAAATGAGGGTGATGAATGAAGGTCCTTTATGATCTTCACATGCTTTGCTTTTTGCATATCTTATTTAGAAAGGAAGGAAGGATGGAATCATGGAATGAATGAATGAACAAACAAACAAGTGCACTTTTCAAACTCGTAAAGCAATTTAAAAGCAAGACAGTCTGGACCCTAAAGGCTCACATTCTAAAAGGCATTCAGATTCAAGTGTGGAAAATTCTCTGTGAATCAGATTTGGCCCGGCCTGTTGGTCTGATCTCTGGATTCCTCTTCATTCTTTACGCTGATGGTATGCAAGCTCTTTCTTTGAAGTTCAGCGTCAAAGCACAATTAGCATACCAAGCTCTTTGGATCCATTTCTAAGATTGTTAAAGCTGCTCTAGCCATGTTGTCCTTTCTAGTTGCTTTCTGGTCTATTGTAGTGTAAAAGCACATAACCATAACTCCTATTAACTGGTAAAGATTCTATAGATTACTGGACCAGACATTACCAATCAGAAGTTTTACTTATTTCTCACATTTTGGAACAATAGTGAAGATGTCAAAATGATGAAATGGCACATATGGAATTATGCAGTGACCATAAAAGTGAAGAAATCAGATATTTATGACTCTCCAAAGTAGCCCTCTCTTGGCATTCTCTCAAGCTGCTTCATGAGGAGCCACCTGGGATACTTTTCCAACAGACTTGAAGATGTTCCACATATTCTGAGACCTTGCTGGCTGCTGAAATCCTTTTGTAAATTTGCATTATTGGTTTTGGAAAGAAATCCACACATAGCCATCTCTATTTGTATTTGTTTTAGGAACTAAATTCAAGCCTTTAAGCATGAACCTTTAGCTGAAAATGTCTAAGGCTGTGAGAGAGATATATAGTGTGAAAAATAAAAGGCTTTTCTGGAGAGATACCGTAGAGAAACCACTTTTGGTTCACGAAGAGGTTAGAGCTTGAAGAACCTGTTTAAAGTTAAGAACCTACAAAATGTAGTGGTTCTGTATTAATTAATCCTCAACAGTGATTTATTCTTGTATAGCATTCAGTTTAAATATGCCACCAGAGGAGTGTGGCATATGCACATCCACACTGGCCAAAGTGAAATGAATCAGTGAGAATCAGAGCTTTCTGTCTGCTATTATGTTCACTATCCCTGTATGAAAGATGCACAAGACTTCCTTTATTGTTGGACGTACTGTGATTCAGAGCAAGTGTGCAAGCTCATTCAGAGCAACCTCCATTTATAAAAGGGTACATTCAATTAGGTGGGGCCAAAATTCACCCATGTTAAATTGATTGGTACTGTTAGAGATGGCAAGTCCACTTCATCTTTACCGAATATTAAAACCTTCTGTATCAGCCGATACTGATACTAATCAGACATATTTTCTTTAAAAATGACAACTTTAAAATGAACAATTTTTATTGGAAGAATTTCATTTAAGATAAGCATCTAAAATTAGGCTATGATGCTCAAAATACTCAGACGCTTTACTACCCCACAGCAAGAAATACACAGCTAACATCACCACATCACACAGTGTGAGGGTGTGCTTTTTCAGGATAGATTTGTTACAGGATTGGATCGGATTCATTCTTTTTGGTCTCTGATATCAGATCCAGCATTTTGTACTAATATCGGATACAGTTACCTGGTATCAGATTGGTACCATCTCTGGGTACTGTACATAAAAAAAATGTTTGATGCCGTTGAAACTACAAAATCAGTGTTTCTATTGTGATTACATTCAGCATGGAGATTCTCCAAATCAATCTGCAGTGAGCTGGAGGTGGACTGCATGGCAAATGTATTCTGAGTGCACACCGACAGGGGTCTATAAATAGAGGGTCCCCCTTAATACGCTGTCATCATCACTTAATGTGAGTCCTCTCTGACAGCTCTGCCACTGCTGTGTGTGTGTGTGTGTGTGTGTGTGTGTGTGTGTGTGTGTGTGTGATGAGAAAGAAGGTGGAATTATTTTGAGTGAAGGGGCCAATATTCAATGGCAGGTCAAAGCACATGATATTGAAGTGTCTTTTACACTCTGTCTGCCAAACAGAGTGTAGTTCCATAAAGAATAAACACAAAACAGATATGTACACTACTGTTCAGAAGTTTGAAATCACTTTAGTAATAATCTATTATTGTGTACACCTTAAGAACTCATACCAGTGGTTCTCAAACTGAGACAGTCCAGATTTTTTGTTTTAGCCTTGTTCTAGCAACACACAGTGATAGAGCAAATATGTGGACCATCTAGGGGTCCCCTAGGACCCATTTGAGAACCACTGATTTGTACAAGGTAGATTTAAACAGTGGCCAATAGTGACTATTAGGCCTTCAATTTGGGCCTCTAAGGTCAAAACTCAATGAAAAACTCAAGGAAAAAAAATCCACCTCTGTGACAATGCTAATTTCTGCTAGTGTCCCTATGGGATTACAGTAGCTTGTCAGCTCAAAGGTGACAGCAATTTGCATTAATTTTTTTGGCTGTTAGATTAAACACAGACAGTTGAAGGTTCTAAAAGACCATCCATGTTTTTCTTGAAGCTTGTGACAGACATATTAGCATATATTTTACTTAATAGAGGTTCCACGATGACTTTCAGTAGAGAGGCTGGTAAAGAGCTGCCACTGCCGTTTTCCATTTTTAACAACCCATTGATTAGGCTCTTACTCATATTCACAGTTAGTGACATATCTAGGACGCCCATCCTTTTTTTTTAACAGAGTAGTAGCTACATATTTGAATTGTTTATATATGTGTTTAAATGACAGAAAACAATGATTCCAAATGTTTTGAACTTACGATGAGGTTTAACAAGACGGTGGGAGAAGCAAAGCGAACATATTTTCACATTTTTGCCTAAATGTTGAGATATCACCTGCCATTAGTCTCTCTCTCTCCCTCTCTCCTACTCTCCACAGCCATCTAGAGAACAGCGAAAGATTTGGGACTGAGAAAATGTCTGGTTTTGAAAGATGCAGCTGCAAAAAGCGTTCAGAAAAGATTCATTTACTGACTGCCTCCCTAATTGCTTTCGCAGAGTGGAATAGAGTGTGAGGCCAATTACTGCCGCACATTCGTTTTGATTCAAAGCTCCTTTTTTTGTCTCCTGCCATAATTTTCACTTCTTCCCCACTCCTCCTAATTATTTTTGTCTTTTTTGTCATCTTGTTTCTGGCAGTTCTTCATCCAGAAGCCCTTCCCTACCCATCTGTGTGTCTTGGAAGGATAAGACTGTGATATCTCTCTCTCTCTCCCTCTCTCTGTATTAGGCTGGTGGAAAGCATTACCACCCCACCTGTGCACGTTGTGCTCGCTGTCACATGATGTTTGCTGAAGGAGAGGAGATGTACCTGACAGGTGAGTAATGCCTGACACACACTACAGGACTACAGAAGGGCCCAAATCCTACATGTGTCCACTTAACAAAAACATGCTTATGTTCCAACCTCTCTTTATTCTAAGAATTAAACACGCTGTGTCTGTTACTGTGCCTTTAAGACTGATACAGGTAAATGAGCTCTGTTCTGATTGGCTGGCCTGTATTGTACTTCATTCCAAAAGCAGTCCTGGCTGAAATAATACTTGAGGTGAAGTGGGTGTGTTAGAGCAGGAATAATGAATAAATGAAACGTAACGGTTTTTGGTAAGGAATTTTCTTTTTGGGACCAGGACTGAGAACTACTGCCATAGATCATTACTGTTTGTGTCAAATATTTAATATAGATTATTATTGGTAGGAATTATTGTAGAAATGTTAAAGATTAACCAATTAACTATCAGTCAACAGATACATAAATGTTTGAACAATGCTTTCAGTTAAAAAGTTAATTTAATTTCTGACTTTCAGCTGAAAGAGAAAAAAGCAGGGCATTCTGGCAAAAGAAAAAAAAAGTAAAAAGGACAACAAAGTGTCAAAACTAACACTTAACAAACCATATGAATTCTAATGAAAACAAGAAACAGTGATTAAAAATGCTGTTTTCTTCACCGTCATGCGCTGGTCAGGACAGACACATTCAAACAGTTTGAGCAGCAGCAGACAAACAGTGTAAAGAGGTTGCCCATTTGGAGCCATTAGACATTAGACAAGGGATCTGCTATCATTGTTCATGTCGGGTGTCAAGAGAGGGTACGACGCTCAAGATCTTCTCCCCTACGGGTTTGATGTCACTTGAAAACCAGACATTGCACTCAATACACAGAATACAATCCAACAAAACAACAGAGGAAGAAAGTCCTCACTAAAATAGAACCAAAGAATTCATAGAGTTTATTATTCATCGCCTTGAATAATCGACCTTCTCTGTTATTAAGGACATTTGAATTTGGGGCACAGACTGTAGCCTACATACTAAAATAATTGTAGTAAGGTTATTTCATGTTTATTTATTTGTCAGCTTGATTTTGTCCTATTATCAGATTTTATCAGTAATAAAGTGTATTTCCTTTATTATCTTGTATTTTTTAATGTTTAGAACATATTTTAAAAGCATAAATGAAACAGTAAAAACAATTCCTTCAGTCTTCGGCCAAGGATTTTCATTTGAGTACATCACTAATCTTAAATACATTGGCATAATTTCAATATGGACATTATAAATATCATACAGACAGATGTTCAAATAAGAATTTTTTGTACTCTGCATGAATCACGAGTAATATCTATAATCATACCTTTTAATAAAACATGGACTTGGCTCAAAGTCTGGATATAGAATCACTTAAGCTCTCTCTGAAGTATAGATCTGATGTATTTATGCACTGTGAGGGTGTATGAATATCATTATTAAATACAGATCTGTCATATAATAACCTCGCTATACTTAACCTTCCACGACTTGGAAATATGCTGCCAGTGTTAAACAGCTCCACATTGATCGCATGTATTGTACATAAATCACACTTTAAAGGGCCCATATCCTACATTTTCCTTTTTCTTTTTTTCCCCCTTAAGTTCTACTTAAGTCATGTGGTTTTATGTACCAAAAATGCAGTCATACTTCATTTTTTACATGATCATTTTCCAGCCTCTCTTTATCCCTTACAATTAAAACAGGCTGCTTTTGTTACTGTGCCTTTAAGACTATTATAAAATGTTCCGATTGGCTGCCCTGTACTGTGCCTCATTCGAAAAGCACTCAGATCTAAAACACGCCTTAGAAACTCAATGGAGTGAGCTAACTGCTGTAGGCTGAATAGGTAGATATACAGGGTGATTCAGAAAGATTAATCCGATTTCAAAATGATTTATTTCACTTTTAAATCATTACAGAACAATGCAGTAAATTGTAAATGGTACAAGTGAGCATAAAGTTTATTATATAATTTTACAAGTGTTCAATATGGTCTCCAGCTGTACAGACAACATCAACGTGTTAAATTCATCCCATACTCGATTAAGCATGTCATGTGTCACTGTACTCACGGCTCTTTCAGTGCGATTTCGGAGATCATCCAGTGTTGTTGGACCAGCGATGAACGCTCTGAACTGTTGGAGGTTCACTGCCGACAAAAATCATGTCGCACAGTTATGGCGGATTCACTCTTATTGAAGTGGAGAATGCGAAACGCTTTCTGCTCCGGGGTCGCCATTTCCTCACAGACTGAGGGGAGCCATCTTCCATTGACAGTCAGAAACTCTATGACCCCCTCTTTCAGTTGGTATGTGATTGGTTCATATGGCGACTTAGGGTTGTAAAAATATGCCACTTTGAAATCGGATGAATCTTTTTAAATCACCCTGTATGTAAATCGTTTGGTTGTCATGACATCACAGAAACGGAGTTCAAAACCGACTGTTTTTCAATTTGATCTCAATATGGCCTGGGGAATGAACAGTATGTTTAGAAACATTAACAGTGTTTACATACTGCTTTCAACTCCTTTATTTAAAACAGTGAGGGAAATTTGGTGATTCATGACATGTGCCCTTCAAAGTTAACCCAAAGTGAGTAGAGGAACCGAAAACCCTCAACTATTTTCATAAACACCCTGGTAAAAAGTAAAAGGAGTAGGAGTAAAAAAGTATCAGGTCCAAAATCTACCAAGTAGTGAGTAACTTATAGAACTGCAGTGAAACTTCTTGGAAACGTCAATTAGCACAGGAACTGAGAAGAAGCTCTCTCAATGACATTAAACAAAACGCATTAAACGCAAATTACTGAATGTGGAAGACTAAAATGGAACTGAGGATTGTAAGTAAAGGTAAATTGTTACTGTCCATGTCGGGAGTCAGGAGCTGATTTACAGTGAATGCCACTTCGAGCTGAAAAGCTCACACTGGCCTCAAAGAGCCATTGAGAAATTTTCAGTGGTCATCCTTCAAATGAAACTACAGATGATGGATTAATCACCACCACACAAACAATCAACTTAGTCTGTCAACAGAATTCAATACAGGTGCTTGAGTAATCCTGTCTAGTATGTTGTTGTTGTCATGACAAAACCTCATATCTCCAAAATGCTAACAATACAGGAGAAAGGAAAAACGTTCTTAACTTTAAATGGAAGCAAATGGAAGTAAACTGACAAACATGGAGAAACAAGATTTTGTTCCAATAGTGAGGATATAAAACTAGTCTATTATGAGCATAGTGTTAGCATGTATGAACTATAAGAACAAAAACTTTTATTTATATAGATATGGATAAAAACAAAATCTTGTCCTTTTCCTTAAAGCAGCCAAACGGAGAATTTGAATGTTCTGCTGGTCAGTCCCCATTCACACCTGCACTGTGTAAAATATTTTGTTATTCAACCTAAAAACTGTGCCTCATGTGATAAGTCCAACCCAAATAAACCCCCAAAAAACAAAGAAAAACTGTACTATGCTATACTACTAATATTTAAATCACAGAAGTAATATATTTTATTAATTTACATAGTGTATTAAAAGCTGTGTCTGCATTTTTTTCATTTGTTTCAATGTCAAAAAATGACAAACAAAAAAATTAAATAATAGAATATTAAATAGCTTTTATATCAATTTCATTTTAATTTCAAATTCAAATCATAATAAACTCTCCTCTTCTACAAACACAAATGTGTTATTGATTAAAATTTAGAATCTGCATGTTTGACAGAACTTCCCTGCTTGTTTTAGTGACTTGTGAGTGAGAAATAATTAAGTGTTGCATTTCAAGACACTGTTTTAATAATGTAATATTGTTGCATTTATTTTGATATTGTCACTGTCCCAAAAGTACATGTATCTCATCATTTTTATATTATTTTAATATCATTTTTGATATTTATTTTTCCTGTCATTCGATCACAGTAGCTGTCCTTTACATTGTATGATTTCATGATGAATGGACTAAAAAATAAAATCTTCCAAATGTATAATATAATAAAGACATTTTTGCTATTTACTATTTTGGAGATACATGGGTTTTTTGGACAATGACAGTGCAAAAGATGTACACTTTGAACAGGAAAACATAAATAAGAAAATACATGAATGTCACACATCAGTTGTTTAAATTAATAAAAAGCTCTTAATGATCCAAATTCAGTTTTGAATGTGTGCACACTGTCACAGAAACTGTCACAGTGCATCCAACAACAAAGGCAGCATTGTGATTCTTTTAAACAGTGATGAAAACACAGTGGTTTCTAAAAAGCTCCAATTCCAGATGCAGATACATTTTACTATGCCTTGCACATGCAAAACTACTCGGGACAGATTTGAATGAGTTAAACGGGCCAACGCCAGTGAACGTCTCTGAATTAAATACTTTATTAGATTTGAAAACTCTTCTGTAGTTGGTAATAGTATATTACCAAAATTGTAACCAAATTTACTTGCTTTAGAAAAAAAAATATTTTAATCAAAGAAGAGAAATTTGTAGCTCAGTACAATAGATGTTTTGTAAGAACTGAAAGTAGCAGCGTTACTGACTACTGAAGAGAAAAACAGGTTATACGGCGTGAGTGCACTGTTGTGAGTCACCCTGTAAAGCCTGAAAGTAGTCAATAGAAGTCTAAATTGTTGGGTCAGATTTTGCATGACCATATGTCTTTACAAATTAACCCTTTTTTTATTTATTTGTTAATTAAAAGTAAGGCAACTGGTGTACCAACCTTTTTTAAGAGAACTTAATGTGTTACAGTTTATGGATTGTATTTCATTTTTTGAAAAATTATATTTTTGCTGTTGTATAAAAAGAATAAAACGAGCAATATTCAAATCTTTAAAACACTTCAGATCAATTGCTTCCCTTCTTTGATGTGATTGAAGACATGCCAGACCTTACATTTTATAGCACTGTGAAAAACATTTTATGACTAGAATATTCATGAATCTCTCAAGTTCCTGTAAAAGTTTAGTTGGTGCAAATCCAGCATCTTTTGCAGCCAGGAGCCAAGAGCCTCAGAGTATTAAACATTGCATAAAACATTTTTTGTACTTCCATTTTTGGGCAGACCTAGCTGATTAATCGTCTCCTAATGAAAGTTGGGAGTTGATTGATTATGGGTCCTGTGGCGCAGAGCCCAATATTAATGCCTCAGGGGAATATTGATTTCCAAAATTTGCTGAGAGGGAACTTTTTATTGATGATGACAGGATGGACAGGTGTGATGTTAACCATAGATTATGGTAGTGGAGCCCAGATGGGTTTGAATGAAGGCCAAGAGCCATATATTGCAGGCTTCGTCCCCTGTGCCAGTGCAATTTGATATCAGGTAACAAGCCCTTGTAGAGTACTGGCTTACAAAGAGAAGAGGAAAGATGGAGCAAGAAGTGTGTTAACCCTCTAGGCTGATATGTCTTAAAGTGCGTCTTCTTACATCGAATTATTTCTCATTTATAAGTCATTGAAACAAACAGAAATTCTGTCAACAGTGTGGATTCTGAACTTTCAGTGTATGAGCATTGTACCCTCAGTGTGAGTGTTTACACCCTCAGTTGAGCTTTAAGGAAAATGCACTTAGACAGCCTGAGTAACTCCTAGCTAAGACCAGAGCTGTAGAGTACCAGTGTATGTAGAGCAGCTCTGGTAATAGCATGAAGATTAAGCAATCTACATAGTGCTTATACGTCTGGTAGTAAGCAGGTGCATCTTTTTTCTTTAATAGATAGTTTTCAAATATCCCAAACAGAAACCATGCTGATATATTCTTTTACTCATGTGATTACCTCTCTTCCACAACACCCCTGGTGCTTTTTAACCTCCACAAATTAACAGTTTAAGGCCATAAATCCTACACTTTTCTTGTATTTTAGTTTTTGCATATCTTATGTTGTTTCAAAAATAGTTGTATATGTATTTATTTTTACATCACCATTTTTAGCCTCCCTTTTCCCCTTAGAATTAAACTTAAAATTGTTATTGTGCCTTCCAGACTGATATGTAAATGACCTCTGTTCTGATTGGCTGCCCTGTATTGTACCTTGAAAAGCAGTCCAGGCTGAAATGCTCCTTATAACTTCTGTGTGAGTGGGCAGGGCTAAACTGCATATATGTAAATGTGCTGGCTTTTGAGACATCACAGAAACAGTGAATTCAAAATGGGCTGTTTTTGTGGCTAAGTTACATGGACTGTATGGGCTGGGGAGTGAATGGTACACTTTGAGATTAACAATGTTTACATACTACTTGAAACTCATTAAAAATTTGATTTTCCATGATATGAGGCCTTCACAGCATGGGAGATTCCAGTAAATAAATAAATGTTCTAATTTTTGGTCAAACACCAGCTGTGCGTTTAATTATATTTTTGATATCCACTCATTTTCCTAGTGTGTACCCCCAGTTCTGATGTACCTTCCATGATTTTGTTGTAGAACCAGGCCATTTTTGACATTGAAACAAATGGAAAAAGTCAGAAATGTAGACTTTGAGCTGTCGTTACACTATATAAATGGAACAGAAGTCAAATATAAAGAAATTTAGTAACAAAATGTGTAATTAAGCAAAATAGTCCCCAAGGGAACCTTATTTTTTTCAGATTTGCCACTATTTACCCTTAGCATACATATAAAACCTCAGAAGACACATATAGGATCACTGGTTGTTTTAGATAAATAAATCTGTTTTATTTACTATGTGGACTTTGTGACCACTGGTTCCTTTCACCACCACTGTAAAGAAATCTGAGTCAATAGGTTTCTGGCTAATAAACCATTTCACATTAAAACAATCTGACTTTAACATCTCAACCACTGGATTGTATAACAAGATCAAAAAATCAGTGGAATTCCCCTCTAAAGAGTATAGCAAATAGAACTGCAGTACTTAACAGTATAGCAAAACAGCAGTAATAACCTATTATTTTATGTGATTTCCTATATATCCTACAATATCTAAATGATCATAACCTGCCCTTATTCCTGTTTAACAGCTTGTTGTGGTTGCAGGAGAGCCTTTGCATGTATTGCTTTATGTGTGTGCTATACAGGGTGGTGTTATGGGGTGTGTGTGTAAGCCAGCAAGACATGGCAAGAATTATAGCCTCAGAGCTTTGCTGTGTCTCTTCTAAAATATGGCCCACCATGGTTGGTGTTTGATAAGTGGGAGTTGTTCGGAAGTGCTGATGCTCCAGCTCATGTCTTTGATCAGAGAGTGAGATACAGTGTGTGAATAATGACGAGAGAGGGGTTCTTCCTGGTGGAGAAACAGGTTGGAGAGTTCAAGTCTCTGTAGAGCAGTATGCACTGTTTGAACACTCAGCTTGAAATGCTTCCTGTGTGCTTTTTTGTGTTGCAGGTTCAGAAGTGTGGCATCCAATGTGCAAGCAGGCTGCGAAGATGGAGAGGAAGCTCAGGGTGAGGCACTAGACCTTCCATCAAAGCATCAGTGTTCACTCAGCGGTTTGCTATAGGTGCTAGATCATTTAGTGCCTCTGTCTCTAATGTTCAGTTCTAAACTAAGGGCCATGTTTACTAAGAAGCACGCAAAAACTTTGGTGTGCCCTGAAATTTAATTAGCCCAGCTGGCCCCAGTTATGCATTTGATGCACTGACCTGCCTTTTAAATAGTGTCAACTACAAACAGGCTAATTAAAATTGTAAAGGCACTAACATACAAATGCACGCAGATGAACTGATGCACATACAGATGAACTGGAAGTTCAGATGCAGAATATTTCCAACTGCTAAAAGATGAGCAGTTTGGGAAATGACCATGAAGGAAACAAATGCAACTGGAAATATTCATCCTTCATCTTCTCACTTGTTTTACAAATGCCCTGCAGCCATTGTCAAAGCAATTGCATCTCCTTCTTCTTGGCACCAGATTGTCAGTTTGCATAGTCTTCCCCCCTATTTTTGCTCCTTAACAGCACCATTTCATAAAAACCATATTAATAAAGTCAGATGCATAATGTATTAGCACCACCACAAATGTTTAGTACATATGGCTACATGTTGGATGTACGGCATTCCTATGATTTCGGCTTCAATACACAAAGCTTTCTAGGGTCAGTTTCTGTCTTTTTGGTCTCAGCCCACCATAAAACATTGCAGTTTGGTGCCACAAGTCAAATAGTTTGGACATCCCCAAAGTTTGGGCAACTAAGACTTGCACCTCAGAGACTCAGAGCTTGATGCAAACACTTGAGCCTTGACTTGATTCTCACCCTATTCATTTGAGACCTGACTAAGACTCACAACCCTAGACATTCTCGACTTGAGCCATACTCGCACTGTAAAGATTTGAGACTTCACTCAGACTTGCACCCTAGAGACTCGAGACTTGATTCAGATTCGCGCTGGAGACCTTTAACTTCACTTGGACTCATGAAGCGATGTTTGATCTCTGGGATACCCTTCTAAGCATGTTTGTGTGTGTGTGTGTGTGTGTGTGTGTGTGTGTACTTGTACAGCTTAGACGCACCTCAGAGGCCTCCATCTCCCCTCCTGGCTCCAGTATAGGCTCTCCCAGCCGGGTGATTTGTGTAAGTATTACTCCTCACTTCACAAACTCAGTGAGATGCATGCTCAGCATTTCTTAATTACAAGCTTATTTTTCACATTCACTCTACACAGAGGGCCAGCACCACAAACTCCGATTATGCCTAGCTGTCTAAAGGGGGCCATATGAAGCTTAGGCTTCCCCTGTCAGAAACTAGGCCAAGAATGACTAACACATGTTCTCAGCAGCGGTTGTGTTTATTGTACCATTGTGTATTTATTGACTTCATGTTTTTTTTTTCCTATGCGATGTTGCAATATCAGCAGGTGGTGTCAGCACATGGCATGCTTTGATCACTTTTGTTCCCCCTCAGTCCTCTTTAGCAGAGAGAGAGGACCATTAAGGATTCATTATCAGTGGGAAAATGGAGGACAGAGTGGTTTATGTGTTATTTCTTGGGAGGGTGGGGGGCTGGAAGGGCTTGGGGAGGTTCAGTGTTATACGTTTTTTCTTGCACCAGTGTCAAAATAACCTCATATGTGGACGGGTTCGTTTAATCTCTTAAACTGCAGACTTTTTATTCAGTTGTTAATCTGAAAGTATATTATTCAGTAACTGCTAGGGCTGTGCAATATATTGTTGATGGTCATTATTGTGATATTGGCCTTTGCAATACTTAAATCACAAAGGCTGCAAAATGAAAATGAGCCCTATAGCAACGGTGTTTTTCATTGTGTGCTGTAAGTGTTTTGACCTGTCACAGCTCCAGATGTATGTTTGTGTTTTGTGAATAAAAGCATTAACGTCATTGTTAATTTTAAGATATTGCAAAGGATTTTGCAATCACAATATTTAAAATATTATAATAGTATATAATTAGTGTTCATATTTTGTCCATATCGTGCAGCCCTAGTTTCTACATACAGGCCTTCAGTTTAAGTAATCAAAATGTCAAAGTTTAAAATTATTAAACATTCAGTTGCAACGCTGACTGTTCTTTCAGGCTAGCTCACGCTGCGCTATAAAAATAGTCTGACCTCCTTCTTCATTTTTCATCTCTTGTTTTGTTAGTGTCTCAAATGCCATGTTCATGAGTGAATTTATTTCCTAAACGCATTCACACAATAGCACTCACTGTTCACTTTGTTAGAAACACTTGTCTGTATTTAAACTCACTGGCCACAGCTACCTTATAGGTCACTATATTGTGGCATTTTTCTATTGGGCATTACAGTACAGCATGGTACGGTTTCAAATCCGATTCCAGAAATATCCATACCATGGTTAAATAGCTGTGTTCGTTTCCCACTGCATAACAGAACCATGAGAGTAGGTGCAGTTCTCTTTAGCTTATTGTATATTTAGCTTATAGCATTATCAGTAAACACAAATAACAGTAGCAACAGGAGGAGCTGCACTGCCCAGTGGAAAAATGCCATAGCAGTAACTTACAGGTCAATCTTGCTGGTGTACAGTTAGAGACCGTAGCCCATCTGTTGTCAGGCACAATTCTTCAGCATCCTTCTACTCCTTTTATCACTGGTCAATTCCTGACGACAGGACCTTGTTTGACCAGATACTATTTGAGTGGTGGATCATTCTGACCACAGCAGTTACTGACATGGTAGTGATGTGATAGTCTTTGTGGTTCTGGTCCAAGTGTATCAGGCACAGCGGTGTTGTTGGAGAGTTACCTAAACCAACGTCATTTCTAGGTCAAGAGTGGTCCACCACCCAAACATACCCAGCAAAGAGTGTCTCTGTGGTTAGAAAATTACCACTGATGAAGGACTAGAGGATGGCTAACAAATTGTACGTGGCAACTAGGGATGTGAACACTTACTCGAATACTTGATTAACTGTTCGAGGTTCCAGTGTTAGAATGCTGAATTCAGTATTTGGGCATTTGTTATATTACATCAAGGGAACACAGAACATATACAGGTCAATGATTCCTTGAAGCACAACAATTCTGCTCGTGTTCGAGAGTAAGCATGTTATACTTTGCTATTACCAAACACAAGTGCCTGAATGTGAGTGTGTTGCCAAGGATGTGTTAAGGATGTAGCTAAGAAGGCAGAGATGGCATGGCTGTATTGCTAACTACGCTAACAACTCAAGGTGATGTTAGCTAGGTTTAGAAACAACTATTTTTTTTTATTACAAAGCTGTTTAAGAGTATTTCTCTTGCGCAAGACCAGTGCTGCCATCTATTTTTTTTTCAGCCATTGCTGAAACATTCCTTTTGTTTGAGTTGTGTTTCCTTCACTGCAGTTAACCCAGTATCCATTCATGAACTCAGATATCAAAATTAGGCAACAGATGGGCTTCAGCCTTCAACTACGCTTTGGTGCTTCCAATAAAGTGGACAGCAAGTGTATATATATTTTTTTTGTTAGCCAATGTATTGTGTGTCCCAGGCATGTGTGTGGTATGTTGCATCAGAAGGCTGCTGTGAGGCTAGATCCAATCTCCATCTGGATCTGAGTCTGTCCCTGCAGGCTCTGTCTCTCTCTTCCAGTATGTTTTTCACAACCGCTTTTTTCCTCTTGTCCTGTTCTGTCCCTGTTCTGTGTTTTGCTCCTCAGGCCAAAGTGGAGAATGAGATTCTCAATTACAAGGATTTGGCTGCGCTGCCTAAGATAAAAGCTATTTATGACGTGCAGCGGCCCGATCTCATTCCTTATGAGTCCTATCACAGATACTCCTCTGATGACAGGCTAGAGCGCTACAGCTATGGGGAGGTACTGAGATGCTAGTCTTAGTGCTAATGCTACCGAATCTGGCTTCCCTCTGCTACCCCCATTCACTCAATGCTGCCATTCTGTGCCTCCATTTGTGACTATCCATAGTGCATCCCACTTCTACTCACAGTTGTAATTCTGACTATGGCTCATGTAAGGGTGGACGATATGGCAAAAACATCACAATACTTAACATTTTCATAATGTATCATGATAGTTTTACTGAGGTTTGTGAACAAGCTGGATCAAAATGCACCATGTTTAAAGAATATGAAAACTGTTATTGAATACATGCTTATGATAAAAATTGGTCTGAATCTGTCTTTGTAAAATATGCAGTTGGTCAGTACTAGCTGTACTAACAAGACCCATGATATACTCAGAAAAGCAGATGGTGACATAAATTATCACAATAATAACAACAACATGTCGTCATATTGCCCACCCATAGGCTCATGTACAATGGAATCCATGTTTGCTTGCTGCTTTGGTAATGTGAGTGACAAAGGAGATGGAACGTCTTAACTGCATAACTTTTTTTTGATTACCAAAAAAAAAGTCATTCATATGTGAATAATAATAATAATAATAATAATAATAATAATAATAATAATAATAAAAAATGATAGTAAACAGTTGAAATAGCTTGCATGGATTCTGGGCTCACTCTCCATATGTTGTAGTCCAGCTGGTGTAGAGCATGGTTGTGCTTAGACACTTTCCAAATGATGAAATGCTGAAAATACTGACATTTTTAATATGCATTCAGATCATCTAACGTATATATATGTACAGACACCTGTACTATGATTCATGTAAGTGAAAAATGAGTATATCTTTAGTATAGGCCACTTTTTTCCATTCTCTCTTTTCTTCTACCGTCTTCTGGCATGGGCCTGGAAAGGATGGAGTAATGGAGTGTGAAATTAATTTGTGCTTGCCTGATTTCTATTAATTTCCCTCTCTTCTTTTCTCTCCTTCTACCTGCACAGTCTTTGGGAACGCTCTCTCCGTATTCTCAGGTAATAACGGTCTTTGGAATACTTGCATGTACATCTACTGAAACCAAGCAGCAGTCACAGTGGTGGGACTCTAATGTGACCTTATTAAATACCTTATTTGGCATTTGGTGTTTTTTCTATAGCATCTTCGGCCTTCGTCTGATGTCTTGTTTGTGTTGGTAACTCGTTGGTTCATGGTTGGATTTAGGCTAGGAATCAGGTTATGATGTTTTGTCGTCATGTTTAGGCTTATTTAAACTCGTTATGTAGTGTCCTCTGAGGTAATGTTATAGTACTTATGATGTTTAGATGGATGCTTGGCTACATAGGTGCTGTGTGAAGAGTCCTCAACTAAAATAAACTTCATTTGTGTTCTTCATTTTGTACAAAGCAGCTTTGGGTAATATAAAATAGTAAATAAACAATGTAAAATCAATAGACCAAATATTGTGTAGATAAAGCATAAAAATATATATTATTGCTGTCCTATAAAATTGTTTTCTTTCTCTTTTATTCTGTCTTTTACATTACAATAAAAATGTAACAAGCTAGCTAACACACACATTTATAATTAGCTGGATTATAACAGTTAATCTGTGTACATTGCACTCATTTACACTAACAACTACTTAATTCTAAGTAGGTTACTCAGTATGGTTCTGGACTCGGTACCAGCAAGTACTAAAAAAACGTGCTTGTACTCAGCCTAAAAAGGTGTTCATGCATCCCTAAAATATACAATTTAAAATTGAATAAAATATCATAGAACAGATAAACACAATTCAAAATCAAGAAATATTTAAAATATTCAATTTCATCTGTGTCCTAATTAAAAGGTAGACTAAAATGTGTTTGTAGTCCAGGTTTACAACCAGTAAATCTGACATTTACATTGCCGCATAAATTCAGGGCTCTATATATAAAAGCCTTTCCTCCTGCTTAGACTTCTGAGTAAGTGTTTGATGTGTATTTAACCAGTATTTATGGCTCTTGTTTGACTAGGCCCTTGCACTCTGTTTGACAGGATATCTATGACAGCTGGGACTTCAGGCACCGGCGGTCCTCCAGCCCAGGCTACATTGACTCGCCGACGTACAGCCGTCAGGGCATGTCTCCCACTGTGCCTCGCTCACCTCAGCTCTACTATCGCTCCGGTGAGCCCCTAAGCAAACCCAAACCCTTTCTACCTCCCGTTATACATGCACAAACACATACTGCGGACGTCCAGCCTCAACAGAGGTGACGAGACGAACGGAAAAGAGATAAAGAAAGTGCTTTAACCAGCTTTAGGTGAGGCACTTATTCTATCACATAACAATATTAAACATTATTAAGCAAGGCTTTCATTAGAGGTACCAGTTGGCTGAATGTAACATTAATGTTTTATATATGTTTCCTTTCACAGTTTTAAAAATAAAGATGCCTGTGTTTTTTTTGCTGTGATGCTATAGACGAACAACTTTTGCTTTTCTTAAAATGGCCTTTCAATGGAAGCTTTTTTAAAGAACCATTTTTATAAATGAGATGTAGGAGTGTGAGGAACCTTATAAACCCTACATAATACAAAGGTTCTATACCTGATTTATTGATAAAGCAGGAATTTGACGGGATGTCAGCACTTTCATGTTTACCTCTATTAGTGCCAAAAGCAGCCTATTTTTTATTTGAACTTTCATTAGCTTATTATTGATACATATCCCTCAAATATATTATTTTACCATGACATCTTATGCTACATGAAAATAAAGCCACTTAATGTCTAAATGATCAGTCAGCTCTGCTACTCTACATTATACTACTCTATGTTATACGTTTGAGCTCGACTCAGCCCTTTGTAGCCAGCATGATAACGCTTTAGTGTAGTGCTAAAGCAAGGAAGAGATTGTTGAAGTCTCCCAAACCAGTCCAACTTGGTGAAGTCACATTTCACTCATGGTTCTATGTGTGGTCTGCGTTTCCCAGCTTTTCTTGCCATTCAGAAACATGCCGTGTACATCATGATAGCGGCAGCTGATGGAATCTCACCAGAAAATCCATTTAAACTCTGCTGTCTGATCAAATTAAAATGCAGAAATGCTGCAAATACACTTTATGTCCAAAGGTTTTCAGACACTCTTTCTAATTAGCGAATTCAGCTGCTTTAAGGTGCACACATTGCTGACAGTCATTAAATTGTGAAAACACAGCTTGTACACTCTGGAGCAGCTGTACAACCTAGGGTCACCATGCTCAAGCATCAGTTAGAGGGGTATAAAACTCCCCAGCATTGAGATGTGGAGCAGTAGAACCGTGTTCTCTGGAGTGATGGAGCTCCACCCAGTACCTTTTGGGATGGGTTGCAGTGGCATTTGTGATGCTGAACTAACCATCCAGCATCTGTATTTGACCTCACATATACTCTTGTGGCCGAATGCAGTCAAATACTCACAGATATTCCAACTTCTAGTGTAAAGTCTTCCCAGAAGAGTAGAAGCTGTTACTTCAGCAAACTTCCTATTAATACTAGGGATGGGGGAAAAAAAACGATTCTAGATGCATCGCAATGCGGACGTGAACGATTCTGAATCGATTCACCAATGTCAAAAATCGATTTTCTAAATATTTAATTTATAACGTAATGTTGACGGAACGCAAAAGGCGGAACTTGGAAGTGGGTAAGTGCAGCGCCCGGACAGTCTGTGGCGGCACATAACAAAAACACACATGGATGAGCGAGAAATCCGACCGGCTCCCTCTGCATTAAAAGCCAGGTAAGGTCAGGAGTCACAACACAAATGATAAGAAGAGCCATTTTGTCCTTTCAACAAAAATCAAATCACCTTGGGAGCCGCAACATTTAATGTCCAGTATGTCTCAGTATGTTCTAATGTCCTAGTATAGACTAAACAATATAAACGAAAACGCAGATTTACTTCGCTCTGCTTTAAGCTTTAGCTGTAGCCGCTTTCCTCCCATCTCAGCCAGAAAACTTTTCCTGAGAAGTAGATCAGTTGAATGTCTCTCAACGTTCGACTGTTTTACGAGGCTGAAGTCATTCTTAAGTCATTCTTATTCTCCAGCTTCTTGTTCGAATTTACCCATTCCACCTTAAATTCTAACTGAGGCGCCGAATGAAAATGCGGCACCATTTAAGGTGGAACGGGTGAATTCGAAAGAGAAGCGACTTTGGCTTCGCCACTTTTTAGTGTTTGACAGTCTCTCGTTGCAGATTTAACGTACCAGGAAACCAACTGCGCTGCTTATAAATGCGAATAACACATCGCTGCTATGTGACCTGCAGTCTGCGCGCCGCAACAAAAGGGCTTTCGCGCTATGCTGCACACGTCCCGTCTCAAAGATACTTTACTGACACAGCGATCCCCCCCACCCCTTTCTCTACAACGAGACCAAAACCAAAGTTATAAAATCACTAAAGAAAACAGGTAGAATAGCTGTAACGTGCTGCGTGGACATCCACTGCCACTGGATCTAATTTCACCATAACTGCGCATTTTATCGCATTTTAAGCAGCTTCTCGTGCTCCAAACAAGAGCACTGAATGAGAGCCTTCTAGTTCACTTGCCACATCACTTCCATTTGATTTATTAATAGAAGATATTGGAAGTAAATTCATTATGGATCATTACAAATACTTTGCTTTAAAAGTACCAGGTCACTTTAAATAACACAGAGTCACTTAGTCACTTTAAAATGTATATTGTCTCTATATTCTGTGTATATTTTGTGTATATTTAATACATTTCTGATGATTTTTCTTGTATTTATTTATTTACTTTCTGTAGAGTGATTAGCTGAGCCTCACCACAAGCATTTCAATGCATAAATGTCCTGACATGTTGTGCAAATGACAAACTTGAAACTTGAACTCGAAACTTGAGCTCACACAGTGAGAAAATATAAATGCTATATAGAAAAAAGATGCATCGATAATCGTTTTATAATCGCATCGCAGCCCTCTGAATCGTAATCGAATCGTGAGGTGCCTAGAGATTCCCACCCCTAATTAATACCACTGACTCCAGAAGAAACATTGGATGAACAGGTGTTTGCAAACTTTTGAACATAGTGTATTTAAAATGTCCTTCATGTACATCATTCATTTCCTCTTTGTGATAATGCATTCATCAACATTTTTGCCTTTAACCCCTTAGACTTCATTCCCCTTATAACTATATATTACTGTGCAAAAGTCTGACACCTGAGCACATTATTTAAAACTGTTTGTCTCAGCACCAAGTTTGTTTTTGCTTGTAAAAAACAGTTTATCATTAGAATATATGCCAATAAACAAATATAGTGAAAAGTAACAAGAATGTATTATTTTTAACATCTTGTGCGCTGGTTTGAAGAACAAAGTTTGGTTCCGGATGACTCCTGGACGCCCCCAGCAATTGCATAGATTTGTTAAATTCCATCAGCAGCAGACTTTTAATTTAATAAAGTGTTGATTAGCCAATAATACTAGGCTGACATGAGGAGAAGTTTCGAAAGGGTTAAACGAACATAGTGACATACGTACAATTATAACTTATTTTATTAATATTATTTGCATTTATTGTAATTTTTTTTTTTGGCCCAAATAAATAGCTTTTTAATCTAATTTTCTCTGGTGCCTAAAACCTTTGCACAGGACAATACCTTTCAAAGTAATTACTAACTAATTCATAGTAATAAAATAGCCTTTAAGATTAATAACTGAATAATAAGCCTAGAGTTTAAGGGGTTAATATTTCAACTGAAAGATCACTGGACTGTCCAGTAGATATTCTTTTGAAGTTCAGACCTGATAGTTTAATGCCAGAAAACTGTCATAATATAAACTAAACATTTTTGGTTTTATGCTTTTGAGTTTTGTCATTGCATGAACAGACGTATGAATTTAGACTTCATAGACTCATACTATCCCTCCATTAGCTAGCTGGGCTGGGGTTGATAACATGGCAAAGGGCTCATGCTGTGCTTTCTGTCACTGTCATTGCTCTTGGGCTGACCGCAGGCACTGAGAGTGGCAGGAGCTCTCCCTATTACACTCAGCTTGACGCCAGGTCCGGCACGCCCACCACCTACCAAGCACCCAAGCATTTTCATGTGCCAGGTAGGCCACTGCTCTTCTCCTCATCCATACACATCCATTCATCTCCATTACACTAACAACTTCAGCAAGCTAATGACCCAAAGTCCGAAGGCCACTGCTTTAGACAGCTCCACGAATCATAACTGATAGCTGTTCTCTCCCAACACGAACTGCTAACTCTTTTCTCTTTTCCATCACCCACACTCTCCATCGCTCAGCCATGAAGGAAGCTGTCACCATCAACAGCAGTTTTCCTCCTATAGGAACTTTTTCATTTATTAGTGCTGCAAATGCTTTTGTCTGGTCTTCACTCAACAAAAAAGTGGTAATGTTTACAAGCTATGTGCCCCGTCCATAGTTTGCTTCACACCATTCTTTGGAGCTATGATTGTTTAACCGCAGCCTTCAGCACTTTTTAACATAATCGCAGTCTACGATATCTGTATCATGGCTTCGATTACCACTGACAATCATTATGACGTGGTTTTTTTTTTTTTTTATACACAGAAAAGGTCGGTTGACTCGAAACTCACTTACTATAGAAGCTGATGGGCAGTTGCTGAAATTTGTGAATAAATGTTGAATATGTTGTATTTGCTCACATTCATTATGTTGGTATTTGATTCACCATTCAGTATTCAAGCTTCATATAAAATGTTAAAAATAAATAACCTGATAATTTAAGGTTTATCAATAAAAAAAAAAATGTTCACAGCAAAATTTAAAATAAACAGTTATGTACCACAGAGACATGGTAAGTTTAATTGATTATTTCAAATATGTAAGTATAATGCTCCTTATCCAAGTACCACTAGGTTCTACAGAGGGTGACTCTAAAACCAGGGAGCTCAGAGCCTCAGTCCTGTTCGTTGTAGTGTGTTTTGTGCTGTGCTGCTGCCATCGTGGGCATTCCCAGGGTGAAGTTCACCCTAGCCAGTGAACCTTTAGGTCCCGTTGCCTTGCACCAGCTGAGCAGGACATTTGTAAAGTCACTTCCAGGGAGGTCTTAAATTGCATTCAGGGGAGTATGTAGCTCCAAAAACTTCTCGATCTTCTGCTCCACTCTCTGATGGAGCCATGACAGAGCTCAACTCTTCCTGCAGATAACCACCACTGCCACTTATGACAAAAAACAACATACTAGCCAAATAAAATAATATTATAAATTGAAAAGCAACTAACTACAACAAACTAAAACCATGATTCAGTAAAAAATGTGATAATTCTAATTTGTTACGTTAATTTATTGCTGCACACAAGCCACTGGGCTTCAGCCTGTCTATAACCGGTAGGTGGCAACGATATATTCATATTTTGAAGTGCAGTAACTAACATCCATAAAATTATGGTTAATTATAAAATGTAAATATGGTTTTTAAATGTGATTTCAAGAACATATATTTGAGTACTCATTCAGAAATACCAGGGAGGATTCAAAACCTATAAAATGCTGTTCAGGCCAGTCCCTAGAAATATGTAACTTTCCCAAAGATTTCACTTTCCCTAAGGTTTTCTGTAAAGCCTGCACTATTAAGCTAAGGCAACATGTTAAAAACATTGTCTGTGGTAATTAGTGGTGTGAAACAGATGATAGAGGTTTTGAAAATGCTTTAAACTTTAAAACAACATTTGGTACTGGTTGGCTTCAAAATAATAAGGCTCCTGAGTGCACACAAGTTTATAACACTCGCAGAAGCCTTTACTCAAATTTAAATGCGCTGCTGTCAGTGTTTGCATTTAGTATTTGTCATCAAAAGCTGATGCCAGTAACTTCCCATGTTTAGTGTGTGCATGTGTTTTCTGCCCCACTGGGATCCCTCCAGACATCAAAGAACGTGTTGGAGGAACTTTTGCTGCTGACACCTCTGTTTTCAAAGCCTTTCATCCAGTTTTCAATCCCTTGTCTCTTGCTTTTCTCAATCTTCTTTTGATGAAGAGGTCAAGTCGGGAATCACGGGGGAACGCCAACGAAAACAGAAAGCTCATCATTTTCTGTAGAACCAACATGCAACCCTGAAGACTGTGAAGACAACCCTCAAAGCTGGGGTGTCACACTAGGTTCCTTCCAGGCCACAGCTCTGCAGAGTTTAACGTTCTGCCGTTTCTAACACTTTGAATTCAACTCACGAGGTCTTTGCTAATTAGAATAGGAGTTGAATCGTGTGTATTTAATAAGGTAGAAAGCTAAACTGCGTAGTACTGTGGCCTGGACAGAACCCATTTAGAGCAAGAAATACATTACTCCATTCACAAAACTGCACAGTGGTCCACACTGGCACAATGTTAGGCCAGAATTTGACTGTGGCATCATAAGAGGGCAAAACAGACAAGTGAGACTGAATATCAGAGAATCTGGTGGGTTTCATCCCTCAACATGGCCAAGAACAGCCTACTTTAACAGTAAAATGAACTACCGTAGACCATTGTTTTTGCATGATATGCAGTAACTTCAGGATGCTGTCAATGTTTTCAATACAGTAACTAATGATTATATATATATATATATATATATATATACTATATATACATATACATATATACACACATACACACACACACACACACACACACACACCAAAAAGCTTGCCATCACATTGTGAAGAGCTGGCAGCTGCTTGCTACTGATGAGTAGCTAGTATTTAGCTTGATAAAATGTGTTTCCTGTCAGATTGAGAAACAGAAGTGCATACACGCATTATTGCAGATAGCCAGAGTGTAACTGACAAATCTGTGGCCAATTTAAATTAGATAGTCTACAATTTAAGATAAACAACTCAGGAAACTATAGCCAGAGACCAACAGCCCAGAAACCAATAAAGACCAACTGCAACAATGCAAGAGAGCAGTCTTTTCCACAAAGAGCCTGCATGGCTGCAGGTTTTCGTTCCAATCAAGCTGCACACTTGATTTCACTTGTTTAATCAGTTGGTCTCAGTTTCCACCAGCTCCCTATGGGTAAAATTGGTAACCTGTGGTCTAGATAAACAGTAAGCTGGAAAGAGGAAGTTTGTGATGAGTGTTAACTTTTTTCATTGAGTTATTTCATTTTGATCCTTTTGTGGTTATTAAAGCCTAAAAGTTGTGGGAAAACAGCCTGAACTTTGTCACCAGTCTCAGATCCCTTACTCCTCAAGATGCCACAATAGTCTATGGCCTGACCATTGCTAACTCATTCTTCCTTTTGCCTTTGGGTCCAGTTCTACCTTGTTTTCCTCACTGTTTCTGCTTCATTCCCTTTCTCTCTGTTGTCTTTAGCCACCGGGGAATCCAACATCTACAGAAAGCCACCCATCTATAAGAGACATGGTATTTGTGTGGATGCTTCTCTCTGGATGAGACAAAGGCAAACATCCTTTCTCTCAATCCAGAAATAATTAGCAGTGCTGAGTTCCAGTGGTTTACAGTGTGCTATGTCTCCAGCACCAGTTGTGCTTATTTAGAGATCATAGCATTTCCTATAGGAATGTAGCTTATGATATGTGAAGTCAACTGCTTTTGGAGACAGTAATGCTTTGTTTGAACGTGCTAATTAATAATACACCAAATTAAATGGAAACTCCTTCAGTTTGAGTTAATGAAAGTTAAATTTAACTAAAAGTATTTGTGCCTCGTTTCAGTTCACACGTTTCTGTGTACACACTGCATGAAGCATACCAGTGTTTGTGTGGCTTTGCTTTTTTCTGCATTAGTGTGTGCGCACATGTTCATTACTGTTGCTTATTTTGACGAATAGCTTCTCCTCTTCTCTTCCCCAATTATAAAAAAGGAATTGAAGACCACAAATGAACATTTAAGAAAAACAAAAGTCACCACATTCAAACTTATTTCATTAGAAAGGTCATGCAAGGAACATTTCTGATGGGGTCTTTAGCAGGACCTGACAAATGTATTGTTTGGTACGTATTAAATGATGGTTCCACCAATTTATTGGCGAATAAAGCACTGATGATGTGAGGTGCTTTTGTTAAGTAGAACAGAATATATACCTAACCCCTTAATGGCTGGAGCCCAAGTTTTGTTACAAACATCTATAACCTAAGAATAGCTCAACCAGTCAGTTTTACCCTTAAGCATTTTATTATTACTCTGATGAAACAGATTAATAATAAGCCCCGATCTGGCTTACAAGATGAAACTTTCATGTATGTCATGAGTTGCCTGCAACAAAATTTCTGTGCAATTCTATGAAGTCTATAAAATCTACAAAGTCTACTGTCATCATAGAAGATACATTAGGGTTAATTTTCAAAGCTCTAGCCATCAAAATAGGTCACCTGTATTTGTGTCTGCCTGCATGTCCTATATGTTGTGTGCTTTAGTGCTGAGCTTGAAAGAATGTGTCCATCACATACGTAAGTAGCACACTAGCTCCTTAGCGTGTTCTCCTCTGTTCATGATCAGTCCCTCATTTGTTTGTTCCTTCCTCTGATCTGCTTCTTTTCCCTCCCTCTCTGTCCTGCTGTTCTTTTCCTCGGTGAACCATCCACCCTGTAAGTACCAGTGTTCTCCACCATTACATTTACTGAATTTCATCCAGTCTTAGAAGTCACAGTTATTGTATACAATAACTACAGCATGGTGTAATTCAATATTCGTTACTTCTTACTCGTATCTCATTCTGTTGAAAGTGCAGATTATACTATAGTTATGTTTGGAAGTAGAAGATGAGCTATTTTATTATGACGCTTTGAATAAGTATGATGAATTGAATTAGATGAGAAGTTATAGTTGTGTACAGTTTTGTTTGCAGAAAAATAAAAAAAAACATTTTATATTGTCATGTTTGCCATGTTTTGACATTGAAACAAAGCAAAAAAGTTGAAAGTGCAGACTTGAACCTATTGACAATGTGAATTGAATGTAAATGTCACTTAATGAATTACATAAATGTGTAATTAATCAAATAGTAAAGCAAAATTACACTAATAACTGTAATAACTTACACTTCCAATGGTTAAATGCATCTGATTTTCAGAATTTGGTGAGTTTTGAGTTGAGTTATGAGTTTAGTGGTTCTAATATAACATAATAAAGCATTTTTTGTGTTCTGTGTTCTATAATGTAAAAGTTAGGCCTTTTTAATTGTATTGCTGTGCTGAGGAAATTATACCGATTTCTGAAATTTTTTCAGGTGTGTGTGCGCCTCTCTATACTTCTTATTTTACTTTCTCTCTGTATTTCTCCAGCAGGCCATGTTCACCTCAGCCTGAGTGATGCTGTGTCAGATGCTGTTCTGCTGCAGAGCATGCTTTCACTTTTTCAATCTCGATATCAGTCAATCCTCATTTAATTCTTGTCAACCTTTCTCTTGTCTTTCACACTCAACTGTTTCTCACAAAGGCCATACCCCTCAGGGAGTGACTCAAGCGATTACCCATCAGCCTTTTTTCCTGGCCAGTGCACTCCAAGTAATGAATGTGTTTTGTTTGGCCCCACAGATGACTATGAAAACAAAGCTATGAAGAGTAAAACCAGTGAGGATATTCTTTCTTCCCCCTTTTCGTCATACTCCCCAGACCACTATCAGCACTCTGAGTCAGACTACTACCACTACTCCGGCTCTCCGAAAGGCAAGTTTCTAAGTGTATTTAATAAATAATGTTTAATAAATGGGTCTCAATTTCCTGAACTGGCTAAAAGGGACAGTTGTGTTTGAAGATGTTTAGATGCAGTGCAAGTCAAAAGTTTGACATATTTGACAATGTACACACTGTCCACTTTATTAGAAACACCTGTTGGGTCATGCAATTGTCCAGTCAGCCAGTCATGTGATGGTAATTTACAAAGTCATGGAGACAGGGGTCAAGAGCTTCAGTTAATGTTCACACCAAACACCAGAATGGGAGAAACAATATGATTACTTTGACCATGGTATAGTTGTTGGTGTTGGTGGTTTGTGCATTTTACAAACTGCTGTTCTTAGATTTTCCTGTGATGGACTGGTGACCTGTCCAGCATGTGTCCTGCCTTCCGCCAAATGATCGCTGGGATAGGCTCCAGCACCCCCCCGCGACCCAGTAGGATAAGCGGTTTAGAAAATGTGTGTGTGATCTTAGATTTTCATGCACAACAGTCTCTAGAGTTCACACAGAATGGTGCAAGAAAACACCTTGGTCAGATGAGAATGGCCAGGTTTGTTTGACCTGACAGGAAGGCTACAGTTACTCGAATGACCACTCTTTACAACAGTGATGATCAGAAAAGCACCTCTTAATGCTCAACACAGCTAACCTTGAGAAGGATGGGCTACAACAGCAGAAGACCACATTAGCTTCCACTCCTATCATCCAAGAACAGGAATCTGGCTTGGTGAAACTGGACAGTTGAAGAAAAAAAGTGTTACGTGATACGAAAAGTCAGGATTCATCATATCTTTTAATGCCTACGACCAGAAAGATGATATTCCTCATCACAAAGTACAAGGCATCTAAAACTAGTTTCACAAACATGGCAATGGTTTGAGTGCATTTTAGAGGCTTCTTCAATCACCAGATCTGAATCAAATAGTGCACCTTTGGGATGTGGACACGAATGCCACAAAGAACTGTGTGCTTTTGCATAAATCCATAGCCATCATTAAGTTTTGACACCACAGTGGTCGGCCACATCAGTGACATTGATGAATCAGCCTACCGTGAGGACAGCTCAGTGCTCCTCTAGCAACCTCTCCGTCAACACAAAGAAGACCAAAGAGCTCATTGGACTATCAGAAAACCAAAGGCTGCACACACTCTCCCGCCTGCATCAATGGGCCTGAGGTAGAATGTGTCACCAGCAAGTTCTTGGGCATCTGAGGAAGGTCCATCTGTCTCCTCAGATCCTCACAAACTTGCTTCACCACTGAGGGTGTACTAACAAACTGTGTGACGGTGTGCTACGGCAGCTCCAAGGTAGGAGGAAGGAAGGGCCTGCAAAGAGTGGTGAAGACCTCTCAGCTCATTATTGGCACACAGCTCCCTGCCATCGGAGACCTTCACCACCACGCAGAGCACGCAGATTTGTCAGGGACTCCTCCCACCCCAGTCACACACTGTGTAACCTCCTGCCATTATTAGCATTTATTATACTTACCAGTACACAGCATACTGTACATACTCTACACACCAAGTGATGTACAGTGGGGCAAAAAAAGTATTTAATCAGCCACTGATTGTGCAAGTTCTCCTACTTAGAAAGATGAGAGAGGTCTGTAATTTTCATCATAGGTACACTTCAACTATGAGAGACAAAATGAGAAAAAAAATCCAGGAAATCACTTTGTAGGATTTTTAAAGAATTTATTTGTAAATTATGGTGGAAAATAAGTATTTGGTCACCCACAAACAAGCAAGATTTCTGGCTCTCACAGACCTGTAACTTCATCTTTAAGAAGCTCTTCTGTCCTCCTCTCGTTACCTGTATTAATGGCACCAGTTTGACCACGTTATCTGTATAAAAGACACCTGTCCACAACCTCAAACAGTCAGACTCCAAACTCAACCATGGCCAAGACCAAAGAGCTGTCGAAGGACACCAGGAAGAAAATTGTAGACCTGCACCAGGCTGGGAAGAGTGAATCTACAATAGGCAAGCAGGTTGGTGTGAATAAATCAACTGTGGGAGCAATTGTAAGAAAATGGAAGACATACAAGACCATTGATAATGTCCCTCGATCTGGGGCCCCACGCAAGATCTCATCCCGTGGGGTCAAAATGATCATGAGAACGGTGAGCAAAAATCCCAGAACTACACGGAGGGACCTGATGAATGACCTGCAGAGAGCTGGGACCAAAGTAACAAAGGCTACCATCAGTAACACACTACACCGAGAGGGACTCAAATCCTGCAGTGCCAGGCGTATCCCCCTGCTTAAGCCAGTGCATGTCCAGGCCTGTCTGAAGTTTGCCAGAGCGCATATGGATGATCCAGAAGAGGATTGGGAGAATATCATGTGGTCAGATGAAACCAAAATAGAACTTTTTGGTAAAAACTCAACTCGTCGTGTTTGGAGGAAGAAGAATGCTGAGTTGCATCCCAAGAACACCATACCTACTGTGAAGCATGGGGGTGGAAACATCATGCTTTGGGGCTGTTTTTCTGCAAAGCGGACAGGACGGCTGATCAGTGTTAAGGGAAGAATGAACGGGGCCATGTATTGTGAGATTTTAAGCCAAAACCTCTTTCCATCAGTGAGAGCATTGAAGATGGAACGTGGCTGGGTCTTCCAGCATGACAATGATCCCAAACACACCGCTCGGGCAACGAAGGAGTGGCTCCATAAAAAGCATTTCAAGGTCCTGGAGTGGCCTAGCCAGTCTCCAGACACCAACCCCATAGAAAATTTGTGGAGGGAGTTGAAAGTCTGTGTTGCCCAGCGACAGCCCCAAAACATCACTGCTCTAGAGGAGATCTGCATGGAGGAATGGGCCAAAATACCAGCTACAGTGTGTGCAAACCTGGTGAAGACTTACAGGAAATGTTTGACCTCTGTCATTGCCAACAAAGGTTATGTTACAAAGTATTGAGTTGAACTTTTGTTATTGACCAAATACTTGCTTTCCACCATAATTTACAAATAAATTCTTTAAAAATCCTACAAAGTGATTTCCTGGATTTTTTTTTCCTCATTTTGTCTCTTATAGTTGAAGTGTACCTATGATGAAAATTACAGACCTCTCATCTTTCTAAGTAGGAGAACTTGCACAATCAGTGGCTGACTAAATACTTTTTTGCCCCACTGTATATATTTATATTTCTGTATATTTGTAAAATATTCTCCAGTAAATATTTTATATATTCTGGTAGATGCAAAGTGCTTTTCATTGACTTGTACTGAGCAATGACAAAGTTGAATCTATCTAATCTGTGTATTATCCAAGAAGATCTCAGCATGTACAGAACTTCTTCAGGACTATTGCAGAAACTCTTAAACTCCTTATGAAACTGCTAAAGAGAAAGCCAAGAGTGTGCAAAAATGAAAATGTAACAGTAGATTTCTTTCTCTCTCTCTCTCAGTTTCTCGAGCTCGCAGGTTCTCCTCAGGAGGAGAGGAGGATGGATGCAGTCAGAGCATTAACAGAGTAAAGACACTGATTTTTTTTCCCCCCTCACCTTTTCTCCCATATTTATTTTTGCCTATAACTACTCTATTACTTTCTTCTGAAACCCACTGAAACATTATGCCTCCCAGATTTAAGCACAGAGCACATCAACACAATGCTCTCCAAAAAGCCCAAAAGTTGGTTGGTGTGTCTTGGGTTGTCTAAAATGTCCTCCCCCAATTCACATTGTTCTAGAATGTTCTCCACCACCCATACTGTTCTACAATGTTATTCTCTACCACACTTTTCTAGAATAGAACTTAATCCTGTGCTTAATCCTGGTCCTGGAGATCTACCACAACGGAGAGTTAAGATCCAACACACCGGGCTCTAGTTATCAGATGCTCCTGAAGGCCTTCGTTATCTGGATCAGGTGCATTAGATTAGGGACGGAGCTAAACTCTACAGGGGGGTACACCTCCAGGACCAGGATTGAGCACCCCTGTTCTAGAATGTTCTCCTCCATTTACACTCGTTCATTTAGTTTTAGTTCTTAGTCTGGAAAAGCCATAGCATACTGGTCAAACATTCTGCAACAAACACCATCATTAGAATGTTTGCAGAACCAACAAGCCAGATGAACCAGCACGAATGGGGTAAGAACGTTTTAGATTTAGCCAACAATCAAACAGGGGTGTGGCACACCAATGTTTGTGTTTGTTGCTGTTTGTTTGGTCGATGTGTTCTGGTCTGAAGAGTATAAAGTCGACTGCCAACATCAGAATATTGGTTTGTTGGAGAATATTCAGTGGACATGGAATGGCCTTAACATAACCTCCCTACAGAGCCATTGAGTCACTGAGGTTTCTTTCCCTCTCATCCTGTTCTCCAGATCCAAGCTGGGATTGGGCGGATGATCCTGAAGGAAGAAATGAAGGCCAGGTCCTGTTCCTATGACAACGACCCTTGGGCCAGTGCACGGAACTCTCGCAGTGGGAGTAAAGAGGCGCTGCACAATCTGGGCTACAGTAACACAGTTAATGGCTGTAAGATCACTCTCTCTTTGCCCTCATACGTTCACCATAGTACATGGACAACACCAGCACTGAAAGCAGGAAAGCTTCCAGGAAAGGCAAAAAACTAAGATTTTCCTAAATTAAAATTGAATGTATGCTTCTAATCTGCTATTAGAAACAAAATATTTTTCATTGTACTTCTGAACTGAAATGATTTCATCTTCCAGCATTACACGCTCCTTCTCCAGTTGGTAGCCAGTAAGAACATAACAAAAGAATGAATAATAATCTTCTGTTGTACTATACAGTGTATATATTAAGCATATGCTTTTTAAAGCTGCACTATGTAAGATTTTTCTTAAAACAGAGAAGTAGCATTAGTGAGTGAGAGAGCTGCTGTTTATCACCCTGTCGAGCGTTGGTTCGGGTTTGGTGGAAGTTTTTCGGCTCACGTCATGTGTCTTTACGCATTAATCATCCTCGGCAGATACGTCCATCAAGTTCTGCCTGGGTTCTCTTTAAATACTCTTTCAATGCGCTCACAATAATCAGATTCATCAACTCAGGGAAGGGGTCCAACGCGTAACCAACATTATAAAATGTTCTTCCACACATTGCGTGCAATTATACATATTTGTACAGAGTGTAGCTTTAATTAAACAGTAACATTAAATGTAGCACTGGATTGATTTATTCAATAAATGTTTTAACATTTAATTAAAAGGAAATATGACCTAAAATGGAAAACATCTATGAGAAAGACAGTAACTAGTTACTAGTTAGATGACTAGCTAACGATAGACTAGGCTATTTGCACTAATTATTTCCATGAGGTCAACTTCAATTAAAACACTTCATGCAGCTTGCTATAGAGGTTACTCAGCTTGACCGTGTTACTGCCTAATAGTGACAATTTGTAACCACACTACTAGTTCTCACTCAAACACTTTTTTGGTCTCATTTTAATTAGATCCTGTGAAAAATGTATTCCCCCTATCAGTAATATATCATACTTAAGTCTTAATATTGTAATTTATTTATGCAAGATAAATATCTGGTCAGGAAATACTTTAGTTTGGAGATTTAAAGTAGTTAGAGTACTATGCAAAAGTCAGAGACCATCCTTCATTTATTTAATCCCCCCCCCAAAAGGCATTAAGTTCAAGTGATTGATTTTTCACAAGATATTTCTGAGGAGCTTAGATACAAGATAATCCACTTGCATAAGGAGAAAAACAAAGGAAAATAAGTGAAGAAACAGGTGTTTCCAGAACTAGAGTTTAGATATAGAAGAAAAGAGACTCCTAACAGTGCAAGACCTAAAAGAACAACCAAAACTGTCAGCATCACATAAGCAGGACTCAGAGCTTTCATCTTTGAGAGAGAGGAAAAAATCAAGCTCCACTCTTACTTCAGATATGAAAAAATCCACAGGTGTTTCTGTTCTTCCTTCCTCTGTGAGAAGATAATCAACACTGAGGCTGAAAGGATGTGTAGCTGTCAAGAAGCCCTTACTGAGAAAAGGAAATGGATAAAAAGGAGAAATGTTGTAAATCAAAGAAAAACTGCTGGTGTTCTCAGAACAAGGTACTGACCACCCCAGACCTCAACATCACTGAACTGTTTGGGATTACTTGGATGATGAGAAGCAGGAAAATGCACCCAACTTCTAAAACTGAACTTTGGAGGTGTGGAAAAATATCCCTACAGATTTCTTTGAAAACACTAAAAGCAAGTCTGCTGAAAAGAATGGAAGCTGTAAAAAGCTGCAAGGAGTGGACTTACTTAATATTGAAAAATTATATATTTTGCTGTTAAATAGTTGTATGCAAAAGTTTGTGCACACCTGGTCAAATTACACCTTTTGTTGATTTTCTAAGTGAAAAGAAGTTAATACAGCATACATTAAGCAAAATTAAGGCCTTGAAATGGCTCTCTTTCAAAATTATGAATATTTCTTACAACCTAGGAATATTTCTGAACTAGAAGCATTCAGCAAAGAAAAAAGCAGACAAATTTCTAAATCAAAAAAGGGAAGACTGATAGCTGGCTACAAGAAACGTTTGTTAGGCAATGGTTTCAGTCAAAGGGATAGGGTGCCCAAACTCATGCACGTCACATTTATGTTATGTTTTCCAATATGTAAGATTCTGCAAATAAATAAAAAAATTGCATTAAAATTAGCAGAAATTAAGTTACACAAAGAGATGGTCTTTAGTTTTTACATATAAAATCAAATATGTAATTTGAACAGGAGTGCCCACACGTTCACTTATGACTGTCTATATTTCTGCTTTTTTTCCCTTGATGCTAGAAAATTAATAACTTGTCCTTAATGGCCGTTTTGAATGGAAATTTAAAAAATGAAGTACTGTCTTTCTTTTTCATAATACTGTATGGTATATATTAAAGTGTGTCTGACTGCCCTGCTGAGTGCACTGTGTGTGTCTCTGTTCTCTACAGGACGCCAATACTGTACAATAGCGTGTGTATAAGAAGTAGCAGCAGAGTGTGTGTGTGTGTGTGTGTGTGTGTGTGTGTGTGTGGGTGTGTGTTGAATAATGAGCATGTCTGGCAGCTAGACTGGCCCCCACTGTGAGTGGATTAGTAAGAGGGAGACAGTGGGCCCCAGCATCCCCCCAGGCTCCTGATGAGTGTAATGAGAAGTAAAAGGGAATCCCTGTCCCCATATCACACCTTTATTAACACACTGTTAAACCAGTACATGTACACTGAGCCACACAGTCATGATCACTGTTTAACCTGTAAGGAGCCGTCAGTGGAGTCAGACTTTACATATTAATCTCATAGTTACCAAGTAAGTTTCTCTCCATCTCTCATGAGCTTTTTCCAGCCCTTTTAAGCGAATAATAGGCCTGACTTAAAGTCAGCTAATAAAAGTAGTTACTGACTATTAATATAATTGATTATAATCAGTTCAGACATTATAAAACAGATGCAGTTGAATCACCACCTCTGTGATGGGTTTTTCAACCCTAGTCATTACACTTAGATAATTAAAGACATTTCTTTTCGAAAAGGGGAACGTTAGATTTTATATCTTGTATTTTATTATAATTTTTACTAGCCATCTTCATCGTTTAAGTAAAAAATATTGCCTACATTACTCAAACCCTACTCAAAGAGACTTTAAAACCATCAGTGTTTCTATTCTTCAGTAAACATTTCCTGATTGTTTGCAGGCTGCAGCAGCAGCAGCTTCACTTTATTGAATCCAAATCCAGGATTGCAGTTTTGATTTCATTTATATACAATACACATGTGGCCATAGAGCCCTTGACCCCATGTCCAGAAACATCACTAACCTTAATGTAATACACTGTAGACATAAGCATAGACTTTTAATATAATTTGTCCTTCTCCATTTCCACACACACACACACACACACACACACACACACAGACCTTTGTCCTTTTCTGTGATTAAACTCTGCTCAATGCCACAGCAGAGAAATGTAATCTTGAGTCTGACTGAGCTACCGACTCTTACAATCAGTGCAGTTTATCATCCTTTTATCCTCCGTAAGCCTTTTCCACCCTTTTTCTCACAGTACTTGTGGAGCTGAGAATGTTTGACTGGTCTGTGTTGACTGTGAGACTGGTCTTAGATACAAGAGAAATTATACTGTGTTCATTTCAAGCACCTTGTAGTCGTCTTGAAGATTGGTAGAGTTGTATCGGCAGGGAACCAAAGATTTTGTGACCCTCTTTGTGTTACGCATTTTATACATTTACACAGTTTCCCACCAAACGTGGTCAATCTGCAAGGCATGTTTGATGTCTGAAGTTTGCTTCTTTAGTTTTGGAATGGTGCTATGAGGCTAATGTAGCTAATAAGTAAATGTTTATTCTTTATGATTAACACTGTGCAAACTGCATGCCTAAATCATCACACTACCATGGCCACTTTAGGTTTGTACTTTAATAGTGACATGAACAAGAAAAGACAATTAAATGGTTATTTATATGGCAAATAATCGTCAGCAAAAATTTCATGATCATGACAGGCCTATCTGCTGGAAAGTGTGACTCCTTTGGCCAGACCTACACCCCTCCCCCCAGTTTCCCCCATTCGACCCCTCCATGGGTCTGCCTGCAGGCCTGCACTGTTACCTTTACATATAGATAAAAGTACAGTAGAAGTCAAGCCTGAATTCGCCCATATTTTTACCCACATAAACCTAATAAACAAAATAAGCAAACTTCAGACAAACAGCTGATCAAATATATTCTGGGTAAGAGGAAAACTGGGTAAATTTGATTTTTTCACCCGACTATGGCTTTAATTCTGGGACAAAGGGTTGACGCTAATATTAGAACCAGTGACAACACAACAATACGCGAACCTACCACCCCCCGCTGTGCGTGCCTCCCCTCCCATACCTCTGATTTTGTCCCCGTCCTCTATTATTCATGAGACGGCATAAAAGCAACGCTGATCTCACTCATGCTTTCTGTCTCTGAGAGAAAAGGCAGATTTGGGTTTAAACGATAATCTGATGGACCTCAATACAGGCCATAATTCAGCAGTACTATAAGGGATGATCTGACTTGCCTGCTTTATTGTACTGTGTAGAGCTGTACAGTAATACCAGTATTGCAATTATATTACTGTATATTGCAATTACAATATGCCTTATTTGCAATATATTAAAACACATTATGAATCAATAATGATTGGCTGGCAGTAGTTTGACTGAAATAGTATTGTTGGACTACATGAAAACCTTGGTTCATCAAAACACCCACAGAAATTAATGTGAAAGATTGATCAGGATGATCAGAGCACACAGGACAAACACTATGATTGGTTATTTTGCAGCCTTATTATTATGAAAGTAAATATTTCAATAGCGATTAACAAACATTATATATTGTGCAGCTCTTTTATGGTGTCAGTTACATTCTGATCTTTCACTTTCTTTTGGTTCCTCCCTCTAAATCTGCCCATTTCTCATTCTGTCTGAGTCAATAATGGAGTCAGTCCTGAATTATTGAATTGCCATGTCTATTGTATTGCCTTATCAACATGACTGTAACTCCATCTCTCTCTCTCTCTCTCTCTCTCTGCAGCTCCTAGATCCCACTACAGCGCAGACAGTGGTGAGTCATTTACACAGTTGATGTCTTCTCTTTTTCCATCCATGCTGCTGAGTGCAATATCTGCTCTCTCTAATGTAGAAGTATGATGTTGGGCTTGGTCATGAAAAAGTGATGGTGCACTGGATAAAGTGATGGACTTTATGTACTTGATTCAAATATAGGAATCATGTCATGCAGAACTGATATTACATCAACACAATCTGTGCTTCAGTATTTTTGCATTTGAAAAGATGTACAGTACTGTGCAAATGTCAGAGACCCCCATTCATTTCTTTCATTTCCAGTCAAAAACACCATTAAGTTATTAATTTTTCAGAAACAATGTAATAATAAAAGACAATCCACGTGCATGAAGAAGGGAAAGTCAAATAAAAAACAAAATAAAACAAAACTGGAGTTTTGTTTATAGTTTTTGGTTAAAAGTTGTAGAGAAAATGGGGCTCCTGACAACCATGCAAGACCTGGTAGACCACCTAAACTGTCACCATCAGCTAAACAGTACTTAAAGCTTTCATCTTTCAGAGAGAGGAGAAAATCCAACCCTACTCTCCGTGTTTCTGTCCACTGTAAGAAGACAACTCAACACTGAGTCTGAAAGGATGTGTAGCTGTCAAGAAGCCCTTACTGAGAATATTAAAGTTCGCAGATCAAACAAAGAAGCTGCTGATGCTCTCAACAATGGACTGTCCACTCCAGACCTCAGCATCACTGAATGTGTCTGGGATTACTTGGACAGTGAGAAGCAGAAAATGCAACCAGTTTCTAAGGCTGAACTTTGGAGGTGTGAAAAAATATCCCTGCAGGTTTCTTTGAAAAACTGAAAGCAAGTCTCCTTACTTTTGTATGTTTAAACGTGTGCAGACAGCACCCTCTACTGGCCATACAGTGTTCTCACACGTTTGCACTGCTGACTTGTCAGTTATTGCACAAAGCAGGATTTCTCAGTTACCAAGATAACCTCAGATGAAAAGGTTCTATTAGAAATTTGCCACTTTAGCTTAATTCCTTCTGTTCACTGAGAAGTCCTGCTCTGTGAACCCCTCCTGGTTATGACTGTGAGAATGTGTGTTTCTGTATCAGCAGCTCATCCTATTCTGAGGTCTGCAGCTGAGCTGGGTCACAGTGAGGGGGTGTTTAGTGCTCCTGGCATAAACAGCCTGTGTGTTTATTTGTATGTTTGTGTGTTCCTACAGATTCCTTCATCTCCAAATCGGCCTCATTGCCGGGATACGGCAGGAACGGCCTAAACCGGGTAAGAGCTCAGAGATGAAGGTGGTGGGTGGACGCCAAGGCCACTCTCTGAATCAATACACTGTGTGGGCTGATCAGTCTTACTCATCATATTTCAACAACAGCCAGAGATTCACCTACTTTTCAGAATTTCATCAGCATTAGTACTTTAAGGCTTTCGTACTTAAACTGATGGTCTGGCCAAAAGGAAATTTTTTCCCCAGCTCCCAAATATTAATATACATTTAAATTGTGCTAAACTGTGCTAGCCAGTAAATACAGAGATTAAGATCCTTCTGAACACGCCTTGGTGAAAGATACAGTTATGGCATGATTAACACTATTATCTGCTCATCCAGAACGAACCTTGTTGTCTTGCCCAGGTTGCATAAAGACTATATAGATTATATACACAGCAGAGCACATAATGAGAAGGCAAGCCAGCATATTCCCAACCATCATTGCAACACTCTCCTATAAAGCGTGCATCTACCCCAGTGAACCCCTAACATTTACCCCAGTGAAGACCACCGACTTCAAACCACACTGCTGAAATGTAACTTACACAACAAAGTTGAGGAAAAAGAACAACAGCAAAATCTAAACCATCAAGCTCCCTAAGCTAAAACATGCAGCCACGGCAGGCATGACAAATCTTTACCTTTGATGACAATGTGGAAATAAACATTTCATCACACAATAATTCAGATTGCAAATTGATTTTTTGAGCAAACTTGCCTTTAAATCAGGGGCGTCCAGTCGTATCCACAGAGAGCTGGTGTGGCTGCAGTTTTTCATTCCAGCAAAGCAGGAGCTCAATATAATTAACCAGCTGTTTGAAGACTGATTAAACAAGTGGAATCAGGTGAGCTTCTCCTTGATTGCAATGAAAACCTGCAGCCACAGCAGCCTTGTGTGTAGAACTGGTGACCCCTGCTTTAAATAGAGCTTAATGACTGTGGACAAACAACCCACAGCCCTGCTGTCCTGACACACCTGACCCTAAAGATATCTAAAAAAAAAAATATCTAAAGATATCTAAAAATAATTAGCACTATATATTAAGTACTTAACGAATCTATGAATGTGAATATGAATTGATTTTCTTTGCTAAAATCTATATTCACAAACACAAGTTCATCAAAAAAAGGCCTTTGTTTTCAGTCTTTGTCTCAGAATCCAAAAACTATTTACAGCAACTGAAACGTTGAATAACAAAAAGGCAATTAAACCTCTTTCTATCTGTGATACATAGAAAATATTAACTTGATGCTTCTGTGGCTAGCGCACTAATAGCTCCCCCCTGTGGAGAAATCTCAAACTGCAGATGTGTGAGTGATTTCATTTTAAATGTTTTTCCATCATCATGTGGAAATTTAGCTGTAGATGTTTATAGGGGGAAACCATTAAGTATTATATTATCAGAATTTCACAGTTTTTCTGAAGCATCAGGGCACTTAAACGTGTGTTGCACTCTTTTAAACCCATAGCAGAAACAGAGGGAATTTACCAGTCTGACCACCTATTACTGCTGTAATGTTTCTCTAGTTTTACAGTAAAAATTAATAAAATATTATATGTACATACTACACAACTTTAAGCAAATGGTATGAAGTGACATTAGTCTCATTTCGCTTATCAGTTCTCCTTTCCAACACAGTGATTACAGGGAGGGAAAGTACAGATCTGTTACATTTTTGAAACCCTCAAAACCTTCATGAACTTCATTTTCACCAATGACATAAACACATAGCTACAAAAACATTTACAGAGCATTCTCAACTTCCTTTTAGGCCTCTACCACTATGAAATGTTATGAAATGTTATATGTATATATGCTTACAGGTGAAGTGTTTCTAAGGCTTGATGAATCTGTTGCTTGTCTTTCTAGCCTCACAGTGCTGACTTCTTCCACTATGACAGCACCAATGCAGTGAACTGGGGATACAGAGGTAGGCATGCTGTCAATCACACAGTACGATCAAGCCTGAGCAATTGCTGTAGCTTTGTAAAGGGTTAGACCTCATTTCTCTTGTCTCTCCTTTTGTCCGTTTCAGAATACAAGGTGAGTCCACACAACTCTGTCGAAGCACTGGTTTGTACAAGAAATCAGCAGGTTCAAAATCTACATGTATGAGTCGGATCATATCTGTTCGTTTTAGACAAGTTTCTCACGTTTCACTCCTGCAGATTTACCCATATCAGGATCTGATAGTCACTGTTCGAGGGCATAACCAGCTCCCCAGTGACGTGGACAGGACAAGGTTAGAGGTAAATCAACACCACAGACACTGTGTATTCCTTACAGTTACATAATAAAGCAATGATGTGATACAGTTGTAAATGGCAACAGAGTACAGCAACATAGTTTAACAATAATCTATGGTTGCCAAGCAACATGATACGATTACTCCATGAACAGCACAGTGATTTTTAATAAATGTGTGCATTAATATGGAATTCAGTTAATATCTGGTCAAATGTACAGTATAGTTCAAAAGTGGATTCACTGTTTTCAATAATATAATGTAGAAATCTGTAACAATTTAGGAATTTTCAGAGATGGACAGGGCTGTAGGTTTGCTCTATAACATGATCTGCATTTGAAAACCGGTTACGAAATCTTGGGGATCTTTTATTTTACGTCAAGAAATTACTGTAGTTAACAGTTGATTACTGTATAACTTGTATTATATCTCAAATGATTCCAAACCTTTGATAATTAATGCATGCATGTTCAGCATTTTACAAAAGCTTGGAGCCAATCAGATTTTAGAACCAGAACAATGTTTTAGAACAACAGATTAAAAGCCATTCATGCTGTTTTCGTACCCAAACTGTTGTTTGTAACCAGCCTTGTCTTATTTGCTTCCACATCACTCCAGAGACATTTGTCCCCTGAAGAGTTCTACCAGGTCTTTAGGATGACCATAGCTGACTTTGACCGTCTGGCACTGTGGAAACAAAATGAGCTGAAGAAACAGGTGAGGCTGTTCTAGAAGGAAAAGCTCTGGACTTTAACGTCAGGTACGCTGCACCAGGACCGAAGAGCACTGGACGACCAACTTGGTCTGAAGGAACTAAACGATCTGGCTTGGAGTTTGGTACAGAGTGGAAGTGGACGGTCTGGAGACATTAGCCCTTCTGTGGTGGACTGATCCACAACTTTGAATGAGAAGAAAGAACACCAGAGAGATGCCTGATAATGTCTGTGTGCAGTTTGTTTCTTTCAGGCTCTGCGCCTCCAACCACAGCCTATGTGACTGAACTTCAGGTTACACTAATATAAGAACTGTATGAACATTGCCTTATGATGATGAAACGGTTAGGTTAACACCAGCAGCTGTGCGGAGATGATGGACAGAACGCAGGTGAGCTTGTTTGATTAGAGTTTAGACTGTATATCTTTTTAGAAAACGAGATTGTGGTGAAGAGTTGCTGCTGTGTTGAATGTCAGTTGTATTGAGTTGATTGCTGTCACTTCTGAAGGAGTGTTCTGTATGTTGCAAAACCAAAGTGATTTTCTTTTTCTAGTACATACTGAAGTGTGCCATACTTACCTTTTTGAGAGGTCGGTGCAGTTGAAAGGGAATTCCACCGATTTTCCATAATGTCTACATAATTTAATCAATGAGATTAAACAGAGGAATTCAGAGTGGTTTGATGTGAAATCTAACAACTCAGATTTCTTAACAGTGGTGGTAATGGGAAGGTCTACAACACAATCATAGCCATTTTATTCACTAATCTAAAACAACCAGTGAACCTACTTGTCTTCTAATTTTTTTTTTTTATATGTAATGCTGACCATATGTGATGAAGGTAAAATAGAAGTAAAACTAAAAAATGTACCACTCTGTCAAGAATGGGTTATAAAAATATGTTTAAGGCCAAAACCATATCTCAAAACTACTGTAAAACATCTTGGGCATCAGGAAAAACAATTCACAACCATCTCATAACTTTCTGTGAGGGAGCTTTTAGAGGCATTAAACTCTTCCGTCATCACCACTGTGATCAAGTCTGATTCGGTAAGTTCCTCTAGAACAGAGCGTTTCACATCAGACCACTCTAGACACATCTTAACCATTCAATTATGCAGAAATATTGAAAAATTAGCATATTTCCCCTTTAATGTGGCAGATGTTTTTTTTAAACATTAACATGAGATTTATGGATCCAAAGAATGTATATCAAGCAAAGGGATGTCAGACAGAATTTTACGCAAGACTAGATGGTACTTGAACAACTTTAATTGACATTAACCAAGAATATCAATTCACACATCTTTAAGCGCAGATTAGAAATATGGTTTGTCATTTTGTTTTTTTTTTCTGCCTTAATTATCGAGTAGTTTACAACATGGTGTCTGTTGTTAGTGTAATCAGTTACAGAGAAATGTTTTCTAACCTCACCTCAACAACATACTGTCCATTACAGTCTGCCTTTACACTGTATTTTTCATTTCCATCAGATTCAAACTGACCACTGTATTAGATTTTGATGTGATTTGAGAACTGAATAAAAGGTTTTGGTTGAAATTGGAGGAGTCTGGTGACAGGAATGGGTAAGGAAGTACATGGAAAGGAGGACAAATGAACAGAATGGCACTCGTTGCGTAGGGTGACTGAATGAAGCAGATGGGAGGGATTTGACATTGCTGGTTTTGAGGAAAATTAAACAGAAGGACTAGGCTGAATGCATATCAAGATCTTTTGAAGTGTTGCACATTCCAAACCATCATCTTCATCAACAGAATTCCTCGAATTTTAACAACTTTCTTCTACTGCTGTTTCAACGCCTGTAGCAATACTGAAGTTGCACCACTGTTTGCATAATTATACACATTTCACATCATGTTTCTTTTGTGTGTAATAATGCTGAGAATCAGTTTTTAAACCTTTGAGAAGCTGATTTTGAGCACATCACATTTCATACAGATCACTTTTGTTATCCAGAACCACTAACAGCAGCAGAGCATTGTTTTTGAACTCTTGCGTTTTATAGACTAATTATGCATAGCAAGTTTTAATAAGATGACGACCTGTCGGGAAAACTGTGTTAATTTTATTTAAATAAAATGCTTTCAAGGGAGAAAGTCTCAGCGTGGTTTGTCCAATTTATATGGAATAAGATTTTCTTCAACCGGTCGGGTCTTCAAAGGTAAATGACACGACGCATTTTCATGAACCAAAACGTTTAATGGGTACAAAGAAAAAGTGTGTATCGCAGTTCAGTGCCTTTAACAAAATCTCATAAATAACCCAATTGATCAATGGAAGAGCGACAATTCCATGGGGGCATAAAACGCTACTGGACACAGAATGAGCTGACACATAAAGAGAGGTGTTTGTCGTCGCTGTATGAATCCAGACAGGATGCACTTAGCGCAGAACTCAAGGCGTCTGGGCGCTGAGCGACAGGCCATCTCCAGCCTTTCTTCATCCCGCAGGTTTTTATCATGCTTGATTTTGTCCTTTGAGGGAAGACATTCCAGCTCTCATGATCTCATCTACCAGGAGGATGTTACTAGCAATAACCGTGCTAGAGAGAGAGAAAGAGAGAGAAGAGAGAAGAGAGAAACAGAGAGAGAAGAGAGAAAGAGAAAGAGAGAGAGAGAGAGACAGAGAGAGAGAGAGAGAGAGAGAGAGAGAGAGAGAGAGATTTAGTTTAGATAGACATTTACATCTTTTAGACATTTTTTTTTTACCTCAAGCTGAGAAACCAGCCAAGGTCAGCATTACTGAATCTAGATCAGCTGTTGCAATTCTCTACTTTTCTGCAGAGTTCAAAACTACCTTGGGCCATGTTGTTCATATTATATGATTAAAGTGGCACCAATTCATTTTTTTTATTTTTTTTTCACTTAAACCAGATCCGGATCTGATCCATGGACTTCTGTTGGGAAACAAATGTTTATCAAGCTCATGACCAGCTGTATGCAGTTGCCAGCTGGCGACAATACTGGTCTTAACTCCAAGTGCAGTTCAAGTATGTTTCTGGATGGCTAGCTAGATAGCATGCTCTTAACTGTATTCGTGACTGGGAATAAATCACAGCGTGATGGCTAGCTCTCCAGAGCTGTGTGAAAATTACTCTGACTGCCCTGCATAGTTTAGAATGTGCTCCGGTATGAAGTGGTGCACCTTAAAAACTTATCCCCTGTTCACAGACAAGACCTGACTGTAACGTTTTTATTTTTAAGGCAGTGGTTAAAAAGACTGTTGGTTTTGCTTTCCTATACTGTTCACAGCTGTTCAAACAGAGCCATCAACCTGTTTAGGATTGCTACTTTGGGTAAGATCTCTGTATTATCCTTTTAATACAATTATTTTCATGCAACTATGAAAACGATTAAATCAGTGATGTTTTTTCATTACCTGCAAAATTTGACTGTTTAAAATAAAGTTTATAATAATAAAAAACAGGAGTAAGATCAGGAAGAATATCTCTTGAAGGCCCTTCCAGCAAAGCAATGATTATTCTTTTTCTGGGTTTCACTTTCATGTCACTTTGACCAGTCACCAAAAATATACGGTCACCATTATTTTGAATTGCGTTGATAACAGGCACCCAGTGCTGCATTTTGGGAGTTTATTTTTGGTGGCAAATTCTGACAAAAACGTCCATGCAATTATGTTTATTACTGGGCTATTTGGGGTCATTTTGAAAAATTACACGGATAGTTTATCTTGTACGAATCGGCCAGTCGATTCACATTACCAGACCTCCTCTGCTAAACCTAATCCGCTGTGAACAGGGCTGAAGACAGATATGGTCACTTAAACACATGAAGGTGAACCATCAAGGCAGAAAAATCACAAAGCTTCTTAAAGTAGAAAGAGTTCTGATTTAGGATCAGATTTATATCTTATTTACAGTGATCTTACTGACAGGAACACATCCTAGATCGGCACTACTAATCTGAGAAGCTAAGTGAGAGCTATGTCGAAGTCTCAGGTTTGTAATGCGAACACCAAAGTAAGCTGCTTGCATGCGAATCGAGTCAATTTAGGATTTCTAAAGAAGCTAATTCACTAGAGTAGTGTGGCAGAATGTGTTTGAAACCAGACCAGGACCAGGGTTCTGGATAAATGTGTTCTGTGTTCTCCCTTAAATCTTTGATGAGATTTCCAGCATCCATCACCATTTTAAAATAAGAGAGAAAGGTGCTCTTGCATGGTGTCTGACTGTATTTACTACAGATTCAGTAAAACAGAATTCAGCCATGCTGGCAATAATAGTAATAATAATAATAATAATAATAATACAAATACCATTCACAACAGACTAGTCAAGTGTCTCTAAAACAGATTTAGGTTTTACTCACCAGGAGTGAAGGAGCTGCTTTTTAACACTGTAGTTATCCCAAACACCAGCCTCCCCAGCAAGCATGGGCTCACCTGAGAAATGTTGAACGGGAGGATATTAGCCAAGTCAGGATGACTTGATAGATTTAAAAGATTTTTTTTACACGAGTTAAATTAGAGTAAGTCAAAGAAAAGTGGATATTTAGAGATACACACCTGTGCTCAACTCCACCCCAATGAGCTGACCAGACTCTTTGAATTCAGTCTGCAGCTTCACAAGAGTCTCCTGTGGATCATAGCCAGAATTCTGAGCCAGGACCTACAAAGAAAACATGCAGCTGTGCTTTAGAACCCCGGCCCTGAAGTTAAATGAGGGGAAACACACTTTGTGCAAATCGAAGGAAATAGTGTATAAATGTGACATGGTACAATATAAATAACTTAAGTATCACTTTACTTTAGGGATGATGAGCAGAGCATCAGCAAAAGCTTGCACACCCAGCTGAGCCCGGCCCTTCACTTTTGGCTTGTGCTTCACCAGAGCGTCTGCCACAGCAACCTCAAATGCCCCTGCTCCTGCAACAACGCTGCCTATATCCAGGAAAAGAAGAGGAGTCAGACTGACTTATGAAGGTGTGAGGATGCCCCCTTGTGGTAAGTCACAGACTTTACCATTAATCACACTCAACCACTATTAAAAGCAGCTTGAATACTGAAGAGGCTTACAATCTCAGGGTAAGGATCATTAAAACTCTAATGCAATTTCTCTTTTCCCCCGAACTGCTGAAAAAACAAACTTTGCAACATAAAGCAAACTGCTTTGATCTGTGCTTAACTTACCACAGGCATTTTAAAGAATACAGTAGAGAGGAAAAAAACAAAAAACAAATCTGAACTCAATTTCATGGGGTCTGCAATTGTCTAGTTAAATTTAATACTTCCCAATTAGGGCTGCAATTATCAAATATTTCCATTTTCGAATGTTCTGTTCAACTCTATCTTGATTTGCGTTTTACTTTAATGACAAAGAAAATATCCAGCCTTGACCAGTCAGTGGTGAGCAGTGCAGAACAGCAGAGGAAGCAGCCTATTTTAACCACAATAAGTGAAATAATAAGTGAAAACAGCTTTTAGGTCTTTTCAGCAAGGAGGTGACCATGATTTAGGTTCTATATAGATTCTTCAAGTTTTTAAGCTGCTCAAAAAAACACTTTACCAAGTGCTTCATATCCGAGTATGCAAGTTTCTTTCTGCTCCGGATGGACAGCTTGCTCACCAGCACGTTGTCATACTCGGGGGGAATAAATGTGGTGTGCAGAATGCTTGCTAGCAATTCAGAGCAGTAGGAAAAGCATTTGGACTGAACCAGGTGATTATAACCAACACCACTTCAAATTACAGATCTAAAACAGTTATCAAGTCTTGACAGCCCGACCTTTGACTACTGCAGTGATATCACTATAAATGGTTTAACATCCTGTGTAGGCAGATTACCTTGCTCTCTTTGGAACATGCTGCTACTGAAACTGAAATGCATGGTTTCATAAAAACCAGTAAAAGCGTTGGGTCTGAAAGACTCATTTTCAACTATTTTAATCATCAAATTTTATCAATGATTTATTGAAGTCCTATTTAAAATCACCTTTATATGCCAAAATCTAGATACCTAAGACAATGTAATACTTGAAGCCTTTAATTTGTAAAATGTAACACAACAAAAATCAATGAAATTAATTTTAATGAACTCATTCAATCTGCAATTATCATGTAATGAGCTTTCTGCTATCCTACTTTTGGAGTCTACACTCTCACCGTCTTCGATGGCGTTTTTCACTGCTCGTAGGCCATCTCTCACAGCATCTTTGATCTGTGTCAGAGTGTGTTTGTTGGGGCCTTTGATCAGGAGCGTCACAGAACGAGGGTTTCCACACTTCTCAATGTACGTGTACTTCTCCTCACCCTGTTGTAAACACACAATAAGCATGCGATTTACACTGAATATCACTAAAATCATCAACCTCCCATAAGTGGGCATGAGGAGACAAAAAAACTGGCCCAACTCACCAGTGTGTATTCATAGACAAGACCAGCATGACCCAAGCATTCTGGAGTGAGGTCATCCACAGAGTTCATTGCAACACCACCACAGGCCAGAGATAGTCTGAAAAACAATAGAAAACGACCAATGATGGTCTTGTTACACCAACATTAACCTGAACAAGCAGGTCAGATCACATAGCCACTGGGCGAAACTGTATTTTGACGTGTGTGCTCCCCCTCATATCAGTGATAAGATGCAGTATGATACCACTGTAGCTACATGAGAAAGAATGGTAATCTGGCATGGTGTCTGACTGCATTTACTACAGAAAAAGTAAAACAGAATTCAGCCATGCCCGTCACATTTCTTTAGCCAACTTCTATCGCTTTTCAACGCTATAAAATGACTGAATTAGATCCGTACCGCTCCATGTTCCTCCTCTTCGCCCTGCGCAGAGCCACAATTCCCTCTTTGGCCAGAGCATCCAGAGAGAATGGGTCAATACCCTGGTACAAAAGACAGAGTTTAGACACTGCTACTGAAGTAACTGCCTAGGTTTCGAGACAAAAGTATGCAATGTGCTGGTCCCATGAATACATGTAGTAAGAACAGACCATCTTCTACTGCAGAGGTGTAGACCACACATTACTGTAGCACAGTTCAAGACCAAGGAGTACTACACAAGCACCCATGGGTGTTCACTGTGCATAACAGGGCTTTAGTCTATTTCTGGGTTATTAGAAAAGTATAGCATTTCCCTAACAGACAATTTCACATTTTGTCAACTGGCTTAGATCAAACACACCTGGCTCTAAGATTCAGATGCTACTGCAGACATTAAACCCTTAAGTGAATCAGGAGTGTTAGATTAACCCTTGAATTAAACTCTGTAGAAAGAGGGGTGGCTAGCCACGCCTCAGACTAACTTATGTTCAAAGAAAATCAAATTAGTTCCACAAAGCATTGAAGTATTATCATTAGAGTGTATTATTACAATAAACTAAACTGTGAGCTAAAGTGTTCTTGTGAAACATACAAGAGATTTTCACTTACCTTCTGGTTGATGACCACAAAGCCCTTGTCGTTGTCAGCACACACTTTGTTCTTGAGCGCAATGATCTTCTGGACACGTTCCTCAATGAATTTCCTCTCAGCCTTCACCAGTTTCTCTCTCTCATCAGCACTCTTATAAAAGAACCCGGAGTTCACCTCCCTGTGGAAACATCACTCAATGTAGTATGCACTAAAATGACTTGCATTACAGAGATTCACATAAACTCTTGCATGGTGTAACGATCTTAGCCTACGTTTTCTCATATTCCAAAGAGACATTGCATGTCAGGATGTAAGCGTCCTCCACTCTCTTCTTCATGTCCGGATGTCTAGCTCCATGGTCCAGCACCAAACCTCTGATCAATCTAAAAAGCAAAACAAAAAACTGTGGTTAACTAATTGTGATTTAACAGTATAACAAACCATTACTTACTAATTGTGCCTAGTTTTTCAATTCTGTCAATACTATTATGCACACTGTTCTACCAAATGTATCCATTAAACTGTCTTGAATGCACCACGCATACCACAACCATATACAAGAAAACCAAGAATAATGCAGTCTCTTACTGTGTATCACTCTCTGTTTTGTGCCTCATTTCCATGATCTCCACCATGTAGAGGTCAATAGGCTCGTTTGGTTTCTTGATGGCCAGCACAGCATCAACCACAGCCTGAGGAAAAAAGTCAACTCATAAATGGATCTTTCAATGGGAAGTTTACAAAGCAGAACTTCTCCTCCTAAAAGAAGTAAATGTAAACTAAAGTGAATTCCAACATAAGACAAGAAAAAAAGACAGATCTGACTGTAAAGGTATCAATGTTAGCATTCAAATACACTACACATGTTAAAAGTAGCAATATCATAACTACTAGGCGTATAATCAAAGTTTGTCTTATCTGCTTAAATTTGACCCAAAGGAAAGATTTTTTTCTCCATTATAAAAGCAGTGGGTTTTGTTACAGCTATGAGTGAACAGCTAAAAATAAATCCGTAACATTGTTTTCATCATGTGAATGCCCATGAACCTGAACATGATCTTGTTTCCCCCCACAATTGTAGCCCTTTGCTCTCATTCACACAGCATGTGGATTCTTGTTACAGCGGAGGCTCTAGAGGGTAACTAACTTTGCATTTTGCTAATGTTTTCATTAGCTTGCTATTTATTCATTTATCCATAGGTCTCTCAGGAGACATTTTCCAGCGTAGCCAAAGGTATCACGCTTTAAAAGCCATTTAAAAGCTGTATTTGAACGTAAGGCCTACACTCACAGATTCAACCACACAGTGTTCAAGTATCTGGGCTGGACTTCAGTCTGCACTGCTATAAATGGTTAACAGTCAAACTAAATAAAATGAATTAACAACACAAAGAAATAATTTTATTCCCTTTTACTGCTTCGTATATTGCTGCTCTTTCATCAAGCTAAAATCTATTAAATATAGAAACCATTCCAAGTGTTCATAGAATGAACGTAATAAACAAGACGAAACTGTCTGTCTGAGCGGACTGCAAAACAATCAACTAAAGACAAACCTTTGGCAAAAGCAAAAATCAAAGTTGGTTTACTTTTTTTGTGCTGGTCCCATGAATACATGTAGTAAGAACAGAGAGTCTTCTACTGCAGAGGTGTAGACCACACATTACTGTAGCACAGTTCAAGACCAAGGAGTACTACACAAGCACCCATGGGTGTTTACTGTGCACACAGACTCATTCATATGTCTTGGTTTGCCTTACGAGTTCATAAACTAATACAGGGCTGCCTGTAGCAACAGCTTACAGCAAGACTAAAACCAGGCAAAACATAGGCTGACCGAAGCTCTGAACTTCTGCTTACTCGCCTTACATTTTTATATCAGCAATACAGAGTGTACTGACAAGTGTTATATTGACTTGCTCACTAAAATCCCTTTTACAGCAGTCTAGTAAATTGTCACTTCATCTTAAATGTGAGAATGGTATTCCTTTCACAGTAAAATGACAAATAACAGCACAGAGATCTAGAATTTGAAAAGGTGAATTTAGAGACATCTTTGCCTGTTTTCGTTACCTCTGTGAGCAGGTCAGCCAACTCTGCATGGACCTTGGTTCTCAGCGAGGTCCTGGCCACATTAATGAGGGTCTCCCGATCCATCTCCTTGGTCACCTTCACCTCCTCCAGCACCTCCAGGGCCTTGTCCTTAGCAGCTTCAAAGCCTTCTGCAATTATTCTGGGGTGGAGTCCCTGAGGAAGCAGACAAGGTGGAAAAAAGCAACAAATGAGGCACATCACTATAAATAAGACACCTTACAGCAATGTGAAATGATCAGAACTGTGTTCGGAGACTTTACAAATACAGACTACAATTAGTCCTATACTTTGATCTGTTTCCGATGCTGCAAACCAACGTCAATTTCAAAACAAATTTGCTTATTATTTATGTAACAACATGAATATCATAAAACAATATGAATACTAACCTCGGAAATGTAAAGGTCTGCCTGTTTCAGTAGCTCTCCAATTATGAGCACATTGGACGTTGTTCCATCCCCGGTGATGTCGTCCTGGGCTGTGGCCACTTTAGCAATCAAAGATGCAGTGGGATGCTGGATTTGCTATTAATAAAACAACAAAAAAGGAAAATGAAACATTAAGTGATAAGCCAGTAATCATGATGACATAATGAACTGCACCAGGTCCAAGAACATTCAGAGTAAAAACTACTCTAAAGAAATAAGTTCACAACACACTTCTGCTGTCAATTCAAAAGATTGCGCAGACTTACAAGAAAACCACTGACGAGCCTTGAAGAGAAAAAAAAACAAAAAAAACATCGACAGAGCACTAAACTGCCTGATGAAGTCTACTTTTACAGTTTAAAACAGTGAGAAAACAGCACTGAGAATATGTACATAAAACAGAGCATCATCTCTTACCATCTCGTGCAGCAGAACATTGCCATCTTTGGTGAGCTTGATGTCGCCTGCACCGGACACAAGCCTGTGGATATTAAAGTCTGCTGTTAAAACACGGTCACTGAAGCCAAGGAAAGTAGCAAAAAGACAACACCGGGGTTGGTCACTAATAGTTCTGCGCATGTCTTAATAAAGGTATCCAACTACGTTAACAGGACAAACGCGCTGCTCAGGAACAAGAGCCTGTGCCGAAAAGGGTGGGTCAGATGAACTAGTACAATATGAAACCGGCAAATACGATAATACGGCCAGTTTTATGTAGCTAGTTAGCTGTTAGCTCAAATCCAGAGAAAAAGAAATAATCCAGAAAGCATGTTTTAAGTCCACAGCTAGACAGCTAACCTAGCTGCTTAGCCAACTACTCTGTGAGGGGATAACGTTAATGTCTGCGCCGTCTCAGAGCCGCTAGCTCAAAGGCTAGCAGAGCCGAACAGGAACCATGTGGATTTAAGGGAAGCCCGCTAGCAGCGGTAGCTTAGCGTGCTACATTCAGATTTAACAGTGAGTTGGCAGTTTCAAAGTAAGCACTAAAATTCTGCTCAATAACGCTTCTATAGCTGGCGCAGCATGGGAAAAACACCCTCACCGACAAGCTGCTGAATCAAAGAACACTTTTATTGAAGAACTTTGTGAGGAAAGAAGCTAGCTAACAGCTAACGGCTTCAGGTAACAGAGCGAGCGAAGCGCGTGCGCAGACAAAAGCGGTTAACAAAGCAGAAAAAACTTCACCCACATTTTCATGGTCCCTTTCGGTCCGAGGTTACTCCTCAAAACATCTTGAAGTCCCCGAGCGGCGCTAATGTTCACGGCCAGTGCGGCCTGAGCTCTGGCCACCTCCGCTTTGGGGTTAAGCGCCTTCACAGCAGCCATCGCGTCCGAGCTACAGCGTCGTTAAAGCTGAGCCGCTCACGAGGGCCGGCGGGAGAGAGAGCAGCAGCAGGCGGCTTCCAGAAACCTCCAACACGCGCTCTCCGGCACCGCCCACGGCTCGCTCCGATTGGACACAAACCCAGACGACGACAGCGCCCGCGTAGAATTGATTGGCTGATCGGGGTGTCAATTATTTAGCTTTGCAAGAAAACTGCAGTTAGAACTAGCGCGTTAGTTCAGTTTACTGAACCGATTCTTTCGAACGAGAATTAATTATAGTTCGATTCAGTTTATGGAATCGACTCTTTTGAACCGTCAATTTGAATATTTTGAACGACCGATCTACAAGATTTATGGAGTCACAAGCGAAGTCAGCTTTATTCTAGGCTGCGTCTGAGTAGTTGATGAAACTTAATTTCCTATCTGCTTTTCTTGTAGCCTGTAGCCCATAGTAATCTGTAAGCTTCATTCAAATATTCGGACACAGCCCGTATCTCCTATCTGTAAAATAAGAGTCGGTTCAGCGAGTCAGTCTAATGTCGATACTTCTACTTAAATTTGGACTATACAAATTAACCTGTTGTTAATGGTTGCTCATTCACTTTCATTTTATGGTATTGTATGTTTTGATTTCACGAGATAACAATCTTTCAAAATTGTAATTATTTTTTTTCTTACACGTCTTCAGCTTGCCCTGAATGAGCAACAAAAACGTTCGACTCAGTTGGACTTCTGAATCGGCGTAAAAGAATGATTCTTTTACCAACATACCACATACATTACAGGACTTAGGACTTATGGCATTAGGGGTTCAACTGAGCAAAATGCACCTGAAAATGTTTTTGTTTGGAACAGTATTATTTAACACACTTAATCTGAGACCAAGAAGCAATTGCATACATTAAATATCTAATATCCATCACTTAAATCCACTATTAATACTGCCATTTGCCCAAACTAATTAAAAAAGTAACATATCTTTCACGTACAGACATTAAAGTCATATTCACACACTTCAAATCTGTATTTCACCCAAAACAATTGAGAGAATAGTTGTAGTTCAATCATAAATTTAATTCAGTATGTACATCTAATCTTTTCAAAGCATTGGATGTTAAATAAAACCATATTAAACACTAAGCAAGTGTTCATTATTCAGTTTTCCCACAAAACCTCATAGTATGGCTGAGCAGGCCTACAAACTGCAAGTTTTGCCAGTTTGGTGTCCTTTTCAAAGTGATAAAGTTTCTAACCCTTGTGATAAATAGAGAGCGTTTGTTCAAGGACAACATGATCAGACAATCAGCACTGAGAGGTCTGTCGCTGGATTAAAAGAGAACACGCACTACAGTTTGATACACGAGCATATCTGTAATCTAGTCAAAGACAAGAAATCAACACAGATGCAAATCAAAGACAAGATTAAAACTGAGTTGGATTTAGTAAAGAGGCATCTCAACCATTTTTGCTCTTCTTGTTAGAAGGGAGCTCAAATATAAATGCATTTTAGCCATCCACCACTCAAATAAGCATTCAGCAACATGTTTTGAGTCTTTTACTTAAAATGTACACAATTTGTGACTGAATGATACAAAAATCGATCCTCACCATATACTCAGACCAGAGTCAGTCTGTTTGTGCGCTAGTTCAGGACTCCTAACCGTATTATTGGTTTTTTATGAACCATACAATAAGACTGCAAGGCTAATGGCACAACTGATTTATACATACAAGCTTTGCACTAGCTGGGCTAATTTCACCTAGCCATGGGGTTTCAGGTCATTTACAACTCCCTTTGTTACTGTCATAAAATTGTACTACCGTAAATGTGCAGATAACAAAAACCAAAATCAGGATGTTTTTTTAAGCTAAACTGCATGCCTGTCAATCAGTGTCGATCTGTTCAAGCTAAATACATCAAGAAAACAAAATCAGCCTCTGGATAATTGATTAACATGCTGGAATATGTTTGGAACACACAAATCAAAGACAGCAATGATCCTGCTACCAAACCCCTTTAAGAAATGTGGGGAAAAAGTCATGCCTATGGAAACTTGAACAGCCCAAAAATGAAGTGAGGCTTAAAACATCCTTTCAGGGGGTTTGATGAAAACACCACCATCGCTCTTTCATGCCACGATGGCTGTAAAAAGCTGAAAACAAGCTCTCACGCTCTAACGCGGTCCACATTATGAGAGAACTCTCTGAAGTCCTGGTGTAACCCGTTGAAGTTTTAGTGTATAGTGGTCTGACAGAGTGTGTTCAGCTGTGTTGTTTTTGACATTTGTTCATTAATTAAGAGGTTCTGATAAAAATTTAACACAGATATGACCACTGAACATATGGGAATGGGCAAAGTGGATTGAGCCTAAAGGGAAAAAAAAACAACCAAAAAAAAACATGAACGACCAAAACCCAGAATCCTAAACCCTAATTATCGAAACTGAGCAGAAATCCATGGCAGTGCAAAATCTGACTGACATTTGGTTGGAATCATAAAATCCTTCTGGTTAGTGGGTTTCTGTCAGGGTCATCACAGGAGGCTACTTCAGAGGCGAAGTCTTCATCGGAATCATTATTCTTGATTCCATGTGCTGAATCAGAGGAACTAATGACAACAGGAGAAATAGTCACATATTTACAATTAGACAATTCATAATGGGTTGCAAAATGCCACTTTTGCACTGTGTTTCTACACTCACCTGTGTAGTAGACAGCTTCATCCCAGCCTTCATGCTGCCAGGCTGCATTTCTAGTTTCCTCCCTTGACTGCAAGTCTTTGTATGCTGGAAGAGACCAATGGTACAATTTATCATTAAAGGAATACTTCAGCTTTTTCCTACCTAACCTGTATCTGAAGCATCTGTGACCACAGTTGAATACTAGTCGATCAGTGGCTCTCAGTCCTGGTCCTGGAGTAGCACTGGCTTGCATGGTGTAGCGTTTTCCCTGCTCTAAGGCTACGTTTAGACTGCAGGTAAAGGTGGCTCAAATTTACATCTCAAATCATTTTATTTCCTTTTTAATGTGGCCTATATCTGACATAAATCTGACCAGATTATGCTCCTGAAATGACCTGTATACGCAAAAGAACAACAATCTACTCGGCACGTTCATCCAACCACATAGCTGTCCTTTAGATTTCCTTAAGATGAACCCCTTTAAACGGCCAGGACCAAGTTACTAAATAATAAGCCTTAGTATGTAATCAGTATGAGATTTTAAGAGGTGATTTTTCAGGTGACATTAAATTGAAATGTAAGAACTGTTACTTTAAACATGGAGGACAAGAGTAGACATGAAAACGACGACACTGAACGAGGATTACAGAAAAGAGTTTTGAATTTTTATTTTGACTGTAGCCTAAACCACCCAGTCCATTTAAAGATGGATGTGTTATTTAGTTTATTAGTTGCATCAGATGTGTTGGGAACAAGCTGTGCAACTCCAGGCCCTGAATTGAGAGTGTTACTCTATGCTTGAAAAAAGAAATGAAAACCCGCTGACACATTTTGCCTATGGTAAGTCATTAGGCAGTTGCTGAGTTCTGTGAATCATTTGTGAAACTTGGGAAATACAGGCTGTGTTACTGCCCATGGAAACGTGTTAAAAACACTAAAGAGTCCTAGGGAATTCCTGTAAGTTTGTAAAATGGAAATGTAGCTAAACTTCACTTACCCCAGAGGTGATGTACCATGTACAAGCTTCCAATCTGAGAAAAGAAACCTCCAACAGCCTCGTTGTTCTGCTGACGCAACTCAATAGCCCGAGCCCTGGTGAAATCATTCACAGTCACTTCTGTTATCAGACCAGTTATGATGGATACTACATGGTCATGTAATGCTCACGAGCAATGACTGTCCAGCTTGCTACATTACATTTAAAAAACGGATTCACTGATATGGAATTTCTGGGCTAATAATGACAACCGATAAATGTTTTGGCCAGCACCAAACAGCGACAATTTAATGTTAATTATGAAGGTGTCTTTTGCAAATTATCTACACTTTCAAATGCCTGTTAGATAGACACTCTTGTACTTGCTACTGCTTTTTTTCCCTAGTGATTGATGCCTATATGTTCTTTACAAGAATGGCAAACTTGGTTCATTCTGGGCCACAACTCTGCAGAGATTAGCTTTCATGAATTCATTCCTTTTTAGGAAAGTCTGTTTACTAAACAATTTTTGCAATGCTGCCGGTCAGTTATTTCCAGCCATACAAAGCCAGGCTCATATCTCTTTGAATACAGTGAGACCAAAACATTCGAAATTGAAGGTCAAATTACAGTTTCAAAAACATATTTGAAATCGCTGATAAAATCCAACAAAATCTAAAATAGTTTATAGCGTTTGGCTCAGTAACAGACAAAAAACATGTTTTATCTTGTTGTTACCTTACTGCACCTGCGCAGATCTCCAAAATGAGAGCGGCTTTACTCGCTTGCAGCATAACCAGCAAGCTAACTGAATCTTTTTTACTTGAAGCGCAGGACTTTGTCCACAAACAGAAGCCATGTTGAGCGTCATTAGTTTTCCTATTGAGATTTCAATCAGTGAGCACTCTCCTCCTTTATAATGTCTCTGATTCAACTCATTGCTAATTGGCTGAGGAGTGGAGTCAGGTGTGTTTGATGAGACAGAATGCCAAACTCTGCAGTGCTGTAAAAGGTTTTCCATCCACTCTTTTTAAATGAAAATTTTGAAAATGGAAAAAGTGGTTTATCGATTAAGGAGAAATGCAAAAAACAGTGATGGACATATTTTTCAATAAAGGATGACGTAGCGGGAAAAAAGTGTGTTTTGTGCTACATCCTCTCATCCGGTGGTGTTCACAGGGGTTTGGTGGCCAATGGCGAAGAGGGGCAGCAATTTCAGCCCTCACTGAATGGGCCACTGCCTGCTCCATCCAACATCTCTGAATCATTAGAGCAGCGGTCACCAAACTTCCTCCTGGAGATCTTATTTCCTGCAGAGTTTACTCCAACCTACATCTAACACGCTGTCCCTCCGCATGCCTACACTAATGCATATGATTCAGCCAATCAAGGACTTCTGAAGAAGTTAATTAGCTGGAGCATGTGTAGCAGATTGTGGTTCGAACATCAGTCCACTGGAAGGGAGAGCTGTAGGACTAGAGTTGGTGACCACTGCCATGTACAGTTGGTTACAGCCATGTACAGTTGGCAGTGGGCTGTCAAACTACTGTACTACTATACCGAGAGTACGGCTGAACGATTTGGGGGAAATATCTGGCTGTTACTACTTTGTTCATGAAGTCTAGAATACCCAGTTGTCTGGCCTGAGTGCTGAATGTAGTGTGCCAGGCTAACAGTCAGCACATGGGTGTTTTGTTTGCTTCTGGTCTAACTCATCTACAAACAGTTCATAAGCTCAGTATTATTAGGTTAAACTTTCCCACTTAAAGTTCCTTAAAATGAACACTGTTGAAAATGTAGGCTATAATAAAATTTTAGCTCTTGCAATCTGAAAATTGACTTCTTCAAAGTGTGATTTCATTGTAAAAACGATTATTACAAGAGCTAATGAAGATCCCTCAATTGTATACTCCATGCACAGTGAGCGAGACACTTGTCTTGCACCATACAGTGCAAGCATGCCACATTATCTTCAAGCATTTGCACAAAAAGGTACATTAACACTAATTAATTCACATTCTCTTTTACCAACTTTCACGGAAAATGGAGGAGCTTGTGGCCCAGAAGAACCCCAGTTCTGCTTTATACAGATGACCACTTGAACACTTGTTGCAAACTACAATTCTATTGTCGTCTGCTGAAACCGTGAAAAACGTACACACAGCTGACGTTTTCATTCTGCAGCATCAGAACATTGATATATGTGCATCAGTTTGTGCACGAGCAAAAAATAGGGTGCCAATTTATGAGTTGAAATTATCAGCTGCAATTCCAATATCAGATCACCAGCAATACATCATAAATCTGTAATTAGAAGCCACACTTACCTTAAGCAGAGCATGCTACAACGTTTGCAGTCCAATTACCAAATTAGCCAAATTTGTAGGGTTTTCAATACTAATTTACTGGCAATTAATCAGTTTTACATAGAGACATGCAGAATTCATGATTCTAAGATGCCAGTGTTAATTTTGACAAATTACAAAGATTCAGCAGGCAATAACATACATCAAGAATTAAGGCAGGCAGAAAAGAAAATCAAAATGGCATTTTTCTACTATCTATCTTATGAATACATTTTTAATTTGGTTTAAGCGCAAGAAATGTTACCATCCATACTCAAAACTCAGCAACTACAATCTGTAAAGGCAACAATAAAAGCAGTTGAAATGATTAAATATCCCTAGCACAATTTGCATGACATTCCTGAAAACAGCAACAGACATATCCTACTGAGAAACTGTAATGATTGTTCTTTCTTACCAGTAATTTCCCCACTCAATCATGGTTCCAGGCTAGAAGAAAAAGATACATATATATAAATGTCACAATTACCATCATAACTGGGAGACAAAATAATTAGATGGCATCGCCCTGATGTTGTCAAGCCATTTTTGTTTTCCACATCTCGGTATGTCAAAACTGCACACTAGTTCATGTAACATTGTTTCAATGGGCATGTATGTTGGTAAATGGAAGCCATCATCATGATGGGGCCATCATTATCTTTTCCATACCCTGAGCTGGTAGGATCTCAGCTCATAGACGTTGGGTCCAGGTCTTGGCACAGGCTCGTTCCAAAAGCTGAACTCCAGAAGTAGCTGGTTTCTACGGGACAGCAGCATCTTCCCTCGCTTATCTCTGTACTCCATGAACTCCTGGTCAGATAAATGAATGGTAAATGAATACATAAGTAAATGAATTGGTAAATGAATAAATAAGTAGTGTAGAAGAGAGCTTAAAAAATACTGTGCATCACACATTACAATATGGGCTGATTTCAAACCATGGTGAAAGAAACCACAGGTGGAATTTCATGATTGTAAATTTGGCTCCTTGTAGACTAATTTAGAGATAAATAGGCGGTATCAAGAAACCAAGAAACCACCTACTGGTAACCTGATGCTTTTATACTATCAAGAGCATACCCATTTCTGTGCCCTAACAAAAAAACATTTTAGTACTTGTATTAAATAATCCTCAAAAGTTTTATCTGGGAATGAGCAAAAAGATTTCTTAGTTTTTAAAGCCAAATTCAGGAAAGCATTTCTTAAGCATTTTTAGTCGTCCAACAACAGAAGTTGATGTACAGACATACATCCACTTCTATGGTCAGTGTTTCAATTCACACTGGCAAGGAAACCCATAAACCACAACTTAATGCCTGTCCAGAAATGCCACTAACTTCTCTGGGCTTAAGCTCATTTAAAATGGACTGATACACACTGGACATGTGTCTTGTGGTCAAACAAATAAATCGTACAGTTTGTTTACTGAAATAATAGACATTGTGTTCTCCAACCAAAGATGAGAAGGACCATCCAGAGTATTACCAGCGTAAAGTTAAATAGCCAGTGTCTGTTATGGTGCAGGGGTATATTAGTTCCCATGGCATGGGTAAGTTGTACATCTGTGAAGGAACCATTATTACTGAAAGATATATAAACATTTTGGAGCAACACATTCTGCCTTCTAGATGCCACCTTCTACAGAGACATCCACGATTATTTAAGCATGACATCATCAAACCACACTCTGCATGTTACAACAGCATGGCTGCATAATCAGAGACTGCAGGTGCTAGACAGGAGTGCCCCTCTCCCATTGCAAATGTGTGAGGCATTATTAAGTGCAAAATACGACAACTAAGAAGCCCATACGGCTGGCAAAAAGTTCCACTTTCAAAACTGGAACTGTTGGTGTCTTCAGCCCCCACATGTTTCTTAACAATTGTTGGGGAAAAAATGGTAAAGTAACAAAGTGGTGAACATGCTCCTGTCCCAACTTTTGGGGAATGTGTTGCAGGCATAAAATTGGGAATTTTACCTAAAAACCAAACAAACAAATAAAATACGATTGATAAAATAATTCATAGAATATTGTGTTTTTGTGATATTTCAAGTTTAGTACAGGTCGAATAGAATCCACTAATCACTGCTTTATGTTTTTATTGGCATCTCACATACAGTCCAAGTATTGTGGTATTGAGGTTTGCAGTTGCAGAGTATCTCTTGCACAGTCTGTGGAAGCTACTGTTTTTCCCCGACACCAACATTGGCAAAAATCTTGTGTTAGTTACGTCACAATGCACGTATTTGTTGTTGTTTGTGCTGTTAGGTAAACCTGCTGTAAATCTGTTTAATTAGAAAAGTAGAAAAAAAAGAGCTGATGTTCATGCCTGATGCAGTTATGTGATGGAGCTGAGTCTGGGCACTTTTGCTTGGACACATGGTCTCTTGCACTATGTTTATGTGACGCTGACATGTTGTGCCTGGTGGGAAATCAGGGTAGCTGACTAATTTGATTTATTCTGCAGAGTTTTAGGCTAAAGACAGTGTTTCTTCATCTACATACCTTATTCATCCTGAGTTTGTTCATGACTTTAGTCAAGGCAGGGTAGCCTCCTCTGTATCGCCACAGATGCACTGACAAGGAAAGAAGGAACCACAAACTATTGACAAGATTACGGCTGGCATCTGCATAGCTATAGAGTGTGTTTTCTGTGTTGTCTGAAGCTAAGCCGAAGCAGCTTTGAATCAGCGGGTCGCCAGGCTTAACACGGTACACTGCCCAACTTAATTAATCATAGTGTACCTGAACCTAAAGTGCATAAAAACAGGTGCCAACAGGTGCAACAAACAAACACATGACAAGACATAACAGAGATAGTTTCTTTAAATATACTTTTTATGATTAACAATAAAGACTCATGCTCACCTGCTTGGTCCTGCTCTCCATACCATGTGTTCCAGGTGCCCACCAGCTCACAGGGGTACTCCGGGTCCGCATGGATATTTGGCAAGACATCTTCACTGTATGTGTAGATAAATATGACAGTATAAATACAGTACAGGTACTGTTAGACTGTTAAATTATGAGCACTGTGCTCCACAGATACACTAGAACAAGTACTGACAATACTTGAAAAAAAAATGAGTAAAATGATAAAATTCTAGATATAAAAATATACAAGGTGTCTCTTTGATTTTAAGCACTTGCAGAGAAAGAGCACTGACAGATAGAAATGCCAAAGAAAATTTCCCACAGTAACCGATTTTTCCCAAAGAATGATTCATTAGCTAAAGAGCATAAGCTAAAGATTAAAGCTATACGCGTGGCTAAGATTCTCCTATGTAGAAATGCCAAGCATAAAGACAAAACTCCACAGCTTTTTAATAAGAAAAATGGTAAAACAACTTGCTTGCAACTTTGGGCATCTATATGAATTTAAGACTATTTAATACAGCACTCATTAAGCACTACACACCATCTCAATATGGATGATCTTACCAAAGTTTGTTATAATCATCAAGGCACTCTGGCTTGACATTGTGAACTGTAAAAGAAAGGCATGTTATGGACTGTGACAGATCGTGCTCTGACCGACCAAAGGAATAAACCTCCACATAATCCAGATTAATCTGGCCTTCAAATCAATGCAAATGCAGCAGTGTAATTTAGTGCTTGAGACTTGAGCGGTTAAGAGCCATGTGTGCAGGCCTTGGGAACATACACTGGATTTTGTAGAGGTTGTTGTCTTCTTTCTTGGCCAGGAGGTGAGAGTGGGCATCTTTTCTGGGGTCGACCTTTCGGACAAAGAGAGATTTGAACCAGCTGTCTTCACGGTTTAAGTTTGAGGATGCAGACAGACTCCTGAAAAGAAAGAGACAGAAAGAACGAACCCCCAGTTGGCGAGCGATCAGTCCGTTTAACATTCAGGGGAGACTACAGAGAGGGGAGCGGGGAGCTGACCTTTTACCAAGGCCACCTATACACATTTCAATAAGTTTTGCCATGTTTCAAGTGACCAGCCCAGCCAAGTCACTGCAGGACATGGCGATGTCTTGTAGACACGCTGTGTATCTGCACGTAGATTTTGTTATAAACGTATAATGACTGAATAAACACCGAGAAATAGCTCTAAAATCCTGGTCACAAGCCACGAACACAAACCTTATCGTGTTACAACACGGCTTTCAAAATGACCTTGAGCTCAATCTTATGGCCAGTGGCCACAGCTCTGTATGAACACCCTCAATCAGCAGCTGCTCAAAGTTCCTACAAAATAGTAGTCCCTGTAAAGTTTGAGGCAAAAGAAAATGTTTCTTGTGGTAAGCATTTCACACGCACAACTAATGCTGAGTCACCTAAAATCCCCCGCAGGCGGCATTTTGATGCCCAAGAATCATTCAAACCTTGCTAAATAGCCTAGCCTGCTAGTTGGCAGCTACATCAAGTGCGCTCGTCTCGGGTTCCTGGGACTCGGAGCGGAGCGTAAACACAAGACAAAAGTACACGAAAATCAACAATGCCGGCCTTTGTGTCATTTTCGACGCCCCACGCTTTTGATGGCGGTCTAACCTGAGAGTTAATGCCACTTGCTGTTTCGGCCGAACCCCATTTTTCGCCCGGTTCAGGCCGTTTCCCAGGCTCTGAAGGACTCTCGTCGCCATCTTCCCTGAATGTCGGACTAGCTGCCGTTCCTGCTACAAAACGGCCGTGGTGCCCTTCCGCTTTTCGTCGCTAGAGGGCAGCACAGTACAGTTCAGTCTACTATGACTAAGGCTGCGTCCCAAATGACTCCTATTCGACTTTTAGTGCACTATTTGGGTGTAGAGACCCTATCACGACCTGCGTAGCTCACTGCATAGTGAGTAGGGATCCAAATGCATTTAAGCTCGAGTAATTTAGTAGACTTTAAAAATAAGCAACTATGATAATGAGGGCGTAGGGTAAATATTTTACAATATATTAATTGGCCTTAAATGATGTAACTTCGCTTACATGGGAAAGGCCTAATTTTTCGAGTATACTCAGTTATGCTGAAAATATACTATTTAATTTTAGTATTATCATAGTTCATATAGAAGGTTTTTTTTTCTGAACTGTTATTTAAATATCAACAGCATGCTATTATTTTACCTTGGTCCTCAACAGTTATGCCAAGTGGAAACGTGATAACAGTAAACAAAAAAAAAAAACATATAAGTAAATAAGAATCTAACATTTTCATCTGGCTGGAAAAACCACTGAAACATCACAAACTCAAAAAAAGTCTGCATGTCTATAGTAGCCCTTGGCCCTCACCCCCCCCAACCCCCAGCCCCTCACCCCTTCCCCAACCCCCACAAAGAATTAACATTCCATCCTCCATTTCTTCGAGGATCATGAGGTGCACACTCTACTTTCAACACAAAACAGGAGCTGCTGCTTGCTCTCCCACACGAATGAATAAAGCAGAGCTTCAGTTTTTTTTGGTCTGTAGCCACTAATGGGAATGTTCCAGGAGCTCCGTCTCCTGAGCTTCGGACTCTTAACATGATAGAAGTGCTCATGTTAGATACAAATGCTGGACTGCCTAAACATTCTGAAAGTCCAGTAAAAAACACAGTGCCTGCCAATCACAAAACCATTTATATCATATATAGTTATATCACAGCACCAAAAACACGCTGCAGTATACAACCACTTTGTACCCTTTAAAAAATGTCTTAGACATCTTCAGATCATCTTCCAAAACACCACTCCCCCGCCCCTGCTAACCCACCCCAAAGACAAGTTATGTGCTGTAATAGTGAGCTGTAATAGTGTAATAGTGCTGTAATAGTGAGCACTAAATGTGCCAGGTTCTGCTAAAAGCAGGTACTGGTAGTGCTAATCTAGTAATGATGAAGGTGACTCAGTTTATAGTCACTCTCTCTGTTTGCTGCTTTATATTTTCTTAGTTGAGGGTGTTTAGATCTGATGATGCTGATGACTGGTTCTCTTGTTCCTCGGTTTTCAGGAGCTGAAACCCACAATAGGCTCCAGATGTACAAAAAGGTTCTTAATTATTTAATAATAATAATTATTATTATTATTGTTGTTATAAAATAATTATAACAACAGCAACAATAATTATTCATTATTATGATTGTTATTGTCATTAGTAGTAGTAGTAGTAGAAGTGGTATTCTTATTAGCATTAACGTTAAGAACAACGTTAACAAAAATCATCATCATCATCATCATCATCATCATTTGAGGACAGTTGTGATGTCAATGGCCTCTTATGTGGGTAAAACGTCCAAAGCAGTGTATCAGTATTTCTGATAAAATAGGTTACAGAAGTGCATCAATGTCCGAAACGTTACTTTACTTCCTTGCAAAAACTGACGTTGCTAACTCGCTGAGATTCTCCTGCTGTGCAGATACTGAGCTTTGAGTGGTCGTTTGAAAAGAAAAGTTGAACTTCATGAGCTCCGCCATGAGAGGGAGGAGGCAGAGAGGCTAATCTGCACTGCTATGTGCGACTGCGTGGATGCATTGGTCTTTTTCCGCCCGTTTTCCGAAAAAATCCCGTCTGCTGCGCTGCAATTGGCTACCGAATGGCGACGTGTGCGAGAACATAAATTACTAGCCAATCATAGCACAGAGAGCGGGATCCTAGTAGCCAATCCTGGCACCGGGGGGCGGGACATGTCCGAATACGGGCGCGAAACAAAATCAGAACGCAGTAGCGCTGTGTGGATTTGCAGACTGCCATCATGCGTGTTCACAGCGCCTGCGGGCCAGAGCCCCAGGACAGCGATGGCGGGGAAGAAGCTGACGTTTAATGATTAATATTCCTGACGGATGAACAGAAGTCTTCTGGAAAGAACAGTGAATTAAAGGTCATTTTGGAGCAGCAGGAGCGAGGGTCTTCAGCAGAACCATCTTTTTAACGCGCCTCAGAAGAACAAGTGAGTATCGCGTGGCGTTTGTTGTTCAGTTCAGTGCATGTCGAAACAGGCTAGACTGCTGTCAGATTTATTTTTTCAAGTTTCTATCGAGTCGAAATGTTCTATTATGTGTAATAACAGAATGCAGTTTCTCCAGGGCTGCATTACTACAGGCTATAGCGCAAACCAGCAGAAAGTGACAGGAAACAGCGCAGTACTTACTGAGTGTAAGTTGCACACAGATGGGAACACCCCATAGAAAAATAAATGCTCTTACTGGGCTTCTGGAGTCTAAGTTACCATGTATATGGCTGCCTGCTTTAGAAAGAACTGTACATACAGTGGTCCCAGAAGTATTTAGGCATTGGTGCCATACTTAAAATGTAAGTTACTAAACAAAGTGGTATTTATTTATAACAGACATTCAAACTAAGTGGCATTATTTTAAACATTCCAAGACGTCTGGTGTGTTTCAGACTGTTATTTGAGCAGTTTTTAGCAGACTTATGATTCCATCAGTAAACATAAGCTCACCGACTCCACTGTCAGAAAACAGCTCCAGACTTTGACGTCTCCTCTTCTGTGCTTTACAGTACACTGACTGCAGTCTCAATACAGATAGTCTACCATTAGTTTGATGTTGTGCCAAAAGTGTTTTTCTCTCATTTTGTTACACTTTTAATGAGGTTAAAGAATTTCATTACAGTTTACTAGTGGTTAAAGAGTGTGTGAACACTTTTGGGGGGCACTGCATTGGGGGCAATACGACGATATCTGATATTAATACGATAAATCACATCAGATTATGTCACAATGTGCTTTTCTGTGCATTACTCAAGTTAACATAAAGAATTGAATTCAAGTTTATCAACAGTAAAAGTGTCCAAATACTTTTTGATGCCGCTGTATTATGTGAGCAGTATGACCTTATTTATCGTTACTGTGATAAATACCATCACATTATGTCACATCATGGATATTGTCAGTACTTAAAGTGCACAAAGCAACTACTTATTTCATTATAAAAGCAGCGTAGTTAAGGATTAATTGAGTTTAGGTTGATTTCAGTTTGTAAAACATTGAAAAAAATAGATGTATTTATCATTTTTCACAGTAATTTTCAAATGTGTATGTCAAACATAGTGTGTGTCAAAAAACTGTCTTGAAGCTTTGTGATAGATTTTTGCCATGTCACCCACCCAGTAAAAAACTGAAAAAGGATGTGTGAAAATAAGTTATGTGAATGCAGTTTTATTTACAGAGGTGCCTAGGGTTGCCTAAATCCATCCTCAAGTAAGTGTTGTTGCAGTGAAATATTGACTCAAGTAGCTTGAGCTAGACCAACTGAGTAGGAGGACAAAAAGTTTCAGGCCAAAAAAACAAATCCTTGCTAAGCACAAAAAAGGAACTAAGAACTAAATGTGAAGCACTTCATGGAAACTGTGTGGAAAGTTCCCCTGGTGACAGATACATTTGAGCACAGTAAAGGTATTATCATTTGAAAAGTATAAAGTTATCAAACGTTTATGTAACTAGTTACTACACATCTCTTTTTATATATCGGTGCATCCCTAGTACATAATCCAATTTATGTAGGCTCAGTTTTAAGAGATCTGGGCTGCCCTATATCCATACTGAACTTGAGGTTGTAGATGAGTGCTATATTATTGTAGTACTTTGTAAATGGCAATGGTATAAGAAAGTAATGCATTAGAAATATATGTAGTGTAATTTGTGCTGTGTTTTTCCTTTGTGCCTCAGGAATGACAGTGAACTGTATTTCTGTCTATGCTGAGCAATTTCCATAATGCCAAAACAAATTACTGTACCTGATACAGTCTGGTGAACAAAGAGTTTCTGGTTAGCTGATCTGACTCCTTTTTTGTCTATTGCTGTACTGAATTTGCAGATGATGTCCTTAGCCCGAACATTCATCAGACTGCGAGGGACTCTGCAGTCAGCCTCTCGAGCTGGATGCAAACAAACCTCATGTGGGAGCAAAAGATGGCAACATACTATACCTCAGGCAGCAACCTGTAACTGGCAGCTGTTGGATGACTGTTTTGGTAGGTCCTATTGTTTCACTTTATGCTTAAGTACATAGAATACATAGAGTACTTAAATAGCTTCTTACAGTTGAGAGTTTTCTTACAGCTGTCTTTGACCGCTGGGCACTGAATGCACTCCAGTACCATTTCTCAATGGTGTCCAAGGAGGTAACATTTGTTAAACTATTACAGTTTCACAGTTTAACTGGCCCATCAAATGCTGAAGCGAGTGCTGGAGGTGTGCCAGTCTAAACAGATTGTCCTCGCTGCAGTTTACAACTAGCTAATGAGCGAATGTTCTTGAATACTATGAAAAAACACCCTGTTTTAATCTGCAGAACTCAGTTATGGGGGCCTCGTGATGCACTTTGACTATGTGTGGCTGAGGGACCACTGCCGCTCCGCCTCCTGCTACAACTCCAAAACCAACCAGCGCAACCTGGACACCGCCAGCATCGAACTTGGCATCCGGCCCGCAAAGACCCGAGTGGACGAGGAGAACCTTTTCCTTACATGTAAGTCCCTTCAACAGAGAGCGAATAAAATACAAACCAATTTCCAAAAAGTGTGACACTGTAAATAAAAACAGAATGCAGTGATGTGCAAGTAATTTAAACCCTATGTTAAAAATAATACAAAGACAGCATATCAAATGTTGAAACTGACTAATATTATTATTTTTTGAAAAATATATGTCCACTTTGAATTTGAAGCCAACAACACATTTCAAGAAAGTTGGGCCAGAAAGTTGGGACAACTTTACCAGTTGAGACTGGTAAAATTGTGTAATGCTAAAAAACACCTGGTGGAACATCTCACAGCTAATTAGGTTAATTGGCAACAGGTCAGTATCATGATTGGGCACAAAAAGAGCATCCCAGAGAGGCTGAGTCTTTCAGAAGTAAATATAGGGAGAGGTTCACCACTCTGTGAAAGACTGCGTGGGCAACCAGTGCAACAGTTTAAGAATAACTTTTTTTTTGACCTAAAATAGCAAAGAACTTGGGGATTTCATCATCTATGGTACATAATATAATTAAAAATTTCAGAAAATCTGGAGAAATCTCTGTATGCAAGGGACAAGGCCGAAAACCAACACAGGCTAGCCATGATCTTTGGGCCCACGGATGGCACTGCATTAAAACAGACATGATTCTGTAGTGGAAATCACTGCATGGAACTCAGTGACACTTCTGTTTGTGAGCAAAGTTCGTCGCTGTATCCACAAATACAAGTTAAAACTCTACCATACAAAGACGAAACCACACATAAACAAGGATCCAGAAACACAGCCGCCTTCTCTGGGCCCGAGCTCTTTTAAGATGGACTGAGGCGAAGTGGAAAAGTGTCCTGTGGTTTGACAAATCAAAATTTTAAATTCTTTTTGGTATCATGGACAATGTGTCCTCCAGGCTAAAGATGAGAGGGATCATCTGGCTTGTTATGCACAGTTCAAAAGCCAGCATGATGGTTTGGGGGTGCATTAGTGCACATGGTATGGGTGATTTGCACATCTGTCAAGGCACCATTAATGCTAAACGATATATACATGTTTTTGAGTAACATATGATGCCATCCAGCCGACGTCTTCATCAGGGAAGGCCTTGCTTATTTCAGCAAGACAATGCTAAACCACATTCTGCACATATTACAACAGCATGGCTCTGTAGTAAAAGAGTCTGGGTGCTAAACTGTCCTGCCTGCAGTCCAGACCTGTCACCCATGGAAAACATTTAACACATTATAAAATGAAAAATATGACAAAGGATACCTGTTAAGGAGCTGAAGTCTTATATCAAGCAAGAATAAAATCATTGTTACAGGAGGGGGTGATGTAACACAGTGGTAAACATGCCCTTGTCCCAACTTTTTTTGAAACGTTGGCATTAAATTCAGAACCGTTTCTAGGTACCATCGGTAATCTCAATATCCACAAACATAAAACAATACTACCAGTTAATTATGAGGTTTAGTTTATGCATCAGAAGCATCAAACTGTGCTTTGGCCCTCCAGAACCAGAGCTGATGTGGGCCTGTCATTATTTGATTAAACTAGATTACTGTACTTAAAAATCATTAATTAAAATGTACCTTCTCAATTCTGCAATGATTTGTTGGCAATTTGTATGATGATAATTTTTAATGCTTTTTAAGTAATTGTCAAAAAAATTGAGAGATTACTAACATAGCCAGTAGTGACAGTCCTAAATAAAGGACTCCTGTAGTATATAGAGCAGCAAGTTGTTATTCTGCATAATGTGTACTACAGACAAAGCAGCACAGCTCCAAGCTATGTTCTCTTTGGTATAATAAGCAAAACTTATTTTCATTTTACCCTGCCTCCTTTCCCAGACTTTTTGACACAAGACCAATTATTTGCTATTACAGTTTTGACTAGGAGATAGATCTTGGTCTGAGGCTATATATTTGACTACCATGTAGAGCCTCTGGAACTGCCTGTCTGACATTAAAAGAGAAATTTGACTCTGAGCCAAAGCAAAGATGCGTGTCTCTTTACGAAGCAAAGATAAGGTATTGTAGAAAAGATAGAACTTTGGCTTTTGTTAAAGGCCAGGTAGACTGCTGACAGAGCAGCTGTGCCATTCAATTCTAAGACAGTACAATATCACTGTCGTTAAAGATTGTTGTATAGTAACCATTACCTACCCTAAAAATGATCAGCTATAAAATGCTGGCTTTCTGTTATTTTGTCCAAAGGCTGCTTGTACAGAATAGGTGTCATTGTAGGTCATGCAACGCATTTATACTACCTCAGTGATGAGATCATTTCCTGTTGGTAAGGACAAATTAACCAGACACTGAGATACTCTTTTTTAAGCCTTATCTGTTTATCTGACTCTTGATCAAATGCTGTTAGCGTGTGTTAAATGGCTCCAGTTCAGTATTATCTGTAATGATTGGATAATAATTAGCCCTTACCTGGTGTTTATTCCATAGTTTCAGTGTTTCTGTTTGTGCCTGTCATTAGATGTCTTATTCAGGTCTTGAAGGAAGGGCTAATTCACTTTATATATACATGGTAATTGTTAGGTTGAATCAGATGTTGAAGTGGGGGAAAAAACTGTCCTTGTAGGACTTGGGCTCAGAAACGCTGTACTGTTCTGTCTTTTTGCTGCTCCCAGGGCCTGATGGTCATGTGACACGCTACAGTCTGCCTTGGCTGGTTGAGAGCAGCTACGAGGGTCAGAAACAGAGTGCCGTGCAGCCGCGCATTCTGTGGAACTCTGACATCTACACCAATGCCAAGGTGCCTTCAGCCAGCTGGGAGAAGTTTATGAGCTGCGATGAGGAGCTGAAAAGGTTCCTGAGGAACTTCTTGTTGTATGGCATTGCATTTGTAGAAGATGTCCCAGCCACAATGGATGCCACAGAGACAGTGACCCAAAGAGTTAGCCTTATCAGGTGAGATCATTTTTTGTGTTGTTGGAATAAAGTTGAATGATACTCATGTTACTAACACATAGCAGGATGTGCTGAAAAGAAGATACACGTGGACATACTGTCTCGCTGTCCTTACCGTCACATAACAATATGTCCTAAGACTTACAGTATCGTATACATCTGGGTGACATTTGATTGTGAACATGATTTTGTATGCACCCAGTTTCCTCCTTAGCTTCAGACACTGCTTGTGTTGTAGTACTCAAGTCCGGTCTCGACTCTAAACAGCCGAATGCAGTGTCTCCATCTAAAGTCATTGCTAACTGAACTTTTTTCTATCATTGTTGAATATCAGCAGTACCCTCAGACAAAAGGTTTTGTTTATGGTTGAAGATCTGAATGATCTTTTCTGTCATGACGTATCTGAGTATTATTTCTTTATTGATGTTCCAAATCCCCCAAGGCCAGATGGTATGGGCATATAACCTCACTATCGTTTCCTTCCAAAGTTACAATGCAGAGCTGGGCTAATACTATAATTATCATACTAATGATAATAATAATACTTTAGGCTATATATTATTTAATGTTATATTTTACAAAGTATATAATAAAATATACTATTATTTTAATATTATATGGTCATGTATAATGATCGTCTCTGTCTTTCCACTCCTGGTCCCAGTCTCTTCTATTAACCCTATAAGCAGAAAGAATGAGGAGATGAGGAATGACAACGTCCCATGTTGATCCCTAAAGCCAGGCGTACACTTCACGACTTATAAAATCCACGACTTATAAAAAAAAGTGGGGGTATCTCACACTTAATGTCAGTCTTTTACAGAACTTCATGTCTTTTTCTCATGAGGGTTTGCAGACTATATGGTAAGGCAGATAGTACCACATAGTATCACAGAGAGCATCACACACATAAATAAGTTTCAGCTACGAACAAGCACTCAAAATCTCAAATCTCCCGTTATCACATGACACAAACAAAGCTAAAGCTAGAGTGGACTTGTTTGTGCTTTTATGCACACACATGATGCACAGCGAAAATACAATCTATGAATGAATATGTGGTTGGTAAATGTGGATATAATTCTGTTTGCCGCTGAGAACTTTAGAAGCAACTTACAACAAACTGGCAAGCTATTCTGAAATTGTAAAGTGAGTGCCTTGACGTTCTGGCTAGTATAAAGGCACCAAAGTTATAGAAGCACTTACCACTTCCTCTATCGCAGTACTTACACAACCCTGCACTTTTTTTGTGCAATTGTTAAAATTTGTCAGAGTGGACTATTCAGGGTTCAAATCTGGTTAAAATTACATACGCCCAGCGTAAATGTAATATTAGAGACCTACATTTATAATAAAATGAACCACATATCCTATTTCTGTGAATGTGTTGCAAATACACTATTACACGTCTCAGCATTCAAGGACGTCTTTCTGCTAATTCATTGTCCATTGGAGTAGCTTGGCATTTCTGAATTTCAATGTGTTTATCACAATAATGAATGAAATATGACTGTAAGTTTTACATATTGGTTCATACTTGCAATGAAAGGAAATGCCTTAGATCAGCAGTCTCCCTCAGGAAAGTGTCATGTATATGACCCCTGAACCTTCTTTATCATTGTCTGCCATGTTCTTACACTTAATGAGGGTAGTGAAAGGGTAACAGCTGTTTCTCAGTTTAGTGATTAAACAGTTTAGTGACTCTGTCTTGTTTCTGACACATTGTAAACCGGAATGACCCTGAAAAAACTGTGCTTGTGTGAAAGATTAAACAAGCACTGTTGAGGAAAAAGTAGTGCAGCTATTTAGCTATTTTTTAGCTATTAGCTATTATTATAGCAATTGCAACTACACTTATTCATTTGGGTTGGTTGGGAAATAAGGATCTTTGTTACTGTAACCCTGTATTGTAGGGCTGGCCCGAATAATCTGAATACTCAAGTATCTGTTTTCTATGTTGGTAATCGTTGGTAATTGTAGCTTAAACTACAACATGTTTCATCAGCAAAGGCCTTTAAACAGATGTTATTGTTAATACAGGGAAAATGTTAAAAATAATAGAATAAATTCTAGCTGGTTTAGTTATATAATTATTCTAGCTGTTTAAGTAAATTGCAGCTGGTTTAGTTATATAAAGATTTGTGCAAATTCTAGGTGGTTTAGTCATGTGATAATTGTAGCTGGTTATGTAAACATGTAACTTTCATTTTTACCGTGATATGCTTTTAACAGTTGTCACTGGTTTTCATAGATCAATTTCTCCTTTGTTACTCTGATAGGCCTCTAACAGTGGTCATCGTTTATTATTGGTTAATGTAAATATTTCTGTCCAATGACAAGCTCATTTCTTTTCCTTTTTTTATATCTACTGTTATATAGTAATTATTATCCAGTATATTATCCAGTGTTGACCAGAGGAGGATGGGCTGCTCTTTTGAGTCTTGGTTCCTCACAAGGTTCATTAATAATAATAATTAATCATTTAATAATAATTTTTATTTATATAGCACTTTTCATGCTGGTGACAGCTCAAAGTGCTTTACAGACAGTTGATAAAACATAGTTATATAAGAAATCATTAGTATTTATTTAGAATCGGAAGTCTCTTGTAGGGAATTTTTCGTGCCACTTTCGCCCTTGACTTGCTCATTTGGCTTCTGGCCCAAGATTTTCTGTAAGCTGCTTTGTGACAACACTTATTGTAAAAAAAGGGCTATATAAATAAATCATCAATTGATTTTAATTGAATTAAATTGAATACATACGTGCCAGATATTCACATCAAGTCATCTCAGTGCAGAACAACCTGCACTGCTTTTTACTAAAAGAAACCACTAAAAGAAAGCTCCACTGAAGCTAAAGGTGCAGAGATGTGTGAAGATTTGTGGAGCACTTTAAATTATCTGATGATAAGAAAAATAATCAGCGCAAAAGAGTTTGATGAATCATCTCAAACATGTGAGTGATCCTTATCCGAGTACTGCTTGGTGGGCTACATGCCTGACTTCAGTTCATTGTTACTGCCTATTGAATACATTTGGATGATGATTTCGTTTTTTTTTTTCATTGATTTTGAGAACATGCATTTGAGCACACACACACACGCACACACACTATCTAAGCTGCTTCCTCTTCCTGGGTCACGGGGCGATGCTCCAGCAGTCGTTGGGCAGAAAGCTGGAAACACCCTGGACAGGCCACCTGTCCCTAACAGGCATTTGAGTACTCACTCGGAAATCTGAGTATCTGAGACCTGTAAAATGCTATTCCGGGCATCCCCACTGTATTGTTTTATAAGTGGGTCCTTGATTGCTAGTTGGCCTTCTAAAGCCTCTTAAAGTTTAATCAAAGCCCCAACCAGAAATTTACAAAGCAGCACCAAAACCACCGATGGACTAGCCCTGCTTTAGAGAAAGGATGGTGAATGCAGAGTACATCTTGTGAGTTTTAGAGGGTGTGTTTGTTGTTCTTGAAAATGCTCTGTTACAGTGCCAAAAAAAACTGACCTAACTGGAGTCTTAAAGCTTTGTTTCTCTAAGTATCACGGTCAAAATGTTTAGACTGCATTTTTTCCCAGTAAGCAGCTTCTGTGCATGTATTGGAACTGCTTCCTTGCCAGTGTGCGCTCGGCATTTTGGACGCGCTGCAGGTGGCATATGTCTGAAAGAATGAACTTCAGAGTCGCTAATCCTTTCTCTTTTTAGCTTTAATTTAGAGAATGAATGTGGGAGCACTGTGGGAGCATTGGTTCTGCTCTGAGTCAGCATTTGCAAATAACCTTAATTAATGCCATAAAGGATGAGTTCAATGCTTACAAACCAAATTGCTATTTATTGCATAGGTTGCTTGTTGTCATTTGTCCCAGACAGTCATTTTGATGGCGTCTGCACTGAGCCATTCACGATAATAGTAAGTTTGTTTGCAAAGCCACAGTGGAAATCAGGTAAGTAACACTACACACTGGACCAAAGCTGCTTTGAAAGTGCGCATTAACAGCCTTGTCAGGAGTTATTTCATATGAGCATCATCTCATAATTTGTATTTGTAAAATAGAATCATTGGGGCTCATTCGCTAGTATCTTACTAAGTTTTTTCTTACATTTGTTCTTGAGAAAAATCCTAAGAAAATTCATGACGTTTTCTTAAACTGCAGGATTGTTTGTAGCTTTGTGCTTTTGAGTGTGCATAGATTTTGTTCTTACCTAAAAACAAATCCCAAGTAAGATAACATTGGTGAATGTCAGAATCTTCATAAAAACTGTGTAAGTGGTTTTTAATAAGAAATTTGTTCTAAATAATGTTTGATGAACTAAGCCCTTTCTTCTCATGCTTCATGTATCTTTGTGAGACAGTCTAAGTGGAATGAATGATGGCATTTGACCAATTTAATGCTCTACTGATGTACTATAATTTAATGTAATTCCTAAGAACATTTATGTGGCTTATAGACGGAAAAGAACTACTTCTCCGATATCACTGAAATGTGAAAATGCATTGTGGCTTAACCCTGACAGCTGCCACTTCCAACAGATTTACACAAATTATATAAAGCAAATTTCCAAGTCAAGCTCAATATTTAGCCTTTTGATGTAGTTCCTGAGTGATCTGAGTCCTTCCATTATTTTCAAACATGGTGTGTAACTGAAAAGATTTGAGTCCTCACTGTAAAAAAAACACATTTTTTTAGTGTAAAGATTTTTAAGTTTATTAAACTTTAAATAGTAAGTCAACAGAACTTAAGACACTGATTCTTTTTCTGTTAACTCACTATTAGGAGTTCAGTTCAACTCAGCCCAGTTACTAATTTTTTAAGTCAAAACAGCACTTTGTTTTTTACGGCGCTGGAGCGTGAGAGTCAGTAGCGTAACCAAAGGAGTAATTCAGGCAATAGCCAATGAGAGAGCTAGCACAGAACAAAAAAAAGTAAAGGGATGTGTACATGCACATTGAACATTTGGGTGCCCCCGGTTGAATGACAGTTTGTTGATTAAAACATCCTCTACAGAAAAAAAAAACAACTATGAAAAATTATGGCTTGTGTTAAAGTCATGGCACATTTTATATTTTATGTTTGATTTTTTATAGCATGTTAAACTCAGCAAATGAATAAAAATTGTGCGGGAACATTTGCAGAAAATGCCATTTATATGTTTCTTTCCTTTAGAGCACTGGCCACCAACTCTCCTCCTGGAGAGGTACTTTTCTGCAGAGTTTAGTTCCAGCCTGTATCTAACATGCTGCCCCCCCACCCTCCCTTTACCTAACAATAAAGCATCTGATCCAGCCAGTCAGGGACTTCTGAAGAAGTTAATTTGCTGGAGCAGGTGCAGCAAACTGGTTGGAACTACACACTGCAGGAAGGTAGATCTCCAGGACCACGGTTGGTGACCACAGCTGTAGAGGATGTGTTATTTTTTTAACTAGAAAATCAACAAGGCATATAAGTTGAATGGGGATATTCAAGCTTTTGCATACGACTGTATTAGAATAACCACATCAGCTTGATAGCCTTCAGTAGCATTGGCCCTTATTTATCAAATGCCCCAGAGTAAAAATGCTGATCTGGGGTCAGCTTACAGCTTTAATATAACATTGAATAGAATTCCATGAAATGATGGAACCTGATTTTAGATCAGTGTTGTTCCTTTGAAATGCCTGATAAAGGCCATTGATATGGGCCATTGTCTATAAGAGCACAGACAAAGTGCTTATTCATAGGGAAACTCATTATGCATATGATACTCTCTGCTTCATCTGACCATGCAAAAAAAAGTTTAATGTGTAGTTTTTATAAACAGTTCCTTCAAAAATTAACGTTGGGCTCAAGCAGCTTGAGTCAAGGTGCTACCTTCAAAAACATGAATCACTGAGCTTCTGGTCTTGCTAATGTAGGATGTGTAGGCTGAAACATTATGCCAATTTAAATATGGCCGTTTAATAAAGAGTGTTTATAAGGAGTGAGTTTTGTGCATTTTTGTACAGCTTTATCATTTTTGTATTCAATATGTTTAGCTTTATAATAACAATTCTGAATCGTACTTGAAGAATCTAACTGAATCGTGGTGTAATTGGAGATTTCATGATGTACTGGAGGGAGGTCAGAGATCTACACCTCTAATTGTAACATGAACTCAAATTTCAAATTCTCTGTTCTCAGTCTTGTGTTGCCGTTCTGACCTGAAGTGCTCTTGTGTTTCCAGAGAGACCATGTACGGGCACATGTGGAATTTCACCTCCGATTTCTCCCGCGGAGACACGGCCTACACAAAGTTGGCACTGGACCGCCACACGGACACCTCGTATTTCCAGGAGCCTTGTGGGTGCGTAGCTGACCAGTCCTGATCCCGCTTTTGCTGACCTCTTTGCTCTCTGAGCCTGTCCGGTCCAGTTCAGTTCATGCTTACTTAGTCAGATCTCATAACTTGGCAGAAGTTCAAGAATGCTCTCCCTCTTCAGTCACTGTAAGCTCTGAAGTGAAAAAAGAAAACACTGTCGAATAGTCTTAGATATTAGCTGCGCTGTTGTTTCCATGCTGTACAGATGCACTCAGTGATTTCCTGTTTTGTTAGTCTTTTAGCAGTATGCTTTGCTTATGCCCCAAGGCTGATGCTACACCAGACCAGTCACGTCTCCATTCCAGAGCCATCATTTTGTGGCCTCTCACAGTCCTCAATCGGGTGAATTATGTAGCCTCCCAACACGTCCGTTCCCATACAGTGCTCTTATTTTTACACTTAATTTTTGACTGATGAACATTATGCTTGCAGAGAGCAAGGATTAATGCTGTTGTAAAATGACACAAAAGACAGCTTCTACGGATAATTGTCAGACAGCTGTTTTTCCAAGAACTGATATTAGGGTTTTTTAACCATATGAAATTTTTAGACACAAGTGCAAGTAAATTTGAGCTTTTACATACATAACTGGTGCTCGGTTGAGTGCACTGAAGGCTGCAGAGCAGTCTGCAGATATTTGTTCCAAGTGTACCACAGCACATGACTTCACTAATGAATTAAACTGCCCTGTAAGTAGCTCACTGGTTAAATCGAGAGATGGTGTTCAGGGTCGGAATAAATAAATGCTTACCAAGAACATAAGACAATAGTTATCACCTAAGCATTAGCTTCTCATTTGTAAAGAATTACATGGAGATGCCTACTGTTCTAACAGATTCTAACAGATTCCTGACTATTCTTTGTTAAAACAACCAGAATTTGCTTTTAAATGTTAGCTTTTTTTAAAATCTGCTAGAAGTTCTCCAAGCTTCTTGCTTCATTTCCAGTCAGTCAGCCCTTCTATGTGGGTCCACAGAGTGCTAAGAGGGAAAGAGGCTTTAACTGCTTAACTTTGACTGTATCTTTTTAATTGTATTAACCAGAAAATACTCAGTTACTCAATAACTGTTAAGCTATCATTCCAGTAACAACAATTGCCAGCTGGTAAACAGGCAATGTTTACTTAATGATGACAAAATATGACCAAAACTATTAATAATTATATCTATTAGTACTTTTTTCTGCTTTATTTAAAAAATCTAAGCACAGGCATATGTGGTATCCAAAGTGGTGCCTGTCACAGAAGCACAGAAGGCTAAATGGTGAGACATCAGGATGATAATGCTTATTACCATTAGTACCCAAAAGCAGTTTTAGGTACAAGTACAGCTTGAACTCATTTAATTTGATTTTTGACTTTAAAGTATTCAGATGAAGGGAATGTAGGGAAGGGAGTATTTCACCGATATGAAAACTCTCGCAAATTGCCCTAGTACGGTATGAGTTACTCGTAGGGGTGCAGCACTACATGTGAAGAATATATATATAAAAACGACAACAATGGAGATACGAGGTTTTGTTCCGACACACACACACACGCATATATCTATATCTATATCTATATATATCTATATCATATATATATATATATATATGTGTGTGTGTGTGTGTGTGTGTATCACTGTTTTGTTGTTTTTCGCTTTTTAATAGAATTTGAAAACGCATGCTGTCGTTTACATTGTGTGTACATTTCATGATGAATGGTTGAACGGAACCAAAAGAAACAGCGCAAAATTACTTGGAAAAAGTTTGATTACATTGACTTACATTAAAATTAAAGTATGTTTTTTTCTTCCCCTGTAAAGTCATCATTTTGGACAATGAGGTTTTGTTCGGACAACAGCTACACATATGTATATTGGTTTTTAATGGTATTTTTTAAAAATGTAGCACTCCTGGATCTTTTTTCTCAGATCCAACTGATCAGATGCATGGAGAAATAAATATTGTGATATATCGTGTATCATGAAAAGCATCACAATTATATTTTGCCCTATCACCCAGCTTTACTTTGTCACATGTGGTGATGCATTGTTGACAGATGACGTATTTAGTAGTTAGTACTACTTTCGACAGCTCTGAAGCTGGTCAGATACAAGTGACATACTACTACTTAAGTACTTACCTGCCTTGCCACAGCCCATAAATTGGGTACTGTTGCAGGAAAACACATTTGTTTGGGAATATGTTGACATTATGTCTATAAACAATGTTTATTTTACTGTGCAGAATGGGAATATCAATATGGTGGCCAAGTGGTTTAAGAAGGCTATCATACTGACCTTCATATTACCAAAAATGTGGTATTTTACATAAATTAAACATTCGCTTCACAAAAAGAAGCTCTAATTCTCAACAAAAGCACCGAAGTTTCACTGTGTTTATTGCTGAGCCTCCCTAAGTATTGGCTTACATTAGCTGAATTAGCAAAAAGAGCTGCTGTATTTGTTCCAAAATGACAAAATAAAATAAAATACTGCAAGATGGCCAACGGTTATGTATTTTTATAGTGAGATTTCAGCAAGCCTGGGGTGGGGATTCTTGATTATGGGGTTGACCATATGGGTTGGGGGTTGGGGGGGTCCACAACATTTAGATTTCTTAGGCAATTTGAAATTACTGTATACACAGCCGCTTCAATTCCATCTAAAAAAAGAAAGTTGTTAAAATGTTGCTCAAATCACATCAGCAATACATATACCAATTCAGTATAAAACCAATATGTGTAATGTGTTTTAACATACAAAATATCATTTAGTACTTAATACAAATAAAATTAGATTTTTGCCTAACTTACCCATAAAATAATATTCTGTCCCAATAAGTGAACAGTGACAAACAATGGCAGAAGGAGGGCAGAATACAGTCCAGTTACAGAGAATACAGCTGGAAGACCAGTTAAAAGGAGTTAAGGTAAACAGAGGTTTTCTATAGCAGTGTTTGAACAAAATACGAGGCTTAGCGAACGCTGAAAGCCCTGATGTTATTTGTACTCAACAAGTTAGAATTACTTATTTTTTGCAATTAGTTGTTATCACTCAATCCAGGCAAGGTGGTTGTACTGTCTGATTGAAAATTCAAGTGTACTTATTTTTGTGAGAAGAACAAATTCATAAGCAATGAGAGGGTATGGGGCGGAGTCACCCAGAATTCCTAGCGAGTTAGTTGATTTGTTTATTGGCTCTTATTTTTCCTTCAGAGGTTGCTTTCAAACAAACAACACATTCACACGTTAGAAATAGTCTAAATATTTAAAAAAAATATATTTTCAAAAAGTTGCTTAACAGTCAGTTTGGTTGTAACAAAACAATTTAAGGCATAAACTGTGTTGCTGTGTGTTGTCATGAACAGTGCTCTTGTTACTGATCATGCTTATTTTACTGCCCAAGTCATGTTATTTACATTTTCATTTTCCTTCAGTTTCGTCCATTTGATCTGTGTCTAGTGAAGATTTTTGGACACCAAAGTTAGATTATTTGGCTAATCACCTACATTTGGGGAAAGGGAAGAATTAAGTGAATTAGATTTTTTACCCAACTATCACTTTAAATTTACACTGTATTAAGATGTATTGCTGGTAAGTTTTCCATCTTGGGCTTCTGTTGGTTGATAACTGGAGAGTGCTGCATGGTTACGAGTCCCTCACTGGGCTCCATCAGTTAGACCTCCATCAGTTAGACCTCCATCAGTTAGACCTCCATCAGTCAGACCTTTTTTCAAACAATTCCAAAATAATGCACTGTATCCTTAAAAGGGCATAGCTTGTTTTATTTCCATTTCTATCTGTTACCCATGATCTCTTTTTTTTGCCTTGGCTGTACGTCAGGATCCAGGTGTTCCACTGTCTGAGGCACGAGGGCACAGGTGGCAGGACTCTGCTGGTGGATGGCTTCTATGCTGCTGACAAAGTGCTCCAACAATCAGCAGAAAACTTTGAGCTTCTGTCACGCGTGCCCATCAAACACGAGTACATTGAGAACCATAGCAACCACCGCAACCACATGATCGGCATCGGCCCTTTGCTCAACGTCTACCCCTGGAACAATGAGGTCTTCATGATCAGGTAAACTGAGCTTTCACTTTTTGTAGCAATATTTAAATTATAACAACCTGTTTCATATCTCCTGCATATGCATTGATCATGCATTGTTAAACTGTTAACTTTAGCAGGGAGGTAAAGCTTATATTTTCTGTAATTTACATCGACACATAGGAAAGCTAAAGCTGTTATGTGTTTTGACTCAGATGCACAATAGTTTTAGTATAATGACATTGTCCTCAATGTTGTTTAGGTATAACAACTATGACCGTGCAGCGATAAACACCGTTCCTCATGATGTGGTGCATCGCTGGTATGTGGCCCATAGGCAGCTCAGTGCCGAGCTTAGGAAGCCTGAGAATGAACTGTGGGTCAAGCTCAAACCTGGCAAGGTAAGTTTTAATGTGAATTCATACAGTTTAGCACTAGGAACTAGGAGTCATGTTTTTACCTGCACTGAAACTTACCGAGTTAGAATTGTTTACAGTGGTGGTGATAGGATCCAAACATCCAAAGCCTTTAATGCTTCTAAAATCTCCCACTTAAAGTTATTACAAAAAAATATACGACCTGATATCCGATTTTACCAATTTACCATAGAAGTGCTGATATTGGCGTATCTTATAACCTTAAGTTTTGTGCTTTTTAAGAGTCATTTTTTGAGAAGTCATATCTCAGACCTCAAATAAGCTCCTATTTCTATTTGATTGCTCTTGCTGAAATAAATTAGAATGTGTAAGGGATAGAACAAGGAAAAAAAACAGATAAAAATAGCTCTTAAATATCAAATCCAAAACAATCCAAGTATGATTTGTAATTAATGTTAATGTTGAATCAAAAGCAGCTTAGCCCTGGTAAAACCAATGAGAACAGGAAGTTGTTGTAGGTATCAATGAGCAGAAGCCACTAACTGAGAGAATGTAATGGGTAATTCCTGCCCTGTGATAGACTGGCGACCTGTCCAGGGTGTTTCCTGCCTTCTGCCCAATGACTGCTGGGATAGGCCCCAGCTCCCCCCGTAATCCAGAAGGATAAGCAGCTTAGAAAGTGTGTGTGTGTGTGTGTGTCTGTGTGTAAAGGGTAATCCCACTGATTTTTCCAAATCTATTTCAGCATAAATAAATGTAAAAAAAAAAGATACAAAAAAAAGCATTTAGAGTGGTTTTTGATGTGAAATGCTTAGTTCTACAGAAACAGAGTTAGAACTGTTCACAGTGGTGGTGAAAAGAACCAGAAAACCAAAGACTTCAGTGCTTCTAAATGCCCCCCCCACACCAAGTTATTACATGAAATGGTTAGAAATACACAGAAATACACTGCCAGGGTGTGTTAAAATAGGAAACATATTTTTTCCCAGATGTACCTATTTCTCAAATCTCAAAAGACTCGTGTAGTTTCACTGGACATTGTGACTCCTGGTTCCTTTATTGTTGTAAAGAAACCCAAGTCAGTGAGTCTCTCCAATGAGCCATTTCACATCAAATCACTCTGAATTACTTTGTTTACATCTCAACCACTGAATTAGGCAGAGGTTTTGAAAAAACAGTGGAATTCCCCTTTAAGCTTCCTTTACTTGTTAGCTACATTGGCCTTGTAGCTCCAGGCTAAAAAAAAGTAAACTTTGATTCTTTAACTAATTATGTTTGGGGAAAAGAGAAAATTGTATAAATTAGTTTTTTTGCCCAACAATTTCTTAATTTCTTACTGTATTAAGATGAAGATGTGCTAAATACCACTGTTCTCTTCTATGTTTTAAGGTACTGTTTATTGATAACTGGAGAGTGCTGCATGGTAGAGAGTCCTTCACTGGGCTCCGTCAGCTCTGCGGCTGTTATCTGACCAGAGACGACATGCTCAACACAGCCCGTTCCCTCGGCCTTCAGGCTTGAACAACAAACAGGATTTCAGGAGGCATCAAATAAGCTCCTATTTCTATTTGATTGCTCTAGCTGAAATAAATTAGAATATGTAAGGGATAAAATAAGGAGAAAAAACAGATAAAAATGGTTCTTAAATATCAAATCCAAGTATGATTTGTAATTATGATTAATGTTGGATCAAAAGCAACTTATCCCTGGTAAAACCAATGTGAACAGGAAGCAGTTGTTGGTGTCAGTGAGCAGAATTCACTTCCTTGGCTCATGAAACACACTTTGTTCTTAATTTTACACCAAAACTGGCAGCAGGTCTGTTTGAAATTACATCAATATGAGAGTGGTCACTCCACCGCCTTTGACCTGCCTGTGTGACCTCGGCTCATGTTACTTACCCTCACTGGCGAGGGTCATCTGTTTTCAGTAGCCCTAAGCTAAACGCTCACTTACATCTTGATAACGCATAGTCCTGTTTCCCTATAGGAGGTTTCGGTTGCTTAGAACAGGATTTCATGAAGAGTCGTGGCTGTTCAGAAGGTAAATCGTGGCCGAGATTTTAGCAGTTAACGCCATGTAGTTACATACTGTTCATCATATTTAGTTTGCATCTAAAACTGTCGTAGATATAATCTTAGACATGCTTAAAAGCATTACATTTTACATTTTGAAGCTGTGCGCAGGTCACAGAAATTAAGGTTTTAGTTTTTACATGTCAAACTGAAGAGGTTCATATTTTAGGACACTTAAAAGTGCTGGTTTACAAAACTTTCAGTGATGGAAATACTAGTACAAAGCTATACTTGAAAGAGAAACTGCTTCAGCAGACGCATAAGGCAAATCCTGACAAACTGGCAAATCCTGGCACAGCTCTTTGAAATACATGGACAAATGAAATGCGCTGCATAGTTTGAACAGAAAGGACATGATAATTAATGGTCAAACAAGGATTAAGCAGTAGTTTGCAGTTCATCTCAAAGTATAAAAGAACCATTACAGAAAAGTAGTAATTTGACTGTACCTAGATTTTGGCCACACTAATAAATGGAAGGAATTTATTGCATTTTTGCCATTTGCTACTTAAGGGAGAATAAATGGTGATTTGTGCCGCACTATGATCAAGCACTTGCTCATGCTTATGACTAAAGCACAGTAGACACAGTTATACAAAATCTATTAACATTTTCAACCTGAAATTGATATTTTTTTGGACCTTGTTAGTTTATGTACCTGTTTATATTAAGCATGATTCATAATATCATATCATATATTATTTAAAAGATAATCTTTGCAATCTTCCATCAAAATGAAGACTGCCTCTTAAACGTCTTCTGAGTTTTGATTATGTCACCGTGCGCCATCAACAGCTAATATCACGTTTCACCTCCTACCCCCCCCCCAAAGGGCCCACAATAAACAGGGTAAATACAGGTAACTGTGACATGCACAGCAAAGTGTTTTTGTGCCTTATTGGCAATGTCGGGATGTGTTCTACACACAACAGCTCAAACCAAAACCAAATCACAGTATATTGGCGATTAGTTTTTGGTAAAGATTGCAGCCTGTTTTTAGAATGCTACAGGCACTCCGTTATACTTTTTATATTATAATGTTATGATTCATCTCAGTGATATGATTGTGCGCACAACAAATGCCTAATTATTACCCCTTACAAATAAATATTGTTTTGCAGTTTGGATGTATCAGTGTATCAGTGGTTGTGCTGTCACTATATCTTGTGTGAGTGTGCAAATGTTTCCTCTGCTGATTGTGTTTATGATTTATTTGCCAATAAAGTCATTGGGGACAAACTAACCTGATTACCTGAATGTTCAGTTAAAGTATGCACTACAATATTTATGCTTTCCCTATTTTTCACTTAAAAGTCTTTTAAGAAACTGCAGAGTCATCGCTACCGCTTTCAGTTTAGTTTCTTTTGACAAATTCATGGTATGTCATCAAGGTAATATACCCCACATCACTCCCAGTCACATACTCTGCAGCAGGCATGTCAGGATCTTCTGCTGTGGAGATTAGTGTTTACCTTCGTCTAGCACTCTGAATTCAGTTCATGAAGGCCTTGCTAATTAGCTGATGGGCTGAATCAGGTGTGGTTAATGAGGCAGTGTGCTGAAGTATGCTGTAGGTTGGCCCGAGGACTGGAGCTTGACACGTGCTCTACAGCCTTAAAACCACATTCTCATGATTTTTAATGCTTTGTATGTCAATATGTCACACAAACAAATAATAAATTCATTATCAGGTACTATAAACTCTTTAGCAGTATACTTCAATAATGATAGCTCGTGATGATAATTGTGAAAAAGTAAGAACTATTAATATGTTTTGGCAAAAGTCAACAAATGATCATAGTGCTGTGCTGAGAACAGGTTTATTTAGAAATACTGGCTGGACAGGTTAGCGCCACACATGGCATTACTGAATATAACTAAACTAAATGTAAAATTGCCCTGCGATGGACTGGTGACCTGTCCAGGGTGTATCCTGCCTTCCACCCAATGACTGCTGGGTTGAATCAGTTTAAAACGGCGCCTCATGTACGTTCATGATGTGAAGGCGAACAGCCAATGAGCTGCTCTGCTTGCCGACCAATCAGCACTAAAGCAGCAGTAACGTTAGCGTCCTGCTGCTCCAAACTCGTTTGCTGTAGAAAAAGGAAACTTACAAGTGAAATAAATCATTACTTTATAAAACTAAAAGGAACGTTCTGTGCAAGTGATTAGAAACTATTTTAACTTTTTGTTTTTAGTCTTTCAGCTCCATTCACCCCATTCATTGAGGACTCACTCGCGGGCGCCCTCTGGCGTTCTGCAGCCATGTTTTTGATATAACGGGGTAAATAGGAAGAGGCCAGGGTCCCCGTTAACCAGCTCTGGTTATGTTTACATTAGGAACTCTGGGTCTAAGCTCTATCCTACCCTATGATAAATACAAATGTTCAGAACGTTATACGTTTTGTCCGTGTGTACATTTTTTCTTCCAAATATAACTGGATCCTCTGAATTATGAGGTTGTTAAAGAGTCTTAATAATAAAATTGCTACATACAGGCTACTGCACATCAGTCTGATGTCACTAAGCTTCACGAAGGTAAGGTGGGCTATGGTGTTCTAGCAAGTTGTGCTATCTTACTGAAATGCTCTACCATAGCACATTTTTACAGGTATGCCCGTAAATAAAAGCTCTACATAGGACATTTCGATAGCCCAAAACTTCCTATTAAAAATACTGCCTGTGTTAAAACTACAATGATGAATTTAGCTTTTTTTTTCGCCAGCTTCTTGTTCGAGTTTTCCCGTTCCATCTTAAATGGTGCGGCAGTTGTGATTAGCTATCACAAGCATTAGCAAACGGGACAAAACAATACTGACCTGTTGGTTCTGTGAAACAGCAAAAATAAGTTGATGTTACTCAGCTGTCTAGCAGAAACAGAGCAACCTGCTCATATCATGCCTTTCAACTCTCCATGAAGCTGAAATCAGCTTATTTTCGCCAGCTGCATGTTCGCATTTTCCGCTCCAGTAACTGCTGCACCGTTTAAGGCGGAACCAGAAAATTCGAAAAAGAAGCTGGAGAATGTCATCAGAAAATGATACCAGCATTAAAATAATAATTAGTACATTTTAATATCCTAAATCAGCGTGTCAAGGGGTCAGCAGTAATATTAACCTGAGTCTGTACTGAATTAGCCTGAGTGCAGGTAACCTAACGCTAAGTTTGTAGAGCTTTTCAGATCCAGCACTGACTAGAACGGAAATATCCGTTGTGTTTCAGTGAGTATCAGACAAAGAACCGAGAACTGCATGGAAATCTTTGTCTTTTGTTTTGACTTCTGAATTTGATTTTTGCCCATAATATTTTATCCCTCGCGTTTTATTTCCTCACTCCTCGGAAAGAAGTACATTACCCATACGTCCTAAAGAGAGCTGCGCCAATCAGAGACGTCGCTGTAACCATGGAGATCCAAACGGTGTGGTTTGGCGACAGAAGCACAAAGCACAGCAGCGTCTGTCAGCGAGCAGCAGCAGTTTCACTGTGAGATGATTGTGTTTATTTTGAGACACAGAGGCGAAGAGAGCTCGGAGGGCTGAGGATCAGAGTCCGGCCGTTTAGAGGAGAGTAGTTTGTGTGTGGGCAGCTGGTCGATTCTATCAGAGCTAGTATGAAATACGGCGCATATAGGACTATAGAGGGTTTTGCTGACAAATATATGTACATGGAACTATATGTAATGATTACATGATGAAAAACAGTCAAATCCACAAAATTCACCAAAGAGAAAAGACATGATTGCAAACGTTGGCGGAAAAATGAGTCAAAGTGATTGGTTGAAACCATTCGCCGTGCTTTGTGGGATATGCAGTTCATTCGGACATTAAGCACGTTAAGTATACAGTCTTGTAACTTACCTTTGCCTTTCTGTTCTTTTTGCAAAGCGTTTTTTGTTCCGATTTAACTTTAATGACGTTAGCTGATTGGTTTTTAGCCGAGTGCTTAAAATGGAGAAAATGAGTGGGATTTTTACATTCACTCATTCACGCGCTGCATGGCGCCCCCGTGTGCCTAAACGTAAAAAACACCACATTATTTTCCTTTCCATCGCGAGATTATAAAGTCACGCGATACCTGAGACTCGGCGTGGGACTTCACTCACACGCGTGCTGCTCGTAGGCGCGCAACGGGAAGATGGCGGACGCAGAAAGTGGGTGCCGTTTTTAACTCTGTGTTTTAGAGCATTATTACGGCTTTACTGAATGATTTAAAACGAGCTTCTCTGGGTATTTCTGCAGTGTTAAGACTTAGCTAATGTCTAGCGTTTTGCAGGTACCGTTAGTGGTGAATAGCTGTGTTTCTGCATGCTGGGGTGAAGCAGCAGCGTGGCACGATGAGGCGAGAGCGACTGTAGGATCAAGAGTCTTTTTAGTAGACTCGTACATTAGCAAGATTAGTGTTTTAAACTGTTTAAAGTTTTCTCTAATAACACAAAGGTAATATCTCAGTACGATGGTTTGCTGGCACGTTGAAACGCGTGCCTTAGTTTAACGGTTGAACTTCATTTGCCCGTTAGCTTAGCTGTCTAAGCTTTATGATTTAACTGGATTTTTCGAAAGCAGTTCTTTTGAGAAGCCATTATCATTAGTCTCATATTTACTCTACCTACATGTCCGTTTACTTTGGGTTTACACCTTGATTACCGGAGCTTTTGCATTAAATGTGTCTTATTTGGTTTATCAGGCAGCGCTGAGTCACTGGAGGTTCAAATCGTACTAATACTGATTATGTTTTTTTTATTCTGTCAAAATTAAAAGAAAACTGCTAAGTTATGATAATGATTATTGCAGGCGGACGATCAGAGTTGTTAATTTGTGGAAATAGTTCAGTTTTGTGCACCACGTGTTGCCGGTGTTCGCCACGTGGTCGCGCCTTCACTCGTGCACTTAAACTAACTTAAGCTAGCTAGCTAAGGTTAGCTATGTGGATACGTGCAATGGCCCACAATCATTAAGCATCACAGAGTAAGAGTACAGATCTAAGGTCAGGTCTCAAGTTTTGGAATTTATTCAGTGTTATATAAAAAGCATAAGCTGATCCTAGGTCAACTACTGTTGTAAAGAGTTTGATAAATATGTTAATTATTTGGAAACCCAACGTCACATTTCTTCAATATAGAAGCTCAGTGAAGGAAACTACAGACGTTCAGGTTTCTTTGTGGTCTGTTTTTATGTCCAGAGTCATCTGAAATGGCTAACGTGACATACACGATATGTGCGCAGCCTTTTAGCTCTTTTGGCTGAATCTTAGGTTCACTGTTGGGCACAAGTATTTATTATTTGATCTTGGTAAAGGACATTAGAAGTCCGGGCAGTAAAGAGGCTATTTCAGATTTATTTTGATTTGCTCTGGATGTAACTATAGCATTAATTTGTCTTTGGGTTAATCCTATGATTCCTTTTCTTCAGTTACTCCTGCTAAGAAAGAGAAGAAGAAGAAGGCGAAGAAAATTTCAGATGATGAAATTGGGGTAATTACTGGCTTTGAGTTTGTTTTCTATTATTGAAGTGATGACAGTCTACTACCTGGCTGCATTGTTTATTTAGGTCATTTCTGTTTGGTTTCCTTTAAGCAGTCACGCTTAATTCTTTACACTTTTATATTTTGATTTCTGTCGACAAACTGTCATTTTGTCATCAGGAAATCCAAGAAACTGGAGATTTCCTCATCAAACCCGAGTCCAAGGTTGCCAAGCTTGACACATCACAATGGCCTTTGCTACTCAAGGTAAGCTTTCCGCTCAGACCCTTCCACCTCTTTCCAGGGCCGGCCCAGAATGTGACATGATGAACGTGTTTATCCATTCTCTGAGTGCTGCCGGCTCAGTCCCTCCGCGGCCTCTGCGGTCCGTTCTGGGCTGCGTGGTTACGGCTGCCTGTCTGTCCTCTGCTAGACCAGTGTTCTACTGGGCTAGCAGGTGGGATGGTCAGGACAGCCGGTGCGGAGGGATCAGACCAGCGCCAACAAAGACGAGCGGACGCTTCTGATCACATGCCACTTTTATAAAACTTTCAGAGAACTTTTCAATTCCTTAAACTTGACACTTCAGTTTCTCATTTTCATACGTTTATACTTTGTGTATAGTTACAGGTTAGGCTTAAAAATGGAGTGATGCAATCTAGAGTTGCAGGAGTTGATTATTAGTGAAAAATATAGAAGAAGAATTCTTATGTGATTAATTTTAATCTGAAATGATTTGTTGTGCCTTCTAGAACTTTGACAAGTTGAACATAAGGACGGCGCATTACACACCTCTGCCTCATGGCTCAAATCCACTGAAGAGAAACATTCATGACTACGTCCGGTAAGAAGTGTCGATAGCAGACAGCACGTTTGAAGAAGCCACATGATGAGGAATATATAGATTGCATTAGCACTCTGTGCAAAGATGACCAGCTATCTATCACCCTATACTGATGGCTTTAATAAACTCTATGCATTGCTAGACTTGAGTTTTTGACTTTCTCCAGCTAATTTTGATGTAAGCTCTTGTTACAAGTGTTATTTTCTTTTAGATCTGGCTTTGTTAATCTGGACAAACCAGCTAACCCTTCCTCTCATGAAGTGGTGGCCTGGATCAAGCGGATCCTGCGCGTGGAGAAGACTGGCCACAGCGGCACCCTGGACCCAAAAGTCACAGGGTGTCTGATCGTGTGTATCGACCGAGCAACGCGACTTGTCAAATCCCAACAGAGCGCTGGTAAGTCACTCTCAGCCACTGATTGCTGATCAGCTTATTTTGAGTTCCTTTTCACTAAACTCATCCTGGATCAGCTTAGCGCTTGTTTTTTGTTGTGAGCCTGACCTCACTCAGTGAAACCAGTGGCCTCTCCTCACTACTCTTGTGCCGTGTGTTTCAGGCAAAGAGTATGTGGGAATAGTACGGCTGCACAATGCAATAGAAAATGAGCATCAGCTTGCAAGGGTAAGTGAGAGCATATCATATCAAGTATGTAGTAGATTGTATGTATTATTAGGGTCTGACCCGTTTGAAATGTGTTACTTTGGTGTTGGGGATTCAGATGACGGTTTTCTTTTAAATGCTCATTTTAAGTGAAATGTTTCATTTAAACATAGTTCATACTGAAGTGTGTGTGTGTGTGTGTGTGTGTGTGTGTTTCTCATTCAAAAAGCACTCAGAGCTGAAACACTCCTTATAATCTTTGTGAATAGGCATGATTAAAGTGCTGTAAGCTGAATAGGTGGGGATACATAAAGTAGTTGGTTCTCATGACTTGAAATGGTGAATTCAGATCACTGTTTTTACATCTTTAGATTCCATAGAGACTGTGGACTAGAACATTTTGAAACTTTAACAATATTTTACATATTATTTCAAGGTCCTTTGTTTCAAATAAACATGAATTTTTTCTTTCCAGCCCTTTAACACCATTCAAAGAGTAACAGTAGTTTTTAAATTGTGCTAAAAAGTAAAGTGGAGAGTTTTTGTGCAACAGTGACAATTTATTGGCAAACGTTCACACAAGCTGACACATTTAAAATCATTGAGCCATCACAAGCACAGTGCATTACTGATATATTGACTGGACTTTGTCATGTGCAGTGTAATGTATGCAGTATGTGAAATGATGAATCTGTTTATCCATTCTCTGAGTGTTTTCAGGCCCTCCTTTCTCTCGCCAGCGCTCACGCCTGTTCTAGGTGTGAGTGCTGGCTCTGCCGGCTTCCTCATCTCTGCTTCAGTGTTCTACTGTTGCAGCTGATGCTGGAAAGCCATGCAGGTTTGGAGGGTCAGGATTCACCAAAGAAGAACCAATGGGACTGATCACATACATGCAAACCGTAGGATTGTGAATGACTGCAGGAATTCTGGGAAATGTAGTTTGATTCTGTGTGGTTTTGGATATCCTCTAGGCTCTGGAATGTCTCACCGGAGCCCTGTTTCAGAGGCCTCCTCTCATAGCTGCTGTGAAGCGGCAGCTGCGAGTGAGGACCATCTATGAAAGCAAGCTGATTGAGTATGATCCAGAGAGAAGACTTGGTATGAACTTTCATTTTAATTTGTTTAAAAAAAAAAATGTTTTTCTCACACGCCATATGATGTGAAACAGATTGCATTAGCATTTTTGTGCAAAGATGACTCACTATCTATCACCCGAGACTGATGGCTTCAGTGTGCATAAGCAGGCTTTTACTCATTGTCAAAATGCAGCCACTGAGCATCCTTTTTCTTGCTGTGGTCTGTAATGCAGGTATCTTCTGGGTGAGCTGTGAGGCAGGTACATATATCAGAACACTGTGTGTTCACCTGGGGCTGCTGTTGGGAGTAGGTGGCCAGATGCAGGAGCTCAGGAGGGTCCGCTCTGGAGTGCTGGGTGAGAAGGTATGTTATCAACTTCAAGCGATCCAGTCACATCCAAAAGTCACTGTCAAACAGTTCTTTGTTTCTGCTTTGGCCAACATTAAGGTAGGTCTGTAGGCTTAAGTTTATAGGTGACTGCGGTAGTGCTGCACAAAAAAATTTGGCAGTGCACAGAGGAATACATTTGAAAGCGTGTTTTCTTATTCAAAAATAGCCAAGGGAAATCACCGAGTTTCCCTTTGTTCATTGAGTAACTGTGGCTGTTGGATACTGTTGCAGGATACCTTTTACAGGGCCTCTTTACTCCTCAGTGGAGTTTTAGAGAAATATTTTCTAGAAACATCAGTATGATTGTTAGCTTAATTGGTGCTAAAACTGCAATATTTCTTTACTTGCATTCACTGCTTTAACACACATTGCGCTCACGTCAAGGCACTTGTTCCTGTGATAAAGTATCCAATGCCTCAATAGTATTTTTAGTATTAAAATACTGGCACCTTGAATGGTTAAGAGTACTTGAGCACCTGAGCATGTTCCTGTCAGACTAAGACTGGTGAGAAGATAACTGCTACTATACTGTTTAGCTATAATTTTCGTCTGTTCTGCGTGTACGGTGTGATTTGTCCTTTTGTTGTGATTTCTGACCAAAGTGTTGAGTTCAGCTCTGGGCTTACTCCCCAGTCCTGGTAATTAATCTTTGGTACAGAATGTGGCCAAGTGTGAACATGTCAGAAGTAGTGATCATCTTGCTGCTTCAGCAGATCTTGGCCAACATTCCATTCTGCCATCAGTCTTAGCCTCTAGATGTGATAGGCCTTTTTTTTTGCTCTAACTGTATAAATGAATTTCTCTCAGGACTGCATGGTGACTATGCACGACTTGTTAGATGCCCAATGGCAGTTTGACCACAACAAGGATGAGAGCTACTTGAGGAGGGTCATCTATCCTTTGGAGAAGCTGCTCGTCTCCCACAAGAGGATTGTTATGAAGGACAGTGCAGTAAGTATCTGGGCCTTTCCTGCCTTTTGTGTATGATGGAGTCACATGATGTTTGGTAAATAGAGGAAAATGGAATTGGGTGCACACAACTTCAGTTCATTATGTGTTTGACATGTACTGTCCACCTTTGCATATGAAGTGGTTGATGCACACTTATCCTCCTTTAGGTGAACGCTATCTGTTATGGTGCTAAGATCATGTTGCCCGGTGTTTTGCGGTATGAAGATGGCATCGAATTGAACCAAGACATTGTCGTCATTACAACTAAAGGAGAGGCTATTTGCACAGGTAAATGCCAGATCACTACCACCCCTAGCCTCATGCTTTCTCATCAAAGCCACATGATGTTTTATAGATTACATTAGCACTCTGTGCAAAGATGACGTTCTACCTATCACCCGAGACTGATGGCTGTAATTATTTCCAACTTCCTGCAAATGGAAATTTTGAGTAGTTTTAAAGTCCCATTTGCATTGCAGCTGTAGCCCTGATGACAACAGCGGTCATCTCTACATGTGACCACGGTGTGGTAGCCAAGATCAAGAGGGTCATCATGGAAAGAGACACATACCCACGCAAGTGGGGTTTAGGGCCCAAGGTAAGGCATATCAAGATTTGCACATATGCTTCTTGGTAACTTCATTATTAATCTCTTGTTGGCTGTTTTTGTAAATATGTTGGTGCTTAAATGTTATGATCATCTTTTACTTATGTATTTCAGGCCAGTCAAAAGAAAATGATGATCCAGAAAGGACTGCTTGACAAACATGGCAAGCCAAATGGCAGCACCCCAGCAGAGTGGAAGGAGAGCTATGTAGACTACAGGTACACTTCACTTGCTGAGTTATTAATGGAGACCTGTTATTTATTTTGTCTTTAGTAAGACCTTGCAGATATTTTATGGCATGAGGTAGTATATCCTCAGAGCTGTTCTGTTCATGCTAATTTCCACTCATGGAGTATAGTCCTGCAGACTGTTATCCCTTTTTAGCCTGCTGTGACTCTAGAGGGAGTCTGTCTGCTAAATTATTTCTAAGAATTCAGGTCAGCTGTCTGTAGTGTGCATGGCAGGCCCTTGAGTTCTTTGGACATTTCTGTCTGAAGCATATTCATAAAATAGTCTATTTTGTATATACCAATGTGAGTTTCTGATCTTCAAGGCATAGTATAATGCTCAGTGTCATACTAAGTGGAACCAGTTAATAAGATGGCTTTCTTTTTTCAGCAGCAAATCCAAGACTGAAGCAGCAGCTCAAGATGTTGAAGCCACTCAGGCAGGAGCAAAGGTAAACGGTCAGCTCTCTAAATTCTTCTGCATTACATTGCATGTGGCAAAATGCTGGTTCAGCCTTCTGATTCTTTACTAATCACTCTCCTGCAGAGGAAACGGGATGAGAGTGGAAGCGAGGGTGAAGCTGTGCCCACGACCCCCAAGACAGATGACGAAATCAAGAAAGAAAAAAAGAAAAAGAAGAAAGAGAAGAAAATGAAGCTAGCACAGGAAGCAGCAGCTGAAGCTATGGAGGAAGCACCAGCTGCTGCGGAAGCTGAGGTGAGGAGATATGCCTAAAGAAAAATGACCCTTTAGCACACTGAAGTGCTGTGTTTAGAAAGCATATTGCAATGGGAGTGCTGGTTCTAAGATTAGATCTGTAAATGGCACAGCGAACTTGACGTACAAACAAGTCCCTGTGCCGTCACTTAGAATGATCATACATTTTGTAGCTTTTCTCAAATGATTCTACCTTGTCTGCAGGTCACAGAGAGTGCTAAGAAGAAGAAAAAGAAAAAGAAGGCGAAAGAAGCGGAGGCTGATTCAGACTGAACACACAAACTCATCCAACAGACTTTTCAGAACCCTCGACGAAAGTGAGGGAGAGGACTTGGAGACTCTAACTGCGCCGTGAAGAGACCTCATGAGATCCGCCCAAATGGGACCGTACTCCTTTTACCCTCCTTCACATAATCATCTTTGTATGTCAGTGTGGCTGTCAATCATTTGATGGTTGAACTATTTTTAAGGACAGGTTTGATGCATATGAACTGAATCTCAGTATTCCACATGTATCCTGACACACATTTTGATTGGAGTTATTTACGACTTCTGTTTCCATCAGAAAGCTTTGGAAGAAGGAAACAGCTGCAGACATATCTAAAAATGTAGTAATTTGACATGTTATAACCAAGCCTCCAAAAAAGTGATCCAGCCCCAACACAATGTGAATTAATGTGCTTACATAATTGCCAAGCTTTAGGACAGATCTAACGCTTGGAAATTCAGTATTTGAGGTTCACAGATATAAGAAATTAACGGTTGGATGGCTATCCTATTCCCCCTTTCCCACCCCACCCTTTTCCTTTTCTTTTCTACACAAACCCTTATTTTTGGGGTATTTGCGTGTGTGTGGGGAAAAAATGTAATGCTATTTTATTTTGTATTGTGTATATAACAGAGGATCAAATTGTAATCCTAAAGCAATGATGAGCAAACAAGATTTCTTTTTTTCTACTCGTGTTTGTCTGTTGTTCCAAGATATTCTAATAGTTCATTGTACAGGTGATATAATCGAGGAAGAAGTCAGGTTTGCCAGTGTCAGATGTTTTATTTAATTCATTTCAAAAGTGCCATACCTGATGAGCTACATCATGATAAAGTACTGACAAGTCACCTTAAGTCTGGACAACAGCTTCCCTGTTCAATACAGTACATGTAAACGTTACATTGGGAGTTCCATGGCACTTCCTATTAGAATAATACAAAACCAAAGCCAGCTCAAGGTCAACTGAAAGATCAAACCTTTTAAAACCAGAATGGTGTTTGTCACAGTAGTGGTCCTTTTTGCATTGCTAACTTATCCTACACATTTTGCCTGATGTTTGACTGGCACTTCATAAACTGGTGAAACTCAATTCATCCACATCGGATAAACCAAAAAAAAAAAAAACAAAGAACAGAAGTCTAACTTATTGCTTTTACAAAACAAACATCCTTGCAAACACTTGGGTTGTCCAGTGCTAGCAGCCTGGAGATGCTGAGAGAAATGCCCAGCCTCAGCTTAGTCTCATGATTTGGTATTGCACTTGCTTTACAATGGCATGGGTTCTTTTTGGGGAGGATTTGGCAAAGGAGGTTGTGGATGTCAGTAGACCCAGGACACAGGCACCCACTGAGGACTAGAAGCAGCTCTCTCCAAGGCCTCCTCCACACCCTTCACACTCTCGTCTACATCGTTGTTGACCAGTATCACATCGAAGAAGTGACGGTATGTGCTGTGAATGGCGTCTGATTCCTTCTGGATGGCTTGCAGTGCTTCTGACTGTGGATGGAGAGGGGGACAAGTCAGGAACTCAACTGAATCTACAGGAGAACCTTTAGCACTACTGAGTTTCAGAGCAATTGAATAAACTGACCTGGTTACCAGTGTTGGTTGGAGCTATGAACACAACAAGGGGAGCAAAATCAGCTGTTCTGAGGAGCTTCAGAGTCTGGAAGAAAAGCATGTGCCGTCAAGATCTTGAAGCGTGTGATAAATTTGTCAGTCTTCATTATCATTTCAAATTAAAAGGTGTGAAATGGTTGAGAAACATTAATAAGATCCAATAGTGAACATGAAGCCTACCTGAGGTTCTACATCCAGGAGTGCAATCTTGCCTTGCTCATGTATCTTCAGGATGGTCTCAATCTTGGTGCCAAACATATTGCCCTGGAAACTGCCGTATTCCAGGAACTCATTCCCCACGATGCATTTGGTCATCTCGTCATTGGAGATGAAGTAATATTCTTGGCCGTTCTCTTCATCTTTCCTGGGAGGTCTGGTAGTGTCTGGTTGAATCGAGGAGATGTTCTGTTAGACTGTTTGGAAAGAACTTAAAGGGGACCAGTCATGCTGTCAAACACTCGATCAGTTTTCCAAGTATCTAAATAAGCGTTAAGAAGAAATCAAGGCATTTTGAAGTACAGTTCTAGACAGACTGAACGGTTTGGTTCCTTAAGCTTTATTCCTACATCTCCCAGAGTTCCTTTGCCCTGTTTCAGTTGATGGGGACGTGGCCAAAGTGGCACTGCTCAACATGACCACGCCCCCTCGTCTACCGTGAATCATGTTTTCGAGACCTGAGCTGAGGTAGGGTGCCTGTAATACCTAAACTAACGTTACTTTTGAACATGTCGCTGGACTCCACCATATTAAAAATACAGCTATACTCTGCGCTAGCCACCACTGTGGCTAGTTCTGTATTTCTGACTGCTAAGTTCTGTTTTTGTTTTGAGGAGAGTCTGAAGGAGAATCTCATCAAAGGAGCCTGTAAGGTGAAATGGTGATTATTTTTTAATTAGGCATGGACACAAATTGGTATATTAAGGCCACAAATTAGTATATTGAGGCCACAAGTTAAGTTTTTCATAAATTGTGGCCTCAAAATATTAAGTTGTGGTCTCCATATAGTAAATTGTGGCCTCAATATAGCAATTTATGACCTCAGTATATTAATTTGTGGCTACGTCTTTTTAAAAAAAATTACCTTAGGGGCTCCGTGTTTATCCACAAATGGTCAGTGCTTGTTTGGTGACTGGCTAGTTGTGGATAGACTGGGCATGTCATGCTGCCTCAGAGATTCTTGGTGTCCTCCCTCTGTTTGATACATGACCACTGGTCGTTTTTTTTTCCTTGTTTTTTCTTTCTCTGACGTGGCTTTGACTAGACCCGTCCAGGGTGTATCCTGTCTTCCGCCCAATGGTAGAATCATTTGAACTGACCCAAATAAAGCACTGTATAAACACAGAGTGTAGCTGTACTTACGAGGTGCTGGGTAGGCAAACTTTTCAGGGTATTTGGTCAGCAGTGAACTTTTTATGTGACTTCTTCCCACACCAGGTGCACCTACACAAAAAAATCATGACAATAATGACTTGTATCTCGCCTCTCTTGATACAGTAAAATAACAATACAATTTGAATGTATAAGCACTGTATGATGCATTCTGAAGAAACATTACATACTTACCGATGAGTACCAGGGTTTTTCTGTTGAATGCGGGGAGTTGCACGACTTCTTCGTATGAAATGACATCAAGCTGATCAAAGACTGAAGGAAAAAAAGCAGGTCATTTTTCAGTCAAGATTAAACAATACGGTAGATGGTCCATTCAAGAAAAGAAAAGTGTTACTTACTGGAGCTGTGTTTGGCCAAGTACTTGTCTTTGCATTTCTTCTTTTTGCCAAAAGGGCTGCATGACTGACTGGCCTCACCTGATGTTTTGCTTTTACTGGCAACACGCCTGTCAAGAGATACCAGTGTTGTATTGTAAATATAGAAAAGAGTGGATTACTTTAGGTAATAGCAACGGATAGATAATACAAGCTTCTACCTTATGCACATGTGGACTTAAGTCAGTAAAAAAGCTAAATATGAGGTTGAGCCATACCATTCCTGAAGTTCTGGGGAAGGTATAAGTCCTGCATAGTCTTTGGCTGAACTGTCCACTCTGCCCTGCCACCAGTTTGGATCCCGCTTATTGATGATCTGAATGATGTCACCTGTCTGGAACTTAAGGCCAGCCTCTTTACATGGGATGAGGTCATCTTTTGCAGGGTCATAATCAAACTGAGCCCTCATGTACATCTGCAGGGAGGAAAACAACAGCTGCAGAACACTGAAAAATGCAAACATGCATGTGCACTACTTACTTGACACAAACTGGTTTAGCATATAAAGCATAAACATACTGATGATCTTGTCAGTAACCAACCAGTTGATTGTCTATGACACAGATGACCCCTAAAGGCACCACAGAAGCATAAAAGGTTACAAAATCTTTTTGAATCTTTATGATTATAGTATACAAGAACTTTTTCCTGCACTCTACAATTATTAACTATCTTAATAAAAAATTGCTTAACTGCTAAGAATGAATAATCTAATAAAATCTACACTAACAAATATTGTTATATTGCCCACCCTAAACACCAACCGTTTCACATACAGCCTTTTTAGTCAAATTCTTTACCAACATCACTTTGAAGTAAATAAATTTAAACTAATAAATGTTTCTATCACCTCAAAAAGTCCAATATTATTATTATCAAAAGTATTGTCATACACTACCATGAACCAGAAAACGTATTTTCAGTCATAATATCTGACAGTTTAATCATAAACTGAATCTCATAACTGAATAACCATTGCATCTAATCTGAAATAACAGACATTTAATAATACAGTACATTCAACTGAAAAAGGACTTAAAATGGGAGCTCTGATTAGGTAGAACAGACTGCACACTTGACGACCAGCAGAGGGTGTGTTATTATACTAAGGGGTGCTATGGCCAGAATGAAAAACCCAAGCATTGCTTGTTTTTTTTTTTTTTAAAAACAGGCCTAATTGCATTCTATAGTGGTGTCACAACAGTCTTAGTCAGATTTTCTGGTTTAAACACCAGGAAAAACCCCCTTCTGATAATGTATCTTGAAGGTGGAAAGAACTTTTGAAAAACTCTGCTAGGATGCCGGATATCATGTATGAATTTATTAGCCTCTACTTAAGTGGAATTCTCTATCACTCTGGTGGGAACTCCCAAATGGTTGTATGATGTATGGCACACTACAGAATATTACATAACGTGACAAGTAACATATTAAATGCTAGATTTAGGCTGTAATGTCCATTTAATTACCCAGACCAAGCAACTTAACACTGTCAGTTTTTCTGACACTGAGCCGTTTCTTCTTGGTTTTGTGTAATGTATGTCTTTGTGTGTTCACAAAAATAAATCAACAACACAAAATAACTGTAATCGTAGCTAAATCTAAAGGTGAGCCAAGTCTCTAGTTAGCCTACTGGAGGAATACTAGCATAAAGCAGGGTAGAAAGAGTAAAGTGTGAAATGTATTTTTTAAAAAAAGGCTACACTATTCACTAAAAAGTTTTGGGTTCATATTATGAGGACATATGTGCATGTTATACTGATAAATGAGACATTTGCCATTGCATATCACACTGTGAAACATAACATCCCTGTCTCACAAACATACATATTATGTTGCTGTATTCTGCATTACTTGCTAAATGAATGGTCAAGAGTGTTGTGACACAGTGTGACCAGCAGATGACACAAGAAACACAGCAGTTTTCCAGTTCAGTTATTTGATGAGGAAATGTGATTATCTACGGTTAGCCACTACTGGTGTCTAATGAATGAACAGTCACCTGAGTCGGAGGATTAGAGGACTCCCCTAATAAAGAACAAACCATGTGTAATACAAGAATTACTTGCTTTGGAACAGATATATAAGGATAAGATCCAACACCAGTCACTCTAAAACTGGAATTCATATTGAAAAAGATGGCTGGGTTTATTAAACTGAAGTATATGTTAAATATATTTGACACCTACCTCACAAACCATTGAGCGACTTTGCTGGTTGGGGATGATTTTCAAGGTGACGATGCCATTTGTATCTCTCTGAAAAAGGACAGCAACAAAATGTAAGTCACCCATAACAACCATTTGCTAAAAAAGAGATTTAGAGAAGGTCTTGAACTACTGGCAGCTTTAGAAGAAGTACTTGCCAGAATCTTTTGCAGCTGGTCCACACTCTGATTAGCAACACTTTTGCCATTAATCTCTGCAATTTCATCTCCTTCGTGTAAGGAACCTAAGCAGTAAACACAAACCGCCATCAGTGGCAGTGCCAGATTTAAGAATTAAGAGCAGACCCAGTATCAAAAATCCATCAGAATTCTTTACTGTTCTTTATGGACTAACTTCCACTATACAACAGTTAGCTCCACACAATCTGACCATTTTATCCATGTTGTTATAAGTTGAGAGGAGATTCTGCTGGCCACCAGTTCTTTACTCTAGACCTATTTTTCTTTTGGAACAATAAAACCATTTATTTCAAACAGTATTTGTAAATTGTTTCTTT